AAAAACCAAAGTCCACATTTAGTGGCAAATCCTTCTTTATTATATATACCCTTATAGTTGCCACACTATACCTAATTAGGTATATACAAGGGCTAGGTATATATAATATATATTTTATTATATGACCTCCACCATCCAACAGTTATATTAATAAGTAAAGTAGCTTTAAATTAGTTTATAATATTTAATAAACTAGGTAACCTAGTTCTTTCTAACTAGTTTAATAGGAGTCTTACTATCTTCTTAGAGGAGAATATTAGCTATTTTATATATATAGGAGTGCCTAGGTAGAGTTCCACGTATATCTCTTAATATAATCTATTTAATTAAAGCTTCTTCCTAAGCCTTAGTAAGTTAGAGGCTTAGGTTATAAAGTTCTAGTTAAAATAGCTATCCCTTTAAGCGCGCCTAGAGTATACTTTCTAGTATATTAAAAACCTCTATAGCTTAATAACCACTAGAGATTTCACAACATTTTAGGGCTTGTATTATAAGTTAGATTCTACCCTCTTACTCTACTAAGTTTCGCTTCGATTAACGCGCTTTTGGAGGCATGGTGGTTACTAAAAGTAATGTGGGTGGAAAACGCGTGGGAAATTTTGAAGGTGCGTCGACCAACCAGGATGCGCTGATCGCCTGGGAATTACATTATAGGGTAGCTTGCTGACATACCCTGCTGCAGAGTTTGGGCAACGCATCGTATCAGGACAACAAGAGAGAATGCTTGAGACAGTCCTACAAGATTTATATTCCAAACGCCAGCTCCAGCCATAGCGAACAGCGAACCTCGAGGGGGAGACGCTTCGTTCAAAGCAATGGTGGAAGTGGAGGGAATTGATTCCATTGAATTACTATTTCACAAGAGAACGACTAGCAGAGATATTTCCAACGTGCCAAGAATCGAGCCAACGACAACGATAATAACACTATCATAACAGTGCTCTTTATTCGAGACAGAGGGAAACTTTGGTCGGCTGTGGGGCGATCCTCGTTACCAAATTGGACATTGGGTGGATCCGTTTGAAACTATTCCCACTTACCGTTTCTCGACCAATTTCTAACTGCGCATCTGCCAACTCCCAGGCTGGCCTCGACTTCGATTTGAACTCATTTATCAGTAACACAACGCATTGCCACTTCCTATTGGCTCGCTTGCTTTAGGAATTCAAAGGCTCAGATGTATGTTGACTGTGCTGCACACAAGCTGCAGGCTCAGCCGTTTCCTCAGCTATCATCGTTTGACGTCAGGATCGTACGGAGTATTATAAGCAGCGAGCGATGCAGCTCGTTAGACACTGGACAGCGGACAGCTCAGACATCAGGGCCTAGAACTGGACAAAGAATGAAGCGACGATTATCAATGCCCCAGCAAGCGCCATTCCCAAGCCAATAAAAACCGATATTATCCACAGGCTGAGACACTCAGGGGCAACTTGTTACAGGCGTCAGCCACTGGGCGTCCATCCCTCATTCCTATTCGACGCCTCTTCAGTGAGCCGTGGCTAATGCATGACTAAATTAGGCCTTTTACGTATCCTTGTTTGAGAGATCGAGCCTACCGAGATTCTGGGAGGCTTCTTGGACTCTTGACCGATGGAGCACCAAGGATGATGCGTGCATCTGTGCTTTGAATCCTCGATCCTCTCCAACTTTCCTCTGCAACAATGACTGTGTGTGTCAATTTTCTATCTGATTGATCAATCACCTGCGATCGTTTCTTTTTACACCTCGCAACATTCGCTTGAATCCTCCTTCTCGACTGTCTTTTTTGTCCCTGACTCTTCTGGGCTGCTTGCTGAACCCCCTGTTCTTTCTTTTGCCCCTCGAAGAATGAGAGGAGAGGGAGGGTTCAAGATTGACGAGTCAAAGGGCCTCAGCACTATCACTCTTTCTTTTGGTCAGATATTCTCCCTTTGAAAAAGACACCCTATACACATCCCACTCTTTCGACTTTGCCATTCGCAGCAACAGATCGTCTTCCCACATCCTTTTCGTTCTACGCAGGTTGATCCTGCCTCTCTATCCGACTGAATCGACTGGTGCGATAACAAGATCCGGGGTTATTCAAACTACATACGCCGTTTTAATTTGCAGAACCATTCATAGAGTAAACATCCCTTGACCTTGATCGCGTACCTCTTCAAGAACACTTTCACCGCACCACAATCTCGAGTTGCGAATACGAATTCCTCCTTTCAACATGCGAAACCCCATCTCAACTCGCCTCACCTTCGCTATACTGGCTCTCTTGCCTGCCTGGAGTTCTGCCACTGATACCCTCAGCACCGGAAGCGTGTCGACATGCTTGGCCGACTCTGCCATCAAAGTCAACAGATTGGACATAACATTCTCTCGGTCCACGAGAACCATCAACTATGACGTATCCGGAACGAACACCAAAGAGCAGAATGTCACGGCTGTTCTATCAGTAACTGCCTATGGTAAACAAGTGTACACCAAGGAGTTTGATCCCTGCGATGGCGACAATTACATATCCCAGCTCTGCCCTGTTCCGGTTGGTACTTTCTCAGCGTCCGACTCGCAGGATATTCCCGAGGAGTTTGCGAGTCAGATCCCGTCGATTGCATTTTCGATTCCGGACTTGGACGGCCTCGCAAAGCTCCAGCTAAAATCCAAAGATGACGACACTGAGGTTGCCTGCATTCAGTCCGAGTTGACCAATGGAAAATCCGTTGAGCTCCCCGCTGTTTCCTATGCCGCTGCAGGTATGGCGGGAGCCGCGCTCGCTCTTAGTGGGCTTTCAGCTCTAGGATCTGCTGGGAGCACAGGCTCTCCGTCTTCCAGTCCTGGGTTTGGAGAGGTAATGGGTTGGTTCCACACCATGGCAACCAATGGCATGCTCAGCGTGAACTATCCTCCTATCTATCGCAGTTTTTCCAAAAACTTCGCCTTCAGCACTGGCCTGATTCCTTTGGCTCAAATGCAGCACTCAATAGATAACTTTAGAAGGCTCACAGGTGGCAACCTCACTGAAAATAACTACGACTATTGGAAAGAAGTGGGCGGCGAATCGTCCGAGTCCAACAAGACCAAGCGATCCTTTGATATGATTTTCGGGGCAGCGCGGCTGGTTATACGAGAGGTCGAGAGTTCTGTGAACGAGACATCATCCGATGACGAGAGTGTTTTCAGTGTGGACGGAATGGAGAGGATAAGCCAGGAGCTTCTTATTCCGCAGTCTAACACATTCATGACGGTTCTGCTGGTTTTCGCCATCGTTGTGGCAGCTATCACCGTGGGAATCCTGCTCGTCAAAGTTGTCCTCGAATTATGGGCACTATATGGATCGTTCCCCAAGAAGCTTGCCGAGTTTAGGGAAGATTACTGGGGTCTTCTCGCTAGAACAATTACTAACCTGATTCTGATTCTCTACTCCATCTGGGTTATGTACTGTGTTTATCAGTTCACAAGCGGGGACTCTTGGGCCGCGCAACTCTTAGCCGGTGTGACTTTGGCAATATTCACCGCCATCCTCGGATTCTTCGCCTGGCGCATCATACATCTTGCTCGCAAGTACAAGAAAGCAGAAGGCGACGCATCATCGTTGTACGAAAACAAGGAAACGTGGCGAAAGTACAGTCTTTTCTACGACAACTACAAGAAGGACTACTGGTGGCTCTTCATCCCAGTCATCGTTTATATGCTTGTCAAGGGTTGCATAATTGCTGGTCTTAACGGACACGGATTGGTGCAGTCAGGCGCTCAGCTCGCTGTCGAGGCGCTCATGTTAATCCTCCTGCTTTGGAATCGGCCGTACGTCGCTAAATCAACCCAGTGGATCAACATCAGCATTCAGGTAGTCCGTGTCTTGTCTGTTGCATGCGTGCTTGTTTTCGTCGAGGAGCTCCACCTTTCGTCAACAACCCAGACGGTCACCGGCGTCGTTCTAGTTGTTGTTCAATCGGCACTGACAGGCCTTCTTGCCATTCTCATCGCTATCAATGCAATTATTATCTGCTTCCGGGAGAATCCCTATGCAAAGCGGCAGAAGGAAAATGGTGAGTAAAGCTTTTTACCGTAACTTGCATCTTGCTAATGTGAAATTTTACTTCAGAAAAACTGAACCGTGAGATCGATGACCTAACGCCACTAGACGCGCGCGAATCACTTCTTATGGACCACCCTCCTCGCAAAGATTACTCCGAGATGAGCAACTTCAATTTCACTGGTCCCTACGAACCATACCGAGACCAACATCCTCTAAACTCAAAGCGAGGATTCAACGACAGCTCCGACCGCCTGGTTGATTCTGCGTACCACGACGAACCCCGGCATGGTCGTACCACCAGCCGCGGTAGCCGAGGAAGCCGTGACAGCTATGGTTCTTCTGACGGCCGTAAGCCGACGGCCCCTGGCTATGGCTTCGCCTATTGAGCAGCCACAGAGCCGCCCAATGCCTTTTTTTCCACTGCATAACTTGCACTAACCACCATTTTTCTCCAAGTTTCTTGTGCGTGAAAGCATATTCTTCCAGCGCCATTTCTGATGACTTTAGCGTTCTCTGTTGGTGCCCATATTTGGCCTTGCATTACACTCCTTCTCTTGGTGATACCAAATATTGGCCTCTTCATCCTACCATAAACCATCGTTTGACTCTTAGATTTCTTTCAATTCATCTCAAAGTTGACGCATTGTCTGTATACTAGTAAAGTATGAACATACGTGTTTACCGGATCAGTTGACTTTGGTTGGCTGCCCGTGATCCATGATACAACCCCAATGGCTATTTATACAGTACTTAAGAGCATGCTCAGACTGGTAATCTAAGATATCAGTTGCAATAGACGTGTCAAAATCCCGAATGGGCAACGATACGTAGTAAAAAACAGGATATTACTGACCCACTCGTCAATGCACAGATTCCTATTTGCGCTCACCCCCTAGTTCCTCTATACATATTACATACAGTTGAAGAATGAAGAGAATTATCCAACAGTGCCCGTGTCACTGTAGACCGTAATTCCCGTATTATTTATATCGATGCCCTCAAAGATAGCGTGAGCTTTGTACGGCTTCCTCAACGATTAACCATGCATTCCACCATGCCATTTCGTTACTCTGACTGGGCCTGGACGGAGGTCAAGCATGACTGTAGCGACCACACGCGCCAATTGAAGTCGCCCCAGAGATGTCTACTACTTAGACTCGAGTCTGGAGAGAGATGATAGCTGGATTACCAACAAGTTGCCGAAAGCGATGTTCTCCATGCGGTGCGGCATGTGCTTGACAGCTGAAGCGTTGGTGGATAGAAACTTTGTGGCCTTAACCCGAATGCATAGAACGGCAGCGGGTGGGATGCCATGATTTATCGGGTTGAGGAGGTTCTCGCTGGAAGAGGCACAAAGGCCAGAGAAGGTCCGAGTCATCATCATTGGAAGCCGTTGTCAGGAGTATGGTCTCCGGTACTGGGGCGGAGGTGGGCCCTGGAATCCTGGAAGAGGCTTTGCCAGATGTATGCTTCACTGAGGAGGAGTTCAATATCTTTCTCTGTCCAGCCTCGCGTTGGTAGGGCTTGTAGAAACATCATGATTTCCTGAATGTGTTAATAATGGAAAGGGTTGAGAGGAGAAGGGCGTACCTGGAAGTCCATCTTGACTAGCTGGTCCGTCCATTTGACGAGGAATGCAGCGCAAACGTATAGGTGAAAGCGTGAGAAACCCTGCTCCTCGGCCTTGAAAAAGGTCAATATGCGACAACGCGCAGACTTTGACGGATGTGGAAAGAAATTAGCTAGACATACCATATAGGTATCCCACATCCGAATAGTGTTTTGCACACTCATTTCCCGCATGAGCAAGCAGTTCATCCATCGAAAACTGAATTGCATAAATTCTACCCCTTCCTTTTCCAGATGCTTGGCCAGAGTAGAGTCTATGCGCGCTGTCAGATCATGCAAGGCGCGAACCTGTCTGTGGATGCCGGGCTGAGCATAGATATAGTTGTCTTGGATTCCATCAAGTAATTTGGTTAAGCACCAGAATGAATCTGCTTCTACGGCATCTAGCACGCTTCGAGGAAGCTGGCCGGGATCCATCCCTTCCTCCACGTTGAGGTCTGTGACGTAGACACCGAGAAAAACTTGCCATAGAGGGGTGACAAGGTCGTTGATTCCTTGTACATAACCGCTAGCCGGGTGTCGGATAGCCCATACGTAAAGAATCCTTTCTAACGATCGCTGGGTGGCCTCATAGCTGTAAAGCTGTATATGAGGACTAGTGCGTGGCACGTCGATGCTGATCTGGTGCCAGATTGCTTCGTCTAGTCCTCGCCCGCGCCCGGTATTTGAAGACGGAGGATTCCCCGCGCCCGCTGCGCTGCTGCGCTCGAAGGCCTGACGGACCCCGTCTAGATACTCTTTTCGTTTTCGCTCAAGAGTAGCGATGCGTCGCTCGCTATTTGTGGGGAGATATCCCAGGAGGAGTTGCCAGGTCATGGCTCGTACTTCGTCAGGAACTCCTGACCATGCCAGATTCCTTAGCTCAGTCAAAGGTACGCTGCTTGCTTGCAAGAGGCGTTTGAACTTGTTAATCCTAGAAATGCGACTCGAGTGCGCCTCTATCTCCTTTGGCGATGCATCTTTCGGAGGCGCAGTATGATTAATGAGATTCAAAGCATTGGCGGGATCTATGACAGGATGTTAAGATTTTGCTCTCATCTCAAGAATAGCTATATCATACCTCGCAGAATGTCTTTGTATTGGGGCCGAAGAATCTTGCCTTCGCCCTTACGAGCTGTCGTCGGATATAAGGGGATGTCTCGTTCTTCGGCGATATCTGAGCTATTAGCTCGCTGCCGATTGTTCGGTTGGCTAACACCAAGACTTGACGGTCTGCTTTCAGCGCGAACCAGTAATTCGACTGGCTTAGTTTGCAGAGCATCGATTTTCCGGGTTTGCCTCTTTCGCATGCTTGCAATGCTCGGAAGCCCAAACTCATCCTCGTCATCGTCGAACACAATGTCTTCTTCCCCATCATTCTCATCCTCAACCTTCACTCCAGGGGTATCATGGCTCCATGGCCCAAGCTCTTCATTCATGATACCGGAGTATGATGCGCGCGGCGATGAGACCCATACCCCCGGGCGTCGAGGGAGGGGAGATATATGTGGGGAGTTATTGGAGGAGGGGCGAGGCGGCGTTCGAGCTTGTGTATGTTGTTGCGGTAACCCTCTGCTGTAGCACGCAATATAAAGGTTAGCAGGCCTGCCAGAGCGTATATGAAAGACGACCGACTTTATTATGTTGGCGTGAGAGTACGAGGCTCCAACCACGGTGCTCTGGTCAGGAGACTGAGAGACCGCTCTATTCTGAGAGACTGATCTGGCTTTCCAGAACGGGGAAGCTGATTGCCTTTGGTGAGGTTAGAAAAAGATACATAAAGCACGGAACGAGCAATTCAAAGCTTACTCAGAACGGCCTGTATACGGGGACGGGCAGCTCCATCAGCCACTGAATCCTAACATGAGGCATAGAGAGAGTATGAGGTACGAACCAACCTGGACCATTTCCTTTTAATGGCGAAGCAGATGGTTAGATCAGCGAGCTGCCCCTGACTAAGAGGTGGGAGTACGGCCTACCTGCTGTTGGACCTTCTTCGCAGCCATCGTGTGAGGCTGCTCGTGCGGAGGAAATGATGTCAACCGAACAGGTCATGAGAGAGGCAGGCGAGCGGCAACCTTGATTGCGGGGTGTTTCGGGGACACTAATATTGAATGTCTTTAGACTCTTTACCCAGTCCCGGCTCTAGGAATTGAGACTGCTCATAAAACAACCATTGGGATTCGAGCAATGGCAGCTAAGTACCTACTTCTGGTACCCGTGAGCGCGTAAATAGAGGCCATTGTTGAATGGTCCGGCTCTAAGAGGCGTCAGGAGATGAGCCTACATCGATGTACTCGACGGGCTGTAAATTACACAGCTGTATTGTAAAAAACATAACTGCGCTACTCGTCGTTTTGGAAATCAAAGGTTTTCAACAAAGAAAACTGGCAAGAGAGTGGAAGGCAGCATTCAAAGACAGGTAATGAACGGTTGATACTGGTTCCTGACAAGGTAAATTTGCTCTGAGGGCTCTCCAACTCAGAGAGTGAGTGAATTCATCTCAACCTCTAGGCTCATCCGTCCTCCGTACTCCTTCCTTCTTTCACTTACTCGACTTTCTTTCTCGCTCTTACCCCCCTTCTCCTCCGTATTTCTTCAGCAATTCTTCACTCTCACACTTCCTCTTAATCATCCCTTCGCTTTCACTATATCATCACTAATTACAGAGAACTTTGGCGACTGGCCCGCGGAGAGATTCACCTGAGGCTCGTTTTTTTGCACTGGTCCTTCAGCTTTTTGTCCTCGCTATTCCATATCGGTTGCCTGTGACCGAAACAAGTTCTTGGTTCCCTTTCATATCATCAACGAGCGTTAACTTTCATCGACATGGCTGAACCAGAGGACGTTGAGGAGGATCTCTTCGCTGATCTGTATGTTGCTTGCTTCCGCCTAGTCGCCTCATTCCAATTTCTAACCTGGTTTTCCTAGGTACGATGCAGACGAAGCAACCCATCAAACCGCTCCGACCGGTGGAGGTGCAACCGCACCCAACCCCATACCCTCCGAGGCGCCTGTTCCAGCCTCTAGTACCTCGGCTATCCAGTCCGTCGAAGGTTATGGAAACGAGTCTGAAAACACATTCGGTGCATATCAACCCCCTTCGTACGAAGGAAGCCACCACCACAATGGCTCGGCGGGTCTCGATACTGGCTCTTATAACCATGCAAGTGTACCAGAACCAGAACCCCAAGGAACTGGCATTAAGGAAGATGGGTGAGTTTTCCCTTCTCTAGCAATTTTTAAAGTTATCCCTCCCTGTCTTTGAATCCACGGCGTGGATGTGCTGTGCGTTTGGCGCGAGGGATCTGGACATGTTGAGGGAGCTACCCTTCAGGACGCTGAACCAGTGTCGCCCCTCCCGTGGGCATGTCATCTCTCAAGAGCTGGGCTCTCAGTGCTCTGCTCTATCTAGGGTGTCGGCGCCTTCACGATGTTTTGACTGGCTGGTGGTCCGTGAGACGGGCGCTATTGGGGCATTGCAAGCTCGATGAGTGGGAAGGCGGATGAGAGTCTTTTCCTGAGCCGAGGCTTCCTGGTGGGAACCATTGTTCACGGAGGAAACATTGTCATGGTCGACCATGGATGAACATGGATAATTCCAGATTCATCAAGACGGAGCACGCCACTGGTGGAAATGAGAGTTCCCTGCCATCGTTCAAGTCTAGTGAAGATATATGTCAGCGAGTCAGCATCAGTATGGCAGTTACGGGAGGACAAATGTCGAAAATCAAACATGCGAGCACCAACTCGAGCGTCATAGTACGGCTGATACCGTATAGCGTCTGTCGGTATATGATATAGCGCCAACAGTGAGGAGTAGCAGCCTCGACTGACTGGTTGGGCATCTTCGATCAGTTTACCTAGCTTCGGAGTCTATAGACAGGCAGGCAAAGATACCTTGGTCAGAGACAGAAGAACAATTGACTTATTCCGCCGGGCATACATCATCCCATTGTGGTCCTGTCTACTACTTACGCAACCGCCTGGCCCCTGGGGCTCCATCTTGGTTAGCAGTGAAGCTGCTGCGTCGACCTGTAATGCGATGGCTGTGATTAAACCGGAAATAACACACTGGAAGCGCTGAGCTGCAAATCTCGTCAACGCAAACTGCGGACGTATTCGTGCTAGACGGACCGTTGTCACATTTTTACACCGATTCACTGTCGCCATTGATTATCAAATTCGAACCTCGAAATGATCGAAAGACATGTGGACACACTGGGTCAACGAACAGCACAACATATGACGAAGGTCTCAGGACCTAGAACATGTCGCCATGAACCATCAGCCTTCGCCAGCGATATCCAGCCACACGCCAGATTATGACATGCACTTCAAGCACTTTTCCTCTGCATTCTCGTTGCTTTTATGTGTCTGTCAACCGGGTATACCGGCTTTGCTAACAAGAGAGTGTTTTTTTTCAACAGGAAAATGTTCATTGGCGGTTTAAACTGGGAGACAACAGATCGTAAGTATTTTTGAAGATTATCTCAGACCGTCGAGGTTATGCATGCGTCTAACTTCTTATCTAGAATCATTGAAGGAGTACTTCTCGCAGTTCGGAGAAGTACAAGAATGTACTGTTATGCGCGATAGTGCTACAGGACGGTCGAGAGGGTTCGGGTTCTTGACATTCAGAGACCCAAAAACAGTGAACACTGTGATGGTCAAAGAGCACTACCTAGACGGAAAGATCGTAAGGCCTGCAACCTATCACCTGCGCCGTTTCGGCTGGACGAATTTCTGATGAATTTCTAGATTGACCCCAAGCGCGCCATCCCGCGTGATGAGCAAGAGAAAACTAGCAAGATTTTTGTTGGAGGCGTCAGTCAAGAGGCTACCGAGCAGGATTTCAAACAGTTCTTTATGCAATTTGGTCGTGTGATTGATGCGACTTTGATGATCGATAAGGATACTGGCCGTCCTCGTGGGTTTGGCTTTGTGACGTTCGATAGTGAGGCCGCCGTCGAAGCCGCCCTGTCACGTCCCCTGGATATCCTTGGTAAGCCCATTGAAGTGAAAAAGGCTCAGCCGAGGGGCAATCTACGCGGCGAAGAAGATCGTGGCCGCCGTGGTAGAGACTTCAGGGACAATAGCCAGGGTGGAGCCGACGGTTCTCAGCAACAGTCTGGTGGCCAAGGTCAAGCTGGTATGCCCAATGGCCTCACTCCACAAATGATGGCCCAGTATTGGCAACGCATGCAACAGTACTTTGCCCTGATGCAGCAGCAAATGGCGGTAGCAGCCGCTCAAGGTCAAAATATGGGCGGAATGGCAATGGGTGGGATGAACCCTGCTCTGATGCAACAGATGCAGATGAAGCAGATGCAGCAAATGCAGATGGGCAACAACCAGCAGTCGCCAAGCATGAGTCCTCCGGCGCAGAGCCCGACTCCTCAGAATATGCAGAACATGATGAATCCTGCCATGATGCAGCAGATGCAACAAATGCAGAACCAGGGTCAGGGAGGCCAGATGGGTATGGGCGGGAACACGAACATGCAAGGAAATTACTCTGCTAACCGCGCAGGTCCTGGATACAACGCGCATGAGCAGATAGCGTTTGAACAGCAAAAGTATGAACAGCAGCAAGCTCGACGGGCAATGGAGAATCGAGGTTTCTCTCCGTATCAACAGGGAGGCCCAACGTCGTGGGAAGGCATGTACGACGAAGTACCTCAGCCGAACATCCCCACAGGACCTCAAGCCATGAACAGATCTGGTAGCGTGGGACGTGGTACGTTGGGAATCTTTCTTGTTGTGACACGACCCACATTGCTTACACCTTTTACTAACATAGATGCAGGTCAGACACCCCAGCCACAAGGCGCCGCCCCTGCAAACGCCCCAACAGGGCCCAAGAACGCCGGGAAGCCTGGCGCAAACTACCGTGGAGGAGGGCGTGGAGGCCACCGCGGCTTTCATCCATATGCGCGCGGCTAGGGTAGCGCTTGTACTCGAATAACAGAGACATGCACGCAGGCAGGCTCACTTTTTGTATCAGATGTTACACAATATGGTTTTGCTTTCAATCGTTTCTTCTACTATCAACCCTCTTGTCTCTCTTTCTAATCGCCCAGGTTGTCTGCCAAAAGGTCCATTTCGACCCTATGATTCCTACTATTTTGATTATGCGTGGGCTTGCGGGGCCTTTAAGAATGGTGACAACAACAATGTACCTCTAAATAAGAACTTGCTTCAAGTAAATATTCGTCAAAACGAGCTGAACTTGCATGTAGATTTACGGAGCACTCCGCACAACTGCCTTCCCCTTGATGGAAGCTCCAATAGCGATAAGATAATCGGAGCGGAACTATTCTTTTGCGGGCCATGCCCTTTTGGTCAACAGAATCGTCCAAGCTTCGCCATCAAGCTCGACCCCAGAGTCAAGCCACCAAATTTTCAACATGGCATCCGGACGAAAGGATTTTCTCAGCCAACCTGCGCCCGAGAATTACGTTGCTGGTCTTGGTCGTGGCGCCACTGGTTTTACTACTCGCTCGGATCTTGGACCAGCTCGCGAAGGGCCAACCCCCGAGCAGATCCAGGCTGCGCTTGCGAAAAGAGCACAGTTGCTCGGGGCAGCACCTCCGACAGCATATGGCGCATCGCGAGAGAAGGGAAAGGGGGATGAAAAGCCTGCGGAGGAGGAGGACGACGAGCGGTTCCAGGACCCGGACAACGAAGTCGGACTATTCGCATACGGCCAGTTCGACCAGGAAGATGATGAGGCGGACCGCATATACAAGGAGGTAGACGAGAAGATGGACAGACGGCGAAAAGTGAGAAGGTTAGTAAACCCGCAACGCAGTCCCAGTCACGGAGTGATTTGTTCATCGGGTTTAGCCCCGGTTTTCTGGATAGATGACCGACTTGATTCCTTCTCCACCTCTAGGGAAGCTCGAGAACGACAGGAGCGAGAAGACTACGAACGAAAGAACCCGAAAATCCAGCAGCAGTTTGCCGACTTGAAGCGCTCGCTCGCCTCGGTATCTGAAGACGAATGGGCGAATCTGCCGGAGGTCGGAGATCTTACCGGCAAAAACAGACGAACGAAACAAAACCTACGAATGCAACAGCGCTTTTACGCCGTGCCCGATAGTGTGCTTGCGAGCGCCAGAGACTCCTCCCAGTTTGACACCACGGTTGCCGATGATGGTTCTCAGACAGATGGCCGTGCGGCCGATGGCGCAGATGGGATGATAACGAATTTCGCCAATATTAGTGCTGCTCGTGACAAGGTGCTTCAGGTCAAACTGGACCAGGCAGCCATGGGATCCTCCGGCGACACTACGTCGGGGAGTGCGACTAGTATTGATCCCAAAGGATATCTCACGAGTCTAACACAATCGGAACTCAAGGCGGGTGAAATCGAAGTTGGAGACATCAAGCGTGTGCGTGTATTGCTGGAATCGGTGACTAGGACGAATCCCAAACATGCCCCTGGTTGGATTGCTCTCGCCCGACTGGAAGAGCTCGCGGGGAAGATTGTCACTGCACGAAATATCCTGGCAAAAGGATGTGATCTATGCCCGAAGAGCGAAGATGCTTGGCTTGAGAACATTCGACTCAACGAAGGACACAATGCTAAAGTCATTGCCGCGAACGCAATCAAGAACAACGATCGATCTACCCGACTCTGGATTGAAGCTATGAGGCTCGAAACAGAGCCGCGGGCAAAGAAAAACGTTCTTAGACAGGCTATCCTGCATATTCCTCAGTCCGTCACGATTTGGAAGGAGGCTGTTAACCTGGAGGAGGATCCTGCCGATGCGCGCCTCTTGCTGGCTAAGGCGGTTGAGATGATACCCCTCTCCGTTGAATTATGGCTGGCCCTTGCGCGCTTGGAAACCCCTGAAAATGCACAGAAGGTCCTGAACGCTGCACGTAAAGCTGTTCCAACAAGCCACGAGATCTGGATTGCTGCTTCTAGACTCCAAGAACAAATGGGAACCTTCAACAAGGTGAATGTGATGAAGAGAGCTATTCAATCACTTGCACGAGAGAATGCCATGCTTAAACGAGAGGAGTGGATTGCTGAAGCAGAGAAGTGTGAGGAAGAAGGAGCAGTTCTCACATGTGGTGCGATTATCCGCGAGACGCTCGGGTGGGGACTCGACGAGGATGACGACCGGAAAGATATCTGGATGGATGATGCCAAGGCTAGTATTGCCAAAGGAAAATACGAGACAGCGAGGGCCATCTATGCATATGCTTTGCGCGTCTTTGTTAACCGGAAATCAATCTGGGTTGCCGCCGCGGATCTTGAGCGTAACCACGGAACCAAGGAAGCGTTATGGCAGGTTCTCGAGAAAGCTGTTGAAGCTTGCCCACAAAGCGAAGAGCTCTGGCTGCAGCTTGCAAAGGAGAAGTGGCAGTCTGGAGAAATCGATGACGCGCGGCGTGTGCTTGGCCGTGCATTCAACCAGAACCCCAACAACGAAGATATCTGGCTGGCTGCCGTCAAACTAGAGGCGGATGCACAGCAAACAGACCAAGCTCGAGAACTTCTTGCAACTGCTCGACGCGAGGCAGGAACCGATCGCGTTTGGATCAAGAGTGTCGCGTTTGAACGACAACTAGGAAACATCAACGAGGCGCTAGATCTCGTAAACCAAGGCCTCCAGGTGTACCCCAAGGCTGACAAGCTTTGGATGATGAAGGGTCAAATCTACGAGTCGCAGAACAAGGTCCCACAGGCCCGAGAGGCTTACGGCACAGGTACCCGCGCATGCTCCAAATCCGTCCCGCTCTGGCTTCTAGCCTCAAGATTGGAAGAAAAAGCTGGTGCAGTAGTCCGTGCCCGTTCTGTCCTTGATAGAGCTCGTCTAGCAGTTCCAAACAGCCCCGAGCTTTGGACGGAGAGCGTCCGCGTTGAACGGCGCGCGAACAACATCCCGCAAGCTAAGGTTTTAATGGCAAGAGCACTCCAGGAAGTCCCTTCGTCCGGTTTGCTTTGGAGTGAAAGCATTTGGTACCTTGAACCGCGGGCCCAACGCAAAGCCCGAAGCTTAGAAGCGATCAAGAAAGTCGAGAATGACCCGTTATTATTTATCACGGTGGCGCGAATCTTCTGGGGCGAACGGCGCCTCGAAAAGGCCATGACCTGGTTCGAGAAGGCCATTGTCTCAAATAGTGACCTCGGCGATGCCTGGGCCTGGTATTATAAGTTCTTGTTACAGCATGGCACAGATGTACGTTGTTATCTCCCCCTCCCCCTCACCTTCTCTTTTCTCCCAAAAGACAGCCCTTCTCTAACGACGGTCCGCTCACAGGAAAAACGAGCCGACGTCATCTCGAAATGCATCTTATCGGAACCTAAACACGGCGAACTCTGGCAATCCATTGCCAAAGATCCAGCTAATGCTTATAAATCGACCGAGGAGATCCTCAAGTTGGTTGCAGACAGTCTCTCTCAATGAGGGCATGGACATGGTTTCCTGGTGCTTCTTCTGAATGGAAAAGACACTAATCAATCCGGCCTATTCCTTGCATGTATAGTATCATACCATTTTCACTAGATCTTATGCTTTACGGCCCAGGACAGGCGTTTGGAGTAGGAAATAAGCGAGAGAACTTGATTGAACGCTTGGGTGGGAGCATCCCTTCGAGACATAAGATTTATCGGCTCCGTCCGCGTTTATAACTACCATATTATTCAAGGCTACTACCACCATTACTCAATGCAGAAATTTCTGTAACTGTGAACGGGCGAGACGTCAAGCGGACATGCCATGTTGGTCACTAACTTATCAGCTCTATAGTTGGCTAAAATAACACAACCAAAAGCCATCCCTATATATAGTACTGAAAATATCAGGAGAAGTAGGACAACCCACAGAAGACTAGCTAATCAATCACAACTTAGCCAGACGTTCTGGCCGTTAAAGTGCTGTGCTGGGCTGCTTGGGCCCGTCATGATAGAACTATAATGGCTCAAGCAGGCCATGGGGATGAAATCGGTGAATATCGCATTCGCTGCTGTTGGTTGTGTTATTCCGCCTCTCTCACTAAGTGCCTGGAGTAGGCGGGAAGTGGAAGTGATGATGATGTATGAAATGGAGTCGGGTCGGGTTTATGATAGGTAGGAAAAGTAGAAAAGCCAATATCAAACTCCGGAGCCAGAATGCAATAAGCGATCATACCACACCGTCAGTGGCTATCCAATACTCCCAGGACGCCTTTTAACCCTTCCCGAACAGAGATGCTGCAAAGAATGGCCATATGTTTTGATGGGCCAAATGTCGGAGTTGATTGAGGAATAGAGGTGAATGGCAACAATGATCAGAATGCTGTCAATGAAAAGAAATGATGTCGCGAGTGACGAAGAAAAGCCCTAGGCGGCCATCGAGAGACACTCGTCTAGCAATGCGTCCAGTTGGTCTTGGTCGCTCGATGTGGCACCTTCGAAGCCTATATCTGCTTCATCAAGGTTCATTTCATCGACGTAGCCCACGGGCCTTCTGTCTTCTAGGTCAACACGGTCTTGTTTGTCGGCTTCTAGTTCGTCTTCAAGATAGCCTCCCATGATCTGATCCACGATTAACGGCATATGGCTCAAGACTCCACTTCCGATTTCTAACGACAATCGAAGATCCCTGACTCCAAGTGCGCTGCGAGTACCAGCTTCCTTGGCCTCCACGGGAAGCAAACCAGTCGCGCTGTCTTTGGCGATTTCTCCCCGAGTGAAAGCTAGTTCTTCTCTCTCCAGTTGCTGTTTGTACGACCGTTTCATCATACCGTTTATAGTACCGGACGGGCCGTTCGATCTTGTCCGGGAGAATACGACCGAAAGAACCTCCTTAACAAACGTTTCAGTTGCAATCGCCATGAACTCGGCGCATGCAACGCCCGCGCCGTTTACGACAGACTCTTCGTAGCATATGGGGATCATCCGCGCGTGTATCGATTCGGCATCAGGAAATTCGCCGGTTTCTTGGGCGAGCGACTGTTCATATCGTTTTCGTACTTCCAACTCCCAATCTAAAGGGCAGCCGAAGTGGTAAGCCCCCATTCGCGAAACCACCGCGTGCGGGTTATAGAACTTACTAGTCATATTCAAGCCGCCCGCGCTTGCGGGGACTTGGTTGGGCACCCTGACCTGTTTAGCCAGGTGGTATTCCTCCAATTCACTGGGTATCGTCTCGTGCGGGTCACGCTAGGTAGGAGCAGGCTGTTAACCTATATTCGAGTTCGTGCGGGGTTATATAGCGCTGTGTCTCGTTTGAAGCATACCTCTGGAATTCCCTTGATCCGCCGGCGATCTCTAGGAGGCAACTGCATGACCTCGGTCTTGAGTCGCTGTTCTGCGGCATCTCCAGAGGTCGGTTTTGACACCACGGAGGGTTTGTCGTTCGCGGAGACCCAGCTTGCAACGCCATGGTCGGGAAGATCCCGCGTGAGGTTCCCAATGATCGCGCAGACAAAGTTATTGTGAAGATGTTCGGTTTTCGGGTCGGCGCATATTATCGAGTCGATCCGCGATGCGAGTTCATCTTGGTTCAATTCTCCTGTACGACGAGTGCAGAAGCCCGTTAGTGAACAATGAAAAAGTGCGACAAGCAACGGTATGAACAAGCCAAGCCAGCGTCAACTCGGCGGCACATACCTAATAGAAAGCCAGAGGTAGCTTGCTTGTACTCAGTCCACTTGTCGCCAATAGCGGCTTTCAGCTCCGTGTAGATAGGCTCCAAATCCAGTCGCGGGACGGATATCAGGGCTTTAGTGGATTTCTGAGTTGTTGAAGAACTGGGAGCCGTATTTTTGGATGAAGAGAGTGCGGCAGACGCAGAGTCTGTTCGACTCAGTGCCGCAGGGTCAATCTGCATGGTTGGGGCTGGGGTTCGCGGAGGCGCGACGGGCTGCGCGAAGCCGGGACGGAGGTGTATTACACCTTCATGAAGGAGAAGAGGTGCCGAAAATGCGGAATCCGATGGGCAAAACGCAGTATCTAATGAATGAATGTTCAAATGGATGGAACCACGATGGAAAGGGCGGCGGGTGGATGGCCGGAGTTGGGCGAGTTGATGGAAGGAGTTCCAACCTGCTGCTCGACTGTGACTGCCAAAGCGAAGCGGACGAGCTGCTCCCCCGCCAACTGATTTTATACTTTCAGACTCGAGTCACCACAACTACGCGAATATACTTTGTATTTTTACTACGCATATAGTTTGACTGCTTCCTCGTCTAGCACCCCAAACAGCCGCCCGATTTCTTCGGAGATTCCCTCGATTTCTTTCGATAGCTGCCCCGTCACGAGCACTATTGATCAGGTCAGACGGAAGCCCAAAGCACGGCCCTAGAAGTACATACCGTATGCATATAGCAGCGCATAATCTTCATCCGTGGACGATCTAGACGCTTCCAAGTCCTTGCGGTAGTGGAAAAGACGCGCAAGTAGTCGATCTCGCGCATGCTCAACGTTGGGCAAATTATCGTTCAGCGGATACCCCAACTTCATGGAAGAGGCCATAACTGAGGACTTGGTTAGATGATTACGTGCAATAAATATAGAATACTGACAAGACAATAGGTGACTGATGCGAGAGGACAAATGCCGGCGCTCTCGCACCGTATAGTCAAGGATAGCAAGCTCCCCCTCCGACGCCGTCATATTCTTGACCAACTCTAGATTCATTGCGACGAAGCTATTGACCATGCTCCGCGTGCGCGCAAGAAGGTTGGTGTAAGCGGCATCCGGGAAAGCTTGCTTGAGCTGGAATTCAGAGCGGGCAGAGGCTTGAAGGGACTCCAAATGGGATATATATCGTTCAACCTCGAGTTTATCCCTAGCAGTCATGAATTCCGTCGGTTGTTTCAAATCGTAAGTTGCAGATAATGGACCAGACTTCCAGATAAGGCTCATTCGAAGCCACAACAGGGCAAGCCCGTCCTTTAGCCTCTTGCGTGCACTGATCGGCCAGATCAACCTTGTGATGATCACTCCCCAGATGCAGCCTGAGAACACAGCTACAACTCGATGGAGAGCGATCTGGGTAATCACCGGGTCGTCCCCTCCTTCGTCTAGATCGTCCTGACCATCTTTCTGAGTGAGTGAGTAGGCATACAAGACAGAAAGATTGTATGTAAGCATAATGAAGCGCCCCATCGGACCTTGGCGTTTGACGATGATAATGTAGGCGGTCCAAGTTGACATGATTAGACCAACGAACGCAAGAGCGTATGCATTCCCGCTAGTGATATACCAAGACAATATAGCACATCCCGCGCCGAGGCATGTACCAAGGAAACGCGCGGACCCAGTTGTGTTAGATGAGCCGATAGTCATGGAACAGACCAACATGTAGGAGAGAAGACCCCATTCTCCTCGCCAGTGAGAGTAGATCGGTCTAGTCGATGAGATGAAGGATGGCAAGGCGTAAAGTGCTGCACCAGCGCCGACCTTGATCGCAAACTTAGTATCGTCGCGTCGAAACACGCCGAGTGATTTCCATAGTCGATACCCGAATCTGGCACTCCTAGGGGACTTGTTCGAGGTTGTTTGGAGATATTCAGTGCTACCCAGCGGAGCAGTAATGATGCCTCTTGGGTTTGAGTTGATTAACGGTTGATCTGTGTTCGGTCAATAAAAGCTGGATTCGAGCATAACGCAATACAATTCAACTCACTAGAGAACCTTTTCCGCTCTGATTCTCCTTTACGCCAGAACCTCAGCCAGTTCCACGACCGACCATGCGGCCGTTCTTCAGATTCGAGTTGCAATTCATCAAGAATTGCGAGTAGTTCTTTCAATTGTTCGCCGAACTCGAGTAATGAGAAACTAAAATGCCCACAGCTCGCGGCAACCTCCTCAAGATCGGCTTCGAACTCGAGGTTTTTGATTTTAAGTATTTCCTTCCGTCGGTATATAGTTTTCAACGCTTCTTCTCGAGATTCACGATAGAGCTCAAGCGCGCGGTCGAGACTCGTGCAAAATCTACTATCAATGGAAACCTTATGATCCGGAGCTGGAGTAAAAGGGATCTCATTGAATATCCCCTTTAACGTAAAAGCAAGGGCTCGCTACTGGTCATTAGCAATGTGTCCATTCACTTTGTAAAAACTGACTTACCATAGAGGGCCCTAGATGGTCTATAAAGATGGCGAATATATCGGCAGGAAGCAGGTTGGGTGCGGCTTCCGATTCAGAAGTCTGTACCCGGCTCAAGACCGGCCGAACAGTTTCAGGTTCTGAAAGCTCTTCTTCCGGCCTCTCGTCAATTGGTTCAAGATGAGATCGATCCTCGGGTAACGACCAAGGGCTCATTGGTCTGTGGGAATCAAGAGAGCCATAAAAGGAAGCGTTTGGACTTTGCATAAAATCCAAGGGTTTGCTCTGTTTCAGGAGCTGGAACTGCAAGGAAGCAGCACTGCGCAATCCGCCCATATTGTGCGTTATATCCTGTACCCATCGTACAAGGTGCTTTTCCAGCCTGTATTCCTTCTCGGTTCCTCTCACGTAGTGTTCGAGCTTTGCCTCTTTGACAAGGGAATCAAGTTGGCTATAAGCCATCTTATGCCGTGCAGCTGCATCCAAGAATTCTGCGGCCTGAAACTCCTCTTCTGACCCACTCAAAAAGCCCTCCGTGATAAGGGCAAGCATTGATGCCATTGCCTCGGTGACTTCTGTGAGATTGGCTCGTAACTTCTTCCGCGCAGAGATGGGGAATATCAGGAACGAGACAGTCACAGTTGCCGTGACACCCATGAGAATCATTTTCAGCACTTGAGATATCTTTGCAAAGGATAAATCCCCGGCCTGGACTGCACCTTCCTTCGTCAAGACGCTTATAGTCGAGAGCGACGCCAACGAGCATGCAACATTGACGAGCGGATCGCCCAATCTCTGTTTTGTCCACCCAATGAAACCCAACCCACCTCCGCAGAAAACAATGAGAACAACTGCATGTCCAAGCGGAATCAGGCCGAGGGTATCCTGGAAGAACATCGAAACGAACATGCTCGTGACCGAAACGAATGTCGTATAGAGGAAGGCGAGAAGCGCACATACTAGCGCTTTAATCATACTTCCCTGTGACCTGGCCGGGTGAAAGTAAACCGTTATGGTGGCTACCATATGCTTGCTATCCTGATGGCCAAGAAACGCAGCGAGTAGTGGAACAAAGGTCGGTAAAGACCCAAGCAGATAGGCCAGGCTGCATTTCAGAACGCCGATACCCAGTTCCGAAGAGACGAACTTTCGCAACGCAAGCCATTGACCCGAGAATTTCCCTTCCACGCGGGACGAAAGGCCCTCTGGTCCCAGTTGAAGCTCTCCAGACAAAAGTCCACGTCGTTCTTCATTGTCTGCATGGCCATTAGGCTCGGGGCGCGAACTCCGGAGGTGTACGAGGCCTCTCAGGCGCTGGCCGGTTTTGGGGAGGATAAAAGACGTCTGGCGTAGCTGAGATAATAATTTGCGGTCAGAACTGATTTGATACTACTCCCGCGTGGGAGGCTGGTCGTGGGTAGCTGCATCAGGTAGGGCGCTCAAGAGCATCTTACCTTTTGAGAGCGGAGAAATTGCTGTGAGCCGGTCGACGAGTCCCCAAACGCAGACATGGCCTCATCTCATATTTGCTTCGTCCCGTATACGCAACCAGATAAATCGTGCCGTCGGAAGCGGAGACGTTGCGAGTGAAACTGCGAGATGACATGGCCGAAGCTTTGATCATCACCATCAACATTGTTATGCTCCTATTGCCACGGGAGGTTCCTTTTTAGTACACGCACTAATAACAAAAAGGAAAATGATAATCATCGGCTAGTACACTACGAATATTCTATACGGAGGTATCCGAGCTTGTCTATCTCAATCCCTCGACCTGCCACACCTTGACCGCTGCATCCACACCAGCAGAGGCAATTTTGGAGCCGCCAGCAATCCATGCGACACCGTTGACTCCCTCCTTGTGGGCATGTGACACTTGCAGCCAGTCCCCTGGTGTTGTCAAGCTCCAAACGAATATATTTGTGTCCAAGCCACCGCTGGCAACGTGGGTGCCATTGCTGTTCCATGCAATGGAGGTGATTCGAGACGTGTGCGCTGTCCAACGGTCAACCACCAAGCTGCCGTCGGCAACTTTGTACACAAGCACACGACCACGCGAGTCGCCGATAGCAATATTGGAGCCATCCGGTGAGAAAGCAAGGACAGACACGGGGTCTTGGGATCCCTTGATATCCCTCTTTGGTGTCAATGTGGACCCCGAGATGTCGCAAATCTGGACTGTGGCGTCTTCGCGTCCGATCGCTGCTATGTTGCCATGCGAAGCCACAGCAGTGACAGAGTCCGCCTTGAAATCTCCTACTTTTTGACCGTCTTTGTGAATCTCAACCGTTTCGGGCGTCGCCACCAAGACAGTTGCGTTTCCAGCGGCAATGGCCTTGGGCTGTCCAGACAACTTTGACGAAGTGCCGGTGTAAGTTTTGGCTCCGACGTCGATCGAACGAATAGTATCATCCCATCCAACACTGTATATTCTCCCTGTGCCTTCCTGGGTTGGTGCGAGACCTGCGATGTAGGAAGGGTGACGATCTCCTTCAATGTCCTCCGCGGTTCCCTTTGGAACATTCCAACTGCACACTCTTCCATCGAAGCTTCCAGTCCATAGTGTTTCATCTCCACCCGAGCCAAATGTGGTCAAAGATGTGATGTTCTTTTGATGGCCGTGGACGACTTGTCTTGGCTCTGGTGTGCCTTCAACAAGGTAATTCAGGTCACCGCTTAGTGACAAACTAATGAGCAAGTTGTCGCTCCTGCCTGGGGGCCAGACCACGCCAACCTGTTGATCCTGAACGTTTGTACTTCCTTCGCCACCAATATACCAGTTCTGAATGGCCTTGCCAGCTTCCACGTCCCATATCTTGACGGTCTTATCCGCACTTGCTGTGACGAACTTGCGTGAGTCTTTGGACCACGAAACAGCGAGGATGCTTCCTTTGTGCTCGCCTTCTCCAATTTGACCTTTAGCCTCCCCAGTCTTGCCGTCATACAACCAGATCTTTCTGTCGGCACCGACACTGACTAATGTCGAGCCATCGGGGCTGAAGCCAACGCCATATATGTAGTTAGTATGCTTGTCACGAATGCCGTTGTTAAATTTAAACGGCGCTCCGTGATAAAAGACCATGTTCATGTCATCACCAGCCGCGGCAGCGCGCAATGGTCGTTGTTGACGAATCGAAACAGTATTGATGGGCTGAGTATGGCCGCGAATCTCGCCGACAGTGTTTCCGCTATCCCAGGTAATGCAATGCCCGTATCTTTGCTTTCCATCTCCGACGGCGATGATGCGCTGAGAATCGCCGTCCCAAGCAATGTCGTTGATCCGGCCATTAACAATGCTGTATTCGCCCTTTGTAAGTCCATCGCCGACACAGTCCCACACTCGGACTATACCACTAGCATCTCCACTAGCGACATAGAATCCAGACGGGGCGAACCGGGCGACTGTGGTCTGTGTTTTGTGTTCGGTGTATTGCCGTGCGACTGCCGGGTCGTCAATCGAACGTACGAAGATGGATTTATTCGACTACGGACAGGAAGCCCATTTGATTAACCCAATGTGTTATAGAGTTGGAGAGTATGAGTAGCTACACAACGGAATCTGACATACCGCATATGCGAGGCGTTCCCCTTTCGCATCGGAGGAGAGCTGGGTGGGCTGACCCCGCGCAGTGGACGGGCTGGCGGCCCAGATCGATTCTGGAATGTATCTTAGCGACAATCGAAGAAAAGCGAGTCAAATAAGATAAGACTGACCGTTTGTGATTGCCATGACCAGGCTAACTAGACACAAGGTTGAGTGAGGACAATTGAGAAGCAACAGATTGATGGAGCGGGGAAGAGGGAGAGGCTGGGGGACAGCTCTGTTTACCCGCTCGGCGCCTGGTGGATCGCCATCGTCATGTTACACAGCCAGGCTGGAATATCTGAAGTAAAAGAAGGATTGGCATACTGCATCGGCACTATACTTGAATCTATCATATTGGATAAAATACATGATTCAGAATCAAGCCCTACGCCGGGGACACGGTTGGTATGATATAGTACATTGCTCCCTGTTGATGCCAGCATTCATCACACGATAACGAGACAGAAAAGACAGGGAAAACACGAAATAGACAAGAATTATAGTTTACTTTGATGTCACAGCGCCTCTTCACTCCTTTCCATAGAAACCCCTTTCCAGCTTATATCTCACTGTTTGTGCTAGAATTTCCGGATGACCGTGCACACTCGGCATGAGACCCAGGCCGACGGCTCTTCGGATTGCCTTTCCCAGCTTGCGTTGGTTGACGGCGCGCAGACCAGTCACATTCCTATGCTTGATGCGACCCATATGAGTCATGTATTCGGTCATCATGGAGAAATTCTGCGAGGTAAGGATTAGCCGATATCCGCCGGCTTCAAACTTATTATACGCCAGAAGTCGTACCTTGTATTGATCTAACGGGTTGAGATTGAGGGCATCAAAGACGTCTGTGGCCGGGGCCTGAGTTCTCTTCCATTTCTTCTGCTCGGCGGGGCTGAGATCGTGAGGAGAATAGATGTCACCGGGCTGGAAGGGGCGATATGCAAAGCGTTCCATAGCACGACCCTCCTGTTGCACCCTCTGCTCTTCTTTGAATTTGGAGCGATCTCTGGTGACTGCCCGAATTCTTGCGCTTCTGTTTTGGTTGCCTAGAATTTCAGAGAAATTAGTAGATGGCTCCTGACATTTATACGTCTTATCAGTAGGATCTGGGATTACTGTATTTCGTTCTGGGTTGTGGTAGCGAGCCATGTGAGGCGGCAATTGTAGCAGCACCGGTTGTTGTTGAATTGAAGCGGCAGGCCGATCGAACAGCCGTTGAAATGGGCCGTAACGAGGCAAAAGAAGATAGATAAAATGACATTGTGCCGACTGGGCTTCTGGTTCTCCGGCAGACGGGGGTTGATGGTGAAAGTTGATGGAGATCAATCGGAATTCTTTTTGGAGTGCCAAGACTTGGACTTGCAGAGACCTCCGCATGACTTAATTTGACTTAAGCAAAATAATTCAAGACCCAACTCGAGCAGAGTCCCACCGCGACACAGCTCCCCTCTCTCAACCTAGTTTCGTGCACTTTGTCTTGTCAAATGCATTGAAACTGTTACCGCTTACCATTTCGCCCTTCAATATTTGAGGTAATTGACACTATACCGGCAGCGACAGGCCAACATGCAGTCCCGACTCACACGAAGTGTCTTTCGAGCGATCCTCAACAATGAGCCGCTTTCCTCGCCGCGATGCCCCCATAGATCTCTGCACACTGTCCGGACGTATCGATCTCGAAGAGCAACGTCCGGCCCTTCGTATGTTCAGCGTCGTGGGCTCTTTGCCTTCAACATCGCACCTCCCAAAGGGCCGCCGCCTGCAACATTGCCATCTGAAATCGGCTTGAAACCGATGACGGATCTCCTGAGATCGTTGACGGATCAGAGCAGAGGGCCGGGAAATGATATTTTAGCAAAGGCTTTCCAAGACTTCTTTGAAACACGCGCGGGAGAGCCGGGAGTAATAACGCATTTCCAGGCGCGTTTGCTCAGCACGACATGGAAACACTTGCGAGCTCACGAGGAGGAGTTGGAATCCGAGGACTGGCACAGGGTCTTTTCTACAGAAAGCTTGGAAAACATGCTCTATGTTCTATCGGAAGCTACTTGCCTACCCGAGGCGCGCGAAATTGTCCGCAAGGTCGCGCGTTACGCGTTCCATGAGCTTTGCGAAGACCACGGATCCGGCCGAAACCGAATCAATCGAAACACGCTTCTTACTTATATAGATATACAGGCCCTCAATGGCAACCCCGAAGAGGCACGACACACTGTTGAGACATTCTGGTACCGATTACGCAAGATTAGTCCTTCGCCGTGGCTCACGGTAATGAGAGGTTTTGCGATCGAGAACGATAGCCGTCAGATCAGACGGATTGCCGAAAAATCCGATGAAAACGGCCTCACCTTTGATTCTACCTCACAGGAAGACTTGGTCAAGCTTCTCGTTGGACAAGATCTCCTCCCCGCAGCTAAAGCAGTCTACGAATGCCCTTTGTCTAAAGGCCAAGAGCCCAATTTGTCAACCAAGCTTGCCATTCTGAAGTATGCTGTCATGAACTTCAGTACCGCCGGATTAGAGCCTCTTTTTGAATCTCTGGACACTGCCCATATTCCGCAGACTATCGGGATTAGATTGCTCTGGGATGCCTCTCACGGAAAAGATGCATCATATATTGCCAAAAATGTGGAACTGTTAGCGGCAGAAAATCCTGACGTGATGAAATCTCTTACCATTGCCTGCGTCAATGATCTGGTAGAGTATGCCAACTCCACCAAGAACCCTACGCTGGCATCGGGTTTCGCGGATTTGGCTTCCGCATGGGACCTTATACCTGACTCCCAGACCCAACTCTTACTGCTGGAGTCACGTATCCAGGCCGGTGATGTTGATCAAGCGTTGCAGTCTCTAGGGGAGCTTGAGGACTTGGACAATACAGCGCCCGGAAACCTCCACTTGATGAATAAGCTCATCACGATGCTCTGCTGGTCAGGGCAGGATGATGCTATATTCGATCACGTCTCATCCTTCCTTGACCCGCTATTCGAGAACAACGTGCGCCTAGAGGCTGGCACGCTCGCCGCATTGACACACCTGCTAGTTTACCGCCATGACTGGGGAGGTGTCTCTGAACTGCTTCGCCCCCGGCTGGGCTCTTACGAGTCCGAAGAACGAGCCAAAGTGCGCAATGCACTAGCAAACTTCATCCTAGACACCACACAAGATAGCGACCAAGCCTGGAACGCATACAACCTCCTCCAACTTGCCTTCCCAGAAACCGGTGTCGCCAAACGTACGGAGATCATGACCTCCTTCTACAAGCGCGAACGCAGCGACCTCGCCTTCCTCGTCTTCGGCCACATGCGCCAAGCCGAAAACTTCTCCCAGCGACCCAAACCAGATACATACGCCCGCTGCTTCCAAGGTATTGCCCGAACCCAAGACGTCAAACACCTCGAACTCGTCCACAACATGCTCAAACTCGACACCGAAGTCGACCTCAACATCCGCCTGCTGAACTGGCTCATGCTCGCGTACGCGGAATGCGACAAGGCCGAGAAGAGCATGGCTATCTTCCGCGAGATTTTACAGACCGAGGATGGCCCTTCGCATCGCACCATCTCATTCTTCTTCAAGGTCTGTGAGAAACACGCCACGGGCGCCCAGGAGGCTATCAAGATGATGGAGAAACTCAAAAAGCTCGACGTCTCCGTCGACCGACGACTTTACATGGCGTACGTTGAGGCCCTTGCAGCACAATGCGAGTTTGATCTTGCAACCAAGGCGCTCGATGCTATGGCTGATGTCACGGGGTATGAGCCGACGCCTACCTCGTGAGTACCCTTCCTTCCTCTTGCTTATAACAAGAAAAGATCAGAAATTTCCTAACACGAACCTAGAATTGGCCTCCTCTACAACGCAATTCCGTATCAGTACTGGAAAGACGAAGTGGAGAAATGGGCGAAAGAGAGGCATCCCAATTTCTGGAAACAGCTCGAAGGCCTCGAGCGTACAGAGCACGAGGAAGGGCAAAGGATCGTATTACCTGGGACCGAGTGGCTTTCTAGGTTCCTCTGATTCATTGCCTGGGGGGATCATCTGTATTTCATCCATTGCTCGACCACCACGATTGGATATCGTATGATAGGATGACCGTGTGTATCAATAAATATATATGAACGCTTCGAAGGAGTTACCCTGGACGCTTATAAAATTAACACAAAGATTCATATCGAAATATCTATTAAGATTGTACGTCTTCACTTTTCTGTATCCTTGCAACTGAACAAAAAGGTAACCTCATACTAAGCAATACTTGTAACGCTGCAAAATGTAAACTATTACTGTGGGAATCAAAGATGCATATGGGACAGAGTGGTCCTCATTCCGCGACTGTCTAAACAGATCTATGCTTGGGACTGTGCAAGTCGTTTGGTCATGCTGCAATCATGTTAGAAGATGATCACAGGGGTAGTTATAGTCAAGGTAACTCACAAGTTGAAGAATGAGAATTGGCTTGGGCCACTACCGTACTCGTACACGAAGCGACTGGCAAGGTGACTGCCGAAGATAGCTCGTAGATAGCTCTCAGGAACCTATCTCGCTGTTAGTCTGTAGTCTCGTCCTTAATCAGAATATATGTATGAAACAGGAATCTTACCCGCTCGAGAATCGTATCTAGACCAATCTTGTCGAGTAGCAGTTTGGGCAGAGCATCGTTAAGGACAGAGCGGCGAAGATCCACATTGTCCCAAAGCTCTGTCTTCTGCAGCTCTTCGTCGAGCTGTGTGATAGCCAAACTAAGCCTGTCGCTGAGCACGCTGCGGGGAAGGCCGGTCTGCTCGTGCTCGCGCCAAATTGCTTCGAATTCGAGCGTGGCGTTCTCCTTGATGACTTCCTGGACCTGCTTCACGTACTCGCCATAAAACGCAGGAGCGCTACCGTCTTCCCCGACACACATATTCTCCACGAATCCTTGGTCATCGAAAGATAGCGAGGCCAAGACCTCCAAAGACGAAGAAGTCACACCACCCTTGTTGGCAGAGGCATCTTTGAAAAGAATGCACCCGGCCTTCTCGAGGCGGAGCTTGCTGTCCTGAGTGATGAACAGATTGGCGCCCTCAACAATGTAAGGAATGGTGGATTTGCCGTCTTTGATGAGCTTTCCAACAGTAGAAAGGTCAATTGATTCGGGACGTCCACCGCAGGGAACAAAGGTGTCGTAGGCCGAATCGTTACGGAGATGGAACAAGTTGCGGAAGACCATGCCGTTATGAACGACTTCGCCGCTGGGCAGTTGAACATTGCTTTCATCAACCAAAACGCGGTAGCCTTCAGGTGAGAGCTTCGTCACGTCAAATTCAGAGATGGTCACCCGCTTCTTGGCCAGGCGCACGAGCTCATCACGGTCCAACCCCTGAGGGTCGACGATGACACCCGATCCATCGACGATGGCAGTGTATTTCTCATTAGCCAGGAGAATTTCGTTCGAGCCGAGGTCACCGTCGGGCCCACCAGTCTGCAGCTTGCGGATTGTAGAGGGATCAATCTTGAGTTTGCGGTAGATTCCAAGAACATACTGGCGGACGGACAAGGTGGTCATACCATACGTATCGTGCGGGATACCACCTAGACGGGGACTCTTGCCTGTGAAGAAGGACTTCCACCAAGGTGCGCCGCGGTTCCGGGCATGTTCAGTAGCCCAGTCAACCAATTCGGCGGTGTTCTCATCAGGGCCCATGAAGAGAATCTCATCTTTGCCGTATAGATCGACAATAGGGTCCTTGATTCCGGGGCTAACAGGAGGCAGCAGAAGGTCTAGAATACTGTCGATATATTTTTCGAAAGCAACACGAGCTTTGTCCTGGTGGTTGACGTCAAGAAGGATGACACCCTTGGCTCCGCCTTCGGGAATATCCTTGTTCTTCCGCTGTTGTGTATTGGCGAGATTGTAGTTTTCGTCAAACAATGAACGGGCGTTGATACTGTATGCTTCCTTGTTTCTGCTCTTCACGATACGGATACCACCTCGAGCAATGTCTCGGAAGCGGAGATGGAATCCACGGAATTCAGAGCTGATGACCAAGAACATTCCATATAGTCGCTGAGGGTACTCATGTTCTGGAAGGAAGGCCGGGTTAAGCCGGAAGCTCAGAGCCACCTTAGTTGGTGTGAAGAAGTTTGTCTTGAGAATCGACGCATTGAAGACACGGAAAGCACTCATAACCATTTCGTCATGCTCATTGGCGGCCGTGCTGGAAATGAGTTGTTTCAGCTGCCGTCCGTCCAGAACTTGGTCGACTTGAAGACGCAGGTAGCTCAGTGTCGGGAGGAAGTCATCCTCCGTCGGGCCACGGGTTTGGACGTAGTGGGTGTTGGCGAAATCCAGATAAAGTTTGTGGATCAGGTTAGGATACTTGTTAACAATCTCCGCTATATAGTCGGAGGTGAAAGTCTCCGTACGCAACCTCTTCTTGATCTTCGACAGCAACTCTGCGTGGGCACTATTGTTTGAATCCAAGAGGTCGCTGAGAGAGGTATATTCTGAACCAAGACGGTTCAAGAACTGCTGCACAAAGACCCACGCGCAGTGGGCATAGATGGTTTCTTGCAAGCTAAGACGTCCGCTGGCGAAGTGATGCTGGAATCTGTTCTGCGGAACGCAGTACAGAAGAGAGACTTCCTTGATGATTTGATGGATGGCAGCCTCGATGGGAGGATACTTAGCAGCAATCTCCGCGTTCTTCAGGGGACGTAGGTAGAGCGAGATGACGGTGATGCCGTTTGAAAAGTTCTCCAAGTACTTTCGCGAGCTCGTGAGGCGGTAGTAGTGATAAAGGTCAGAGAGGGCGCTGAACAAGCCCATTGCAGAGCCTTGGCGGTAGGCAATGACAAGACGCTTTTCGCGAGATTTCTCAATCTCAAACATCTCAATAACGGGACCGGCCCGAGAAACGGCATTGCTGATGATCTCCTGGTAGACGGCCTTGGTGTTGGCCGTTGCCTTTTGCAAGAACCTCTTCTCGCCAATAACTTCAATGTTTGTCTCGTTGGGATCAGGGTTAGGGTTGACGAATTGGCACTTGTACACGAAGTAGCAACGTAGCTGCTGGCCATCATCGCCAGGAACTGGAGTGGGAGAGCGGAAGGTCTCAACGCGATAGCTGTTTTCACGTGTTGAACCGTCGACGTATTTCTTGTCAATTCTCTGTTCGTAGCGTGGGCCGTCAACACTGGAGAACCCAGGCTTGCTGGTGTCGATATAGACAGCATGATCTTCTGCTTCCTTGTCTAACCGGATTTCGAGCTTTTTATCGTCGCGCGCATAGGCTGCGACCTTAGCAGCGTATAAAGAGAGGATTTGTGTCACAATGGCTTCAACGGTCTCCGTCTGGAAGTATGTATCATCGATACCGAGCTGGTTATAGAACCATTCTGTTTCTCCCACGACGAACTCTGCGGGAATAAAACCCTTCTTTTCTAATTGATCCATAACTAATTGCACACATCATAACATTAGTATTACAAACTCATGATGCTTGATACGGAGAGGAAAGCTCACCTTGCTCCATTTGATGCTCTTTGCCCTCGAACTTTGCAGCTATGTAACCGGGGTCCTCCTCGGACAGAATTCGGTGAGGGCTGCCCGGAATGGCCAGATGAGTCGGCTGAGGGGACGGAAGCCGAACACTTGACCCTGCTACATTGTCGAGAATCTTGTTGTGCGGTTGTCTCTGAAAGCCAATTGGAGTCCCAGCACCTGATGAGGCGCCATCATTACTGCCAAATAGTTTAGGTGCAGGGCGAACGGGCAGCTGATTGCTGCTATTGCCGTTGATATGCACATCAGGAAGCGATGGATCTGACTGGGCGGGAGACACCATGGCGAGGGAGATGTGCGGGTGACTGTGTGCAGTATGTTTGATAAAAAAGAAAGAGGGCTGTTGATTACTGGCAAAGAAGTAAGCAAAGGGCGGCACTGGGGAGGTATAAGTCCAGAAAATAGAATGGGCAAGCTAGCGGGGGACGATAAGAAGGATACACAGAAGGCGCAAGGAACACGGAGCTCCAGAGATAAAGAGATAAACGGTGAGGAGCTGAGTCACAGCTGCCAACAAGGGATGCCGGGACCTACCTCAAAGGCTCAAAGCAATGGCCCAGAATAATCAAAGATGGTCCAGGGCAATGACGAAAGAATGGGTCGAAGCTTATTGGGGAAGGTGTTCAAACGTGACAAGTCCCAAGGAAAGGTCTTACTTGTGCAGTGGCTTTGAGGGAAGAGTAGAACTGATTATCATTATTCAGACAGACACGGTCAATGCAGAGCAGCGGTGGACTCTTTATATAGCTCCGGACAGGCTGTCTGGTTCAGATCAGAGTCATGGTTCCAAACAACGGAGTATACATTGATACGGGTCGTGTATCAGCTTTACAAAGATTTGCTTCTTTCCCGGTGCTATGCGCGATCAGCCACCTCAGGCACCATAGTGGCCGGCCCGGGAGGCGAGTCTCGACCTCAATAATTCCTGCTGATCGCAGATGATACCTTGGGGGCGCTAGCTCCACGTTTTCTTTCTTCAAGTGACATTTTTGATGCAGCGCAGCTGGATGCCCGGAGTATTAGTAGTTGCCATCATTGCATCAGTTTCTTCCATGCTTCGCCGAGCTCTCCTCCACTCCAACAATGACCATAGAGTACACCTGTGATGAGCGTCCTCTTTCTAACCCATCCTGCTACATTCCCCTTATCTTGAGAACTATCCAAAATAAAATCCTAGGCCCTCAAACGAGCTGCGCACCTTGTAACGGTGGTGGATCCCAACTGGAGTTAGCGCGTCTTACTAAATTCAGACGTGCCATGAAAAAATAACGCTGCGTGGTAACGTGATTGGCTGTCAAGGGGCTAAAATTGGAATAATTGCCTCAAACTTTGGCAGCGTAAGTCACGAGTGTGGCTGATTGTTCTCTCTGGGATTCTGGAAAATACGGATTGCATCACAAGTCGAACTTGATACAACACTTGCACTCATTAAGCAAACAGACAGGGGGAATGGGTAACCGGGGGCCTAGATGTCCAAAGCTTTCTAATGCGGAGAGCTGAACGGCCACCGCTTCGGCCTCATGATTCTCATGATTCGCAAGAATGATACCATGAGGCCCAATCAGCTGACTACTCCAGTCTTGTGGTCTGGCTTCCTCCACTTAGTCGCCTGGGAGGGCTGGAAGAGGTTTCCAAAGCGGAATTTCGGTTTGTCATGATGGCTACTGTCTTGCAAATCATTGCTGCTTGCTGTTGGGATTATCTGCATCCTTTGATTCCTCTGTGTAATTGCACACGAGGCGAGAAAATGCCGCATTCGATTGTTCGACGCCGTCGAGTCTTAGGGGGAAGGCATTCCATTCCTCCTTCTGCTGCGTTTATCAATTGACCTGCCGCAGCTCCTCTGAGACAGGGAGTGCTGTCAGGCCAAAGCTCGTCGGATGCGGGGTTGGCCGATCCTTGACTGTAGGTACCTGGATCTGAGGCGGCCGGCTATCCTCAATCATTCTTAGTGTTTTGCGGGGGAGAAAAAACTCCTACATCGTACGGAGTCCGTCCCCTCAATCTGCCATCGAGCGTGGACCACGGAGGTTCAACTCCCCCAGAACCCTTTCGGATTCGCAATAGTTTCCTAGTATCGCATTTTGCACTCTTTCCAGCATTAAATGCCTCAAATCTCATTACGCCTGGAACCAATTACCCCATCAAAACCGTTCTTGCCGGACACGTTCCCGAACATGCAGCCATGCAGGAAAAGACCAAGACCAGGTGGGGTTAATTCTCCCGGTTCTTGCATTAGGAGCGCTCGGGCTTTGGTTGGATGAGGTAATAATTGCAAGACGGCGGCGCGGAAGACTTCATATTCGCTCTCTTATGCTCCATATGTCCACTTGGTTTGGCAGGTGATGCCGACCCCAGTCGTTTCGATGCGGTCGAGGCGTGTCACGGTTCGCAACGATGACGTAGTTGCGTCCGTGTACGAAAAAAAAATCTTACAGCGAGCCTGACCACTCAAGAGACAAGCGCAAGACGTGCTTGAGGGTTGGATTCGGCGTCAAAATCAATTCGGTGTCAAGAGCAAACCGTTGTTTCTACTTGATCTTATCTTGCGGCCGCGATGTCAGCGACGGATGGACTCCCGAGATGCGGTGAGTACAGAGTCTAGCATGATGTTGAGCTCTTCAACAACCAATTCCACCCCTTATCAATCCAGCTTTCAAAGAGATAATGGATATCGCGATATGACCCTTCTTTCAATGGATTCTCACTTTTAAAGAGCGCAACATTGCACTGCATCAAAGTGACCTTGCCTTCATGCCGTGCTCCTGATATCTGATAGATCTTTCTAGGTCTCGTGAATAGTAAGACTCACCTAGAATTGCTGTCCGTGAGCACCAAGCTGACCTCGTACATGCATTATCAGCCAGTCAAGATTGAAAGGCTCCTGCAGGCCTGCAGTAGCATTCTTGTTATGAGTCAAGACAAGGGGATATGCGGTTGCAGCTCATCAACCGTTGGTGCACAATGAACAACGTCATGGAGCGATAAGGCATATTTTCACTGCCAAGGCAGCAGGCACGATCAATTGATACTGGTGGCTTTTTATATTTGGTCAATTGATACATGCCCAATCAGCAGCATTTCCGGTTTAGTATGATGAATACCAGAGGTTAGCCACTGATGCCTCATACTGGTATTGTGATCAATTCGAGACATTATGAGAAAAGACTTCGAATCAAGATAGTGGAGTGTTTCAAGTGGTGCTTGGTTGTATCTATATATTGGCACCGAGGTGCCGAGCGTCTGGACTTAAATATATATTCGATCAATACTAACCATATCCCAGTTTAACCATGTTGCTATTAGGTTGCGAGAAGCTCTCAAACATTCGAAATATCCATATATGCGAGCTTGAGAAGTCACTTTCGGAATCCTGCTTTTTCTGGGTACTACTAGAACTTCATCATGGATCAACCTCTTCTTGACTCTCGGAATTTATCAAGATTCCCTTGCAGGCTACGGAGGGAGCTTTTTCCAAGGTCAGTTGTCTCTATCAATCGACCTCTACCCCACATTAGGTGTCAATTCCACCGATACTATCATCCATTAGTTCTACATCTGGTATCGAACTCTGCTTCCCGATTATGCACTAACGAGTGCATCAAGGAGTCCTCCTTATTACCCCCAATTCCATACGAAAATCGTTCAACGAAAGTACCCGTCACTGAACCTGACGTAAGGCGACCAGCCCTTACGACAGCGATGTGACGGGTAGCCATTTTCTACCTTTATCCGGAAGCTTTCAATGCAAGCTCGTGCCTGGTATTGCGCGGTAGTCGGCCAGAGTCTCCCAATGTACTCTGACCCGGCCATCGCAGAGTTAATGGTCTGGAAGGCGACAACGGCCCGAATCTCAAGATCAAATTCTCCAAGAGCCCAAGCCACAAAGGTCGGTAAGTTCCGCTCTCCGAACATTCGTCGATAGGGCTATTGATCGCTGCCCGATCACCTGGAGACATTTTCGGCGTATCGCAGCACATGATCTAGAGGATCGGCTCTCCTCCCTGAGGGATACCTCTCGAGCGGGTGGTCTGGACCTTGATGTAACAAGTCGATAACAACTGCGCCGAGAAACACCTTGATGATCATAATTGTGGCCACCCCACATGGAGCTAGACCGACCATGACAGCAGACTTCACAGCAAATTAGCCGGTCTCGTCGACTCGACATTTTGGAGATGTGTGAGTGAACTCTGGACCAAAAATACGATCTTCGATCTGCGAACAGGTCAGTCATGGGGCGCTAACCAGCATCAGGTGATCATGATGCTGAAGCCCAAAATTCAGGAACAGCGCCAGCGACCAAGCCAAGAAAAAAGTCAACCTCAATGTGTTCAGACACAGGACCCTGGAATTGATCACGACATGGACGACCACCCCGCTGATGCAGGATGAGGCGTTGATACACTAAAGGTGCAAACACTGCTATCGGAGCTCATCCATGGCGCCATGCCTTACTTCGCATGTGTCGTCGTACGTGCACACCGCTTCTCGAGAAGAACCCTGATCTCCGGCCAGGGGCCACCTTCCTGACGAAGCGGTGTGGCTATGAAACCAACTCAGAGCAGCGTGACTTGTTTGTGAAGCCGCGTGGCGCCCGGGTCGACTGTTGTTGGTAGCGAAGATTCGCGGTCTAGAAGCATTTGATTTGTGTTGGATCAATAGAGCTTTCGGTATCGCGAGTTGGCAAGTGATAACGGAATAACGGCTTCGTTTGTCTCGGGGCCGTATTTGCAATCTGGAGCAGATCGGCGGCGGGTTCATTGATAAAAAGGCGCCGCGCCGTGTCACATACGTAGCTACTCCGGACTTGGGGATGCTCCAACTTCCGGGGTACACTTGGAGAGGGAGTGTTAGCCGCGACGTCAGCCTCACCGACGGTGCTGCCTAGCGTCGGGTTGAGTGCAGGATCAATCCTCACCGATCAGGCGACTGAAACATGCTGTCGCCAGCATGAAACCAAAGCAACCGCAGGGCAGCAGGGCGAGAGCACCCATCAAACTGATTGATGTGAACCCCAGCAAAGGACCGCGTACTTGAAGGCTTGACGACCCGGTACTTTTGTTGCTTTGTTTCCAGCCCATATCTCTCCGTTGTCCGGGGTCTCACCTGCCCGGGGTAACATGATAACCTTGAATGGACACGTATAACGGTCAGTTGTTGGGCCGACCAGCCACGATGAATCCGGAGTAGCTCCATTTGGTTACACCAGCCAGGCAGCCAGAGAATAGTCGCATTTGCTGCTCCTGAGTAGGGTCGAGGAAGCGGTTGAGGACTCCTGACTCAGGATTCATCAAACAACGATCGCGCACCGTTATTTGCTCAGATCATATTGCGCTTTTCCTCCAATCCCCGCAAAGAAAGAAAAAAGGAACAAGTTGGCGCCTCGCGGAGATGCGCCGGAGCTCCTTTTCTGGAGCCCCTTTCTCCAGCTTCAATAATAACATTTGCAGAATCTTCCCCACAATTCGGCCTGCACACGTAGTCTTTCCTGACCACGCTTCCCCATAATTTCCCCATTTGGCAGAAGGAAGCTGTTGATTAATGAGCGCATCTGCCCCGGGAAAAGATGATGCGTCGCCGGGGCGCTTATCCGTCCCGGCCAGTTGGCTCTTTGCTGAAACCTTCCAATGGGGCAGGGAATACTACCCGATCTTCTGGGCCGCGGATACCTGGGCAAGGTGAGGCGCTGGTGTGGGCTGACTCTTTCTCTGACTCTTCTAGCTTCCCGGGAGGACCTTTTTGAAGCGTTGAAGATCCTTGGGCCAAGGGAGCCTGCGGACAAACAATTCCGCTGGTTGCTGGCTCCGTAGAAAAGCGGCGCCCCCTACCCAAGGCACAAAGGGATCGGATGTGTCCTGTTTGATTCCGACCCAAGTTGTGTGAAATCTTACTGCCCGGATGTCCAGTCTCGTTCGCCTTGCATTTGACTCTGCCGATGTGACAGCTTTTGCCTGGCCTGGTCCTTGTCTTTAGCCCTGCGTGTTATTAGCTGTCAACTCCCGAAACCTCAAACCTTTTATCTCGTTAAGTTGGGCTGGATTCTCCCTTCGCTTTTTTCGTTCTGGTCCAGGCCCCTACATAAAGACACGTCTGTCTCTTCTGAACCTGCTGTCTTTCGTCACTCGCTTAAGAATCGAAATCGTCTCTAAGATCTTCAAATCTAGAAGACATCAAAACCAAGGTATGCAGCCCAGCTGATTGAACAACTCCCCCACTACCTACTCCCTATACGCTGATCGGCGGTTCTCGGAGCTAGCCTATAACTCTATCTATACACTCTGAACACTTGTGATTCCATTTTCATACCGTATATTATTGAGTATACCCAACTAACCATGACAATCCCAGACACCAAGTCACCCATTTACCCACTTCTACAATAATAGACGAGCCACAATAAGCTCACTGCCTCCCCTCGCCATTCTCTCTATCCAGTCCTAAACACAACCTGCCTTCTCGACCAAATGGCATCCCCGGCCCCCTCATCCCACACCCGCCCATCCCTCATCTCCTCAACCTACAGTCAAAAGGACATATGCTCCGCCCTCATGGCCTCTACCACGCAGAGCCCCAAATCTCTCGATGTCGCAGATACACGAAATAAGGGCTCGTCCTCCTCGGCCTTTGAGTATCCGCCGCCGCCGCCTCCGTCGCCCGTCGAGTCGAGGAGTCCGCATTCCTTCTAGAGAGATGGACCTTTCACTTTTTCCGTCTTCCTCGTAAGGGAGTTCTGCCATCATTTCGTTTCTTAATTCAGTTCCGCGGCTGCAGTCTCTTTCTCCCTTCCTTGATGATTGGAGGAAGCGAACCGATTGGTTTGGGAGTACTCGGGTCGGGTTGTAGACGTGCTTTTTTGTGTTAGAGACAATTGGGCTTCTATCGCTTTCCTTTATTTCTATGGGGTTGGATTTGGGATAGCATGTTATCGGGTCACATTGTACCTCCGTTTTGATTGTTTCTCTTCTTGTTTTCCCATATCCTTTCTTGCTTTTTCCTATACTATCAGACGGTTCAATTTCGAGCGAGTTGATTTGCTTCTCACAGTATACAATCATTGTACACTGGGTTTATCTTTTACGAGCTTAAGTTGGGTCGCAGGACGTTATTTAATTCAGTTGAGACTCTTGGAGCGCAAAATGGAGGATTCAAGAGAAAAGTTGACTTGTTGCACATTTCTTCAATCATAGCCGTGAATGGCTAGTTAATGTATATATACATAAGCAATTGATAATAAGACACTTCGAGGAGGTACCAGTCTGCAAGGTATTTTCTGCACAGAGTGCATAGCTTGTAGATAACACTACGTCATATCTCCAGCAAGATCCATATAGTATACTAGTGCCTAACCTCGCATCTAGAACAAGATGAGAACACCATGAATCATCCGCACATCACCACGATCGCCAGCTGAAAACAAGCACAACCCGCCCGTCTGTCCTGGACCGGAGCTGTCGATCACATGGACCGTTGCTGCAGTTTGCCATCGTATGACGCTGTTTTGCGTGGAAAACCGGCTCGGGTCGTTCGCGATACTCTGTTGAAAGGGGGTCCTCAGCTCCAATTTCCAGTCCCGGCAGTCCCCATATTTCGTTCCTAATTCGGGAGTGAAGGAACCGGGAACCTCGAAGCTCGAAATGCGCAATATATCTGATACTTGACCGAGGTGTGTCACTGTCTGAACATATGACGTTCATTTATTTTCCGGGGTTGCTCAGGCCGAGTTTAATGTGGTGCTCACTCAGCCTCGGTTCGTCTGGCTCACGTGATGCCGGTGATCGCCGCTTAAGATGTAGCAGGATGACCTCATGGCTCGAACCCGATCGCTACCGGTTGTATGGTAGTTCCCGGCGGGGGGGGGGGGGAACCTGAAGAATATCGGAAGGAATAGGCAATTGCTCACACAGACCGTGATGGGGTTTCGGATGAACCGGCATCTGAATTACCAAGCTGGGAATAAAGGTTCTCCAGCTCCGCAATGGCATCCGAGTCGCCCTGAAGGGCGCGCTCGTTAAGGTGTTGGATGGTGGCCAGTTGCTCGTCTGTCTTTACCCATCCACGGAGTCGATCCTCGAGAGTTGGACCCCGCCTGGCTGAACTGAAGACAGTGCGCACATTGTCCGTTTCGCCCTTGCGCCTCTTGACCTCCTTTAAACGCTCCAAGAACTTGGCTTGGTTCGTCTGATGCTCTGGCTTGTACACAAGGCCTGATAGGCCTGGAGTTAATGTGGAGGTTAAGTTTTGTGGCTGCCACTGCTGCAGTACCTGAGCCTGGGGTTGCGGTTGTGGTGCAGCCGCTCCAGGGCCAGAACTTGATATAAGATTGGCCTTTCTAGCCAATATCTTGACGCTGTTGGCGGCTATGAGGTCAAAGTCCTTGGTATGTTTCAGTGGGGTGACGTGAGCGGCTGTCGAGTCCGCCTCATCAAACTCAGAGGTTGTTGCGCCAGGAGGCGCAAAAATCAATTCGGTGCCGAGTTGGTCTGCCCACGAGCCGCTGAAGATTTGGTTCTGGTGCGAGATGATCGGGTTGGGGGTGTGAAGACCGAGAATCTGGACTCGGTCGGCAGACCCGGATTCGATCTCGGGGCCGTTCAAGCTTGTGGGATCTTGCGCGTTGGAATGAGAGGGGGTGGCTGTAGGAGCTGGAGTGGGTACAGAGGTTCTTGATATCGAAGCAGAGGGTTCGTTGGGTTCATTGCGACGCCGCGGAGGTCGAAGGGGGCCGTTATATGTTGTCAGGTCGATGTTGAGAAAAAATGTCTGCGAGCCGTGACCGATAAGAATGCTGGAAAGTACGTTGCTTTGAGACCGTACCTACCTCTGTGGCTGTGTCGTCATATTCATATTCCCACTCAGAGCCATCGTCCTCTGGCACAGGGTTGGAGAGCACCATTGCTGCAGATGGTCTTTTCAGTCCTGCGGGTTGGAGTCCGCGGTGAGCTCGACGGACTCTCGGCCTGCAAGAGATCGACAGTGGATATTTCCATATAGGGGAATAGTTGATATCGGTAAACTGACGGTAACATTGGGGATACAAGGCGAGATATGCTGTAATTACTGGTAACGGAGCAATCACGAGTCAGTGGATGGGAACTGGCAAAGCTTCAGGTCTAATCTTCAGCCCTGCCGCATCCATCAGCATGAGTTCGGACTTCCAGGTCTCTCTGCACCCGGAGTCATATTCCTTGTCCTCATGCTGATCAATTTTTGGTCAAGGCTGCTTAACACATCACACACCACCAGATCCTGCTTACAGGTCGCTCTTGTCGATGATCCCGTAATCATCTTCCTCTGCGGTCAATGAACCCCTCCCCACTGTCCCGTTGTACCGACTCAGTGTATCACGGCCCGTCGTCCACTTTCAGCCCTGTTGCTGCCCATCACCCAGATCAAGCATAAAAAAGACAACACCCAACAGTAAGTGCTAGCGCTCTCTTTGCCCTATTGGTCGTCACCAATCATGCCAGTCCCTGTTCCTGCTGGGTCGTTTCCCTCCAGCGATCCGGCACAGCGCGGAAGCAAGGGAGGTCATCAGCAATGCATCAGTCATCTTCCAGCCCACTTTTTGTCTCCCATCCTTTTCCATCCTCTTCGCCGCCCACTGTCCATTATCTAACCCGATTCCGTCGCTTCCGGTTGCTCCTCCGCATCTGACCAATTGTTTCTGCTGCTTACGGGATCTTTTGCTGGTCCCGTCGCCGAATCCACTCCCCGCCAGCCGTTACCGTCATTGCTACTTGCGGAGGTTCTCGACCACCCACTGACCGAACAATGTTTTCACTTCCTTCTTATAGTGCCTCCTCTTCTTTCTGCCCCTGCCCCCGCGAGCCTAGATGCTCGCTCTCGCATTTTGTCTCTGCTGCTCCTGCTCTTCACTGCTGCTCCGGTAGTAGCTGTTGTTGCCGACTCCCCCGCGGACCCTCCCTTGACCGCCACTACTATCTTATCGCCCCTCAGTGGTGCTATCCCAATCGGGAAACCGTACAACAGACCGATCGTCCCTACCACTTTTACGACCACCACTTCTCCATTGACTACGAAAAGTGCTGCGCGGGATAAGGAGGCAGAGTCTCTTCCACAATCGCCATTGTTATCCGGGGACTCCGACGTTGCGGCTTCAGCTAGTACCTATGAGCAGATGGTCCAGAGAACTACCGCAGCAATTGTTACTCTCTCTTCACTTATCGCCTATGTGACCATCAACAGCATCGCCCGTGCGGTGAACCCGTCGGCTTTTATTTGGTATGAGGAGGATCATGATGAAAAGGCCTGGGTTGCCTCGTCATCTTCATGGGTGGACAGGAAGGCCTGTCGGTGGCTCGGCCTTTGTGGCACCTCCCACTACCACCGGGTCTCCGCCCGCTTCGGCCATCGTCAACCCGCCCCGATGTCTGCCTTGTCATCCGAGAACGAAGATGTACCGCCTTGGCGCGAGCTTTGGGGAAATGAAGCCAACCACCGCGAGGACGATTGGGATGCGGCGGAACGATCTCGCCGACACATACCGGACTATGTCCTTGAGTACGCCCCGTTGGTGCACCTTTTCTCGGGAGAGCAATTTTGGCCGTGTGATATCGCGGAGCACCTCTACCACATCACTCCGACACTCAATTATACCCCCATCCAATCGCAATCAGATCACCCATCCTTACAAGATCTCGATGCGCTGAACCAGTGGGAAGGGGGACACCATGTTTTTCTAACCAGCAACGACAATGTAGAAGAGCGCCCTCCATGGATGGAAGGAGAGAAGAATGTCCCAAGTCCTCCGAAAGATGATCCCGAGCGATCATGGGCTGATTGGGACGGTCGAGTGGATGGAACGTCCCCGAACGATACACCGGAGGATCGAGTCGAATGGTACGATACAGAGCTACCCCTGCAGGACGGGACGAAAGAAGACATTTGGAAAGAGAAACTCGGGTATCCCATGCCTGATGAAGAGACTATACACGACGAACTCCGGAAACGCTACGGGGGCGAGCCAATAACTATCCGAGGGGTAGGTGGGCGAAGCGAAGCTCCAGCGATTTTGCTGGTTGTTGACAAGGGCAACGGTATTGTGGATGCATTTTGGTTCTACTTTTACAGTTTCAATCTCGGGAATGTAGTGCTGAATGTGCGGTTCGGTAACCACATTGGGGACTGGGAACACTGCCTCGTGCGATTTCATCATGGAAAGCCAAAAGCGCTTTTCTTTAGCGCTCACTCCGGTGGTGAAGCCTACAGCTACGAGGCCGTGGAGAAGATAGGTCACCGGGTAAGTATATATCTCGTATGCCGAAAAATACAAAAAAAAAACGAATAAATAAATAGCCGGTCATATATTCGGCAACAGGTACACATGCCATGTATGCCACCCCGGGTGTTCATTCATACATACTTCCCTGGGGCCTTCTCCACGATCAAACGGATCGGGGTCCTCTCTGGGACCCTCTGCTCAATTCTCACATGTACACGTACGATTATGTCAATGATATCCTTCGCGCATCTACCCTAAACCCGAACGCACCCACAGAGTGGTTCTACTTCAATGGCCACTGGGGTGATAAATTCTACCCCCTGGGAGATCATCGACAATACCGATTTGCAGGTCAATATCATTACGTCAACGGGCCTTTGGGCCCCCGATTCAAGCACCTCGACCGACACAAAGTATGCCAGAGTCCCGATGAAGCACCCTGTATTATCAAGGATTTCATCGGGGAGCAGACGCGTGCTAAACGGTGGTCCGCCTCTGGACCAGAAAACCCCAACTGAAATGCCTTTTGCTGTTGGTCACGCTGTTGCTGGTCAGCAATTTTGCCAAACAGGATATGATCATATGACGATCACCATGTCCCCTTCCCCCGTTTGCTATTTTTACACTCCTTCTATCGTTACTTTCGGTTATTTGCATCGATATCCCTTTGCAGCTGGCTTCTGTACTCGTTTTGCACATGGTATACCCCATACGTTATCTTTACTCGATTTCGAACGAAGTCCTCCACGATTGGATTTTAGAGCGCACTGTGGACCTAAGCGCCTTATGGACATATGAACTGATTTGCAAAGTACAGCATTTTGAGGAGCCATAAGGGAGTTCTAGGTTTTTTTTTTTTGGTCTTTTTTCTTTTCTTTTCTTTTTTGGTTTTCACGACATTATGTCTCCCTTGGATTACCGATAGGCGCGGTCCAGAGAAGGTGGTTCTAGATGGGTTTGTAGACCAACGTCGAAAATATAGAATGTCGGCGATGAGATCCTCTCTGCATGCTGAAGCTGTAGTATATGTCTTGCTTGATAGTTATATTAAGTGGTGCGTCTACGACGATATTTAACCCAATAACTCAGTGAGAAGCGAGCAACCACAAAATCGAAAGGAGCACAATCAGTTCAGAAACTCACTTGTCTTAGAATCAAGATGAACTCAACTCAACATCGTTAGACCTGCTTTGCTCAAACGAGAACAAAAAGAAAACGGAAAGGCAGGTGAGAAGTACGACAGTAAGGAATGATAAGAGTAGTAGGTGTAAGAAAAATTGCCAATCTCAGCTTCAGAGAAAAGAGAAAAGTCAAACCGTACACTCTGTAACGCCCGATATGGTACTATCAATAGTAGAGGCTTTCAGCCTGGAACAAGTAGAACTTCGAAGATAAGGAAAAAAGGCAGGAAAGGGAAGAAAATGGCAAGAAGGACTCATCCCAGCGCAACTTCAACTCAGCATGGGATCGAATGGCTTGTAATAGAGATATCATGCGGAAGCATTTGGAGCAATTGGAACAGATAATGGGATGGATAGCTTGGAATATGGAAAGCACGAAAGATGATAAACGCCCCAAGAGAAAGCCAGCCGGCAACGCCAATACCACTAGAAGAAAAAAGAGACCTGCGAGAGAGGAAGGAAGGTGTGGAAAGAAAGGAAGCGAGATTAGAGAGAGAAAGAAAACGAAAAAGGAAAAGGAAAAACCAAAATCCAACCCATATCCATCATACTCCGGCTCATAATAGAAAAACTCCGTAACCCCGGGTTCAGGTTTCCCAGCAACGCAACAAAACACGATCAACGGAATTCGAGGTTGACCTCGTTCTGATTTCAGAACCGCCCGCGCCCGATCTAGCATGTTTACAACGAGGTCGAATGGAGTAAGAAAAGAGTGTCGGATGAGAAAGGAAGCGAGCGCGTCTAGAAGGTGGGGCACCGATGATTAGAATAGTTCACACTCGCCCCGCCCGACGCCGTAAGCCGAATTCTTGCTCTTGGATTTCACGAATGAGGCGCATACTTTCGGCGTCGGCGTCATCATCGGCCAGCTTCGTTCCCCTGTTGTGCTGGCTGGGTGACGTGGAAGAGGCAGCATGGCGCTCAAACTTCTTCTCCACAGACGGAGACATGCTATTCTTGCCATGGGACGAGGAGGGCCGCGACGCGGATTTTCTGGGTCCAGATGATGCTCCGGGTGTGCTCTTCCGCACGGTGGTACTTGCCGCACTGAAGGACGAGCGGCGAGCAGGTTGTTGTGGGTTACCTGCTGGCTTGGTCGTCTTGACAAAATGAACCTCTGGCATATACCTTTCAACTTGGCGCGGCTGGCGGGAAGAATGACGCGAACCCGAGGATGGCGTATAAAGGGCAGCAGCGTGTTCCCCTTCGCCGTCCACTTGGTCATGAATGTCCGTCTCATCCGCCAGTGAGGTCGGAGGAGATACCAGTGTAGCAGCAAGTTTCGACACAGTGGCGGTCAGATCCTTGTTAGCGATCCCATCCGCCTGGAACGCTGGTGGCGAGGCATAAGAGTTTTGTCCAGCGAGCATTTCTCTGTCGACAAGCATGGCATCCGGGTGGTGTGGGTTGACTTTGGCCGATTGTGGGTATTTCTCGAGCAAAGCATCGTCGACAACGGCTTGAAGACGACTGGTCTCTGCATCGTGGGCGTTCAACTGTACCGGTCGTGCTACCGGTGAGGTACTTTCTTGCTTCAACCGTTTACTAGCACCGGGACCTGGACCTTGGTCGTTGGGGCGTGGCCTTTTTGCTAAACTTGTTGACCGGGGCTTTGATCGTTCCGAAGCCTTCACAGGATCAATGCGACCGTATTCATCGTGGATGCAACGACGCTGCACCAGTTAGCAATGAGTCTTGTGTTTCGACTAAGGATTTTGGAAGAAAAACAAACCTTGCTTTTTCGACACTCATCACAGGCTTTGCTACGACCCTTCTTGGCAGAGTTTGGACCCTCGGGGCTGATATCAACTCCTTTCACCGCTGGCCCATGAGAAGTAGCCATGCTTCCAGCATATTTGACTGAAACTTCCATTCGATCAGCACCCTTGGCGACGCCGTGACCATTTTGGAAACCAGCACTAGATGCAATTGCGGCTAATGAGTTCAGTGCGGATGCTGCATCTTGTGCCGTAGGGGTGTGAGTTCCCAAGCTTGGAGCACCAACTGCAATTTGCTGGTTTTGTCCTCCACCGTTCTCTTCCTTATGATGGCATCGGATCCTTCGCTTGCGGCATGCATCACAAGCGACCCGTTTAGGACCTAAGCCAGAACCGCGTGAGGTAGTTCGAGGTTTGGGAGTGGCATCTTCGTTAATGGATGGCGCTGGAATGGAAGTAGCTGGCGCGGGGGGAGAGACATTAGCCGGAGGCACCATGCCGTCATTGCCAAGGATGACTTCTTTCTCCCCATGAGGGTCATCGACAGGGCGCTCCGAGAGACGCTGCACAGCTTGCCTCTCTGCATATGTTCGCTGGTTCTCTGCGTTACGTTCCGAGCGGCGACTGGGCCTTCCGGCGGGCTTCTTCTCCACAAGGCTGAGTTTGGCATTACTTTCAACGACACCCGGGCGAGTCCACGGTGCAGCCTTTTCGTTGCCCCGTTTCCACGCAATCCATACCCCGAACATTCGGATTATATCAATGGGCTCTCCAGACATCTTGGGTATCGACCTCTTGACAGCATTGCGAGTCTCAGCGGTAACCCCCTCCACAAGGTAAGAGCCAGCAATCAGCGCAGTCCGAAGAAGGAACTTGGCAAGATCAGGAAGGCCTTCTAATTCAGCTTGAGAGTAAAAACGCGAATTGTGGTATGGTGACCCAGAAGCCTCAGTGTTGGCCCGCTCTCCAAACTCGTAGTAGATAGGGTACCTTCGATAGAAGCGATAGTTTTCATCCTGTGCGAAAGAGTCTAGCACGCTTTGGGGCACTGGATCCTCCTCGAGATACTTTAGCGCGGTGAACCATTGGATCTTCTGGAAGAACGGATATCTGAACTTGATAGGGACCTTCGTTTCCTTTTCGATATTGGCAATTTTTATCTGCATTCCGTAGTTGAGTCGAGTAAGAAAATTTCCACCGATGACCAGACTATTTTCAGGGGTCCAGACAGCATGGATCCAACCGGACGGAATGAGCATGGTATCGCCTTCAGAAAGATCAACACGGTAGCACTCCTTGGTTTGGTCTCCCAAGAAGGTGTAGTCCTGAGCGGGCGAGTTGCACCATTCCTCATACTTCTTCAAGTGCTTGTCCTTTGGCGGGATGAAGAAGAAAGACTTTTTACCTTTGAGGATGTGATAATAAACCGAAGAGCCACCAAAATCAATGTGGAAGTCCGTGTAGCAGTCGGCTACTGACATCAAGCAGTAGAATTGTACCTTTGGATAGTCCCCGGCAGCCTTTAGCTCCTCAGGCCAAACCGCATCTTGAAGATCAAGATCGCGCACAACCTTTGGCCTGCGAATAAGCCTACCGAGTTTACTTTGTGAGACTTCAAGGCTGATGACGTTCCGGACGACCTTGGTACCCGCACTTTCGTAGTAGTCTGCCCATTTCTGCATTGTCCACCGCTTATCTTCACCGTGCTGGGACTTGACGTCAATGACCTCTACCCTTTCTTCGGGACCGTAGAGCTCAGAGACTGCCCTGACAGTCAAGCCCTGTGGGATGATCATATCCAATTGGTCTTGGCCACAGTCGACTACCGTCTCAAATTCAGTATCCGGAAGATTGTCGAGGAGTTCGTCAAACATCTCCTGTGTCGAAGCTTCTTGAACGAGAGCATCAAATTCAGGGCCAATGAACGGGACTGATTCGCGAATGTTGTATTCGGCGGGAATGACAATCGGTTCTGTCATACCATTGCCTCGCTCAAAATACTCAGCAGTGACTAATTCAGGGCGCATGCGGGGGAAGGTCTCCGGGAGGAAGCGAATCTTGTTCTGTTTGATAGGCTCGATGTAATGATGCTCCAATGAGTCTGTAGCGGCCTTCACTAAGCCCTGATTGAGACCTGCGTAATCAATCGAGGTACGAGCGCGAGACGACTTGCGGACAAAGGTAGTTTGACCGTGCGCAGGCCGGCAGGTTTTGCAAATGAATTTGTCAACCGTCCTGGTTTCCCGGTCATTCTTAAAACCAGCGCAGACGATATGATACCACCGCTTGCAACCATCACAGCTGATCCATGTGACATCATCTTGGTCACTGGTATCGACTGGTATTCGAACGAGATTACACGCCGCACAGTTTGCCTGGCTGATTTCTCCGTGCTCTGCGTCATCCTCCGTTTTTAGTGGCTGGCTGTGAAAACGGACGGCTGACGCTGAATTCGAATCCTGAATGCTGACTTGGGTATCCTCAGCAATTGCTGTGGATCCAAAACCCCAGTCTTTGATCCCAGTGTCCGCCTCATCCTGCCAAGCTAGGGGTGGAAGTGTGGATGAACTAGTGTTTGGCCTGATACCTGGAATCACGGGACGGGACATGGCAGCGGAGCCGTCTGATTGTGATCTTAAACGCGACGACGGGAGACTTGGTAGTGTCGGAAAAGTGCTGCCCGAGTCTTCGTTGTTGGAGGCCCACAATGAATTCGACTTGGTTTGGCTCGGTGTGTGGAAGCCATAATTGTGATAAGATTCATCCGCACTAATTCGCTTGGAGGGTTGAGCGGGTGGGTGGAGATTTGCTGGGCGCGCAAAGTTCAACAAAAGTTCTGCATCGGTCTTCATGCTATCTGATATTGAAGAGATCATCGGATCGGGGACATTGTTTGATCGATGTTGCAAGAACGGAGATTCATCCTTTTCCGACCGCGCTCGTTTTGACGGGCGCTCAATCGACTCTGTAGGTTCAGAAGGGAATAGTGACATGGTAGAGTGAGAGTTCTGCGAAGGAGGACGGTAGGAAAGCGGTGCAAAAGTAGGACTGGTTGCAAGCGCGATCGTCGCGAGTGTATCGATGGTTGAACTTGATCGACCATGACCTGCCCGATGGGATGGCCCGGCATCCGCAGGGGAAACCCTCGTATTGCTCGGCGTGAAGTGGGCAGTATCAGAGGATGCAGGTCCCGAAAGTTCGCGCTCAAATCGGGAGGTATGGATGTCGGTGGTCGAGCACGGCGAGATTGGTTCGACGGCGCGTCGCGGAGGGGAAGGGGTTCGATATCGCGGCGGCCGGCTGCCGAGGTGAGTCACGAATGATGTAGCACTAATCATCGTGAGGACCGTGGACGAAATCAGGCAGCGAAGAAGAGGATGAAAGGTCGGAATAGAAAGTGGCCGCGGAGGAGCCGAGAAGTTGCGGAAAGCAGATGCAAAGCGGAGGGGTAGTCAACCACACGGGCTAGAGAAGGGCCACCGCAGGTGAATGGAAAGTCATTCCTGGCAGGATGGCCGGCGCACGGTATACAATGAGATGAGTTCGGATTCGCGAGGGGAGGGAGAGCGCTGGAATGGGGAAGGGAGAGGTTGACGGAGGAGAGTCGCACGGCGGAGCGCTGAAGTTGAGGGGGGCAAGAAGTTCCAGAGTCTCTCCCTCTGCCGGCTCGTCGAGAGCGGCGGAAAGACGCAGCACCGAGGACAAAGCGACGGACGCAGACAAGAGGGAGAAGAGGCAATAGTGCTGCTTGACGACTCGAGGATTCTGCAGATGGCAGCAACACCGGATTGCAAGCGATGGACGAGAAAAGGATGCGAGATTGGGAGGGGGCAGCACTGGCGCTCCAACACTGAACAGAGCGCGAAGGGAAGAGAGGTCCGGTTGGCTGCCTCAGGCCCCCAATCGTTTGCGGCAGTCCAGTCTAGCAGAGTCAAACGTTGCGACCTCAACGGGGATGACTTTGGGAAGATGACAATTGCTTAGCTAGCTTAACAATATTATGTCCATTGCTTTAAAGAAGTCAATATCAGATCTAAAGCTCCCAAGCCCTGTTGCTACCATTTCCGACTGCTGCTGTTGCTGTTGCTGTTGCTGTTGCTGATACTCCCAGAGGCTAGTCCCAAATGGGAAACAAAGGCTCTCCTCCGAACCTTGCGACCAACTTGACTCGCCTTGACGCTTCAAGTTCTCCTCTTTTCTTCCTCTACTTCTCCCTTCTTTCTCTCTTCTTCCTCATCTCATTAATCTCAAACCCCATTTGGGTTTCGGATTCTTCTCTTTCAGTCTACTATCTCACTTTTTCTGATACCCTTTTGCCTGAGGATGAGCCGGAAGCTCGCCCCCGAAGCCAATCGGTAAGTCTCGAACCATACCCCTCCGGAGATCACCAGAGTCCTTCCTATAAGGTGACTAGACCTCATCATGGGCGGTCTATAGTCGCTATACTGTCAAGGTGTGGCGCTGAGCTTGCAGGTACTAACTTTTTCTAGGATTCTCTTTGTCAAGAACCTCAAGTATGCCAACCATCCCAGCCGATTCATTCGCCTCCCGCAGTATTAATCCAAACCGCGATTATTGAAGTGCTAATGAAGGTATAGCTACAACGTAACTGCAGAGCAGCTCTTTGATCTTTTCGGAAAGTTTGGTCCTATCCGGTATGTTCACCGCACGGCGACATTCTCTACCCCAGGGCGCTGACATTATCGCAGCCAAATACGACAGGGAATTGCGAACAACTCAAAGGGCACCGCATTTGTGGTCTACGAAGACGTGCACGACGCCAAACAGGCATGCGATAAGCTCAATGGATTCAATTTTCAGAACAGATATCTCGTGGGTACGTATTCGTGTTTGGTCCGAGACTTGAGTTGGTGTTTTGGTATCACTCATTAACTTGCTCGCTCTCCATAGTCCTTTACCACCAGCCGGAGAAAATGCTTAGATCGAAGGAGGACCTGGCGGAAAGGCAAGAGAATCTGGAACGTCTCAAACAGCAGCACGGTATAGAATGATGTGACGATTTCCTTTTCATCGCTTACTCAACATGTTCTTTGCGCGCGGGCGAGACATGGGGATGCGCTATGTTTGGTCGGCTGCGGGGTTTTTGGCGTTTATTGTTGCTTCTCACTCATATGGGTTTCATGGCTCTTGTTCATGGGTTTTGAGGGCTGGCAGGTAGTATGACACCTTTTTCCTGGCTATTAATCCAGGAAGGTGTGGGTTTTCTCAGGCTGGGATCAGTTCTGTTACACTGTTCAGTTTCCGATATCAATATCATTATATCGACTGCCTGCCAATGCTTGGTATGGCCAACCTCTGGAACGTGAAGATCGTTCTGTGCAAAGTCGTAAGGGACATTCCCTCCTGTAATGACAGGTAGGTAGGGTGAATTGGATCCTATAAGGGACTTAAGCGTGAACCCTGGATTACCAGAGATCTACCACAATCTAGGCTCTTTTATATGCGGCGCTTAGCTAGTCCCCAGCTAACAAGCAGCCGAACCTTTGATGTCAACTGTATCCACCTGTGTGGGTGGCATTGCAGTTGACAGCCCAGCCACCGTGGCCCACCACTTCGGCATACTATTAGTTTGGCTTTGTATCAAGACATTGAGCTGAACAAATGGATTAGTTATAGCATCTACTCCGCGTGGTGTCCTAGTTCAGACTTCTCAGTCAATCTTTCCAATTGGCCCTCGTGCAGTTTGAGCGGCATGGATTGTACAGAATGAGAACACCTCACATGTCTACCCAGATCATTTAAAAAGCGCGTAACCGACTTCTGTCGTCTAGATTCAAGGGCCAAGATCGTTCGTTTCATTTACACCATCATTCCGCTCTCTCAATAGACCTCGATCATCAGACACCCATGGCCTGGAGAAGCGGAGCTGGATACCTCAGGCGTCAACAAAGCTTGGCGCGCTAGCTATGTAGGTCAAGGCGCAGTGGCCACAAGCCACTCTGCGGGGAGGCAGTGAAAGCAACCTTGGACGTAGTTAGTGGTGACGCCCTGCCCTGCCCTGCGTGACCCATCTCCATCAAGGATCCCACCTGGCTGGCTCAGGCTCAGGCTTCTTGCTGGCAAGAGGGTCCTTTTTCCATCTTCAGGTACTCGGCTCTGCAAACTTTGCCCTTGTTTATTTCTTCACCCACATGCGTGACATCCGCGCAGTCACTGAGAGCCGTCCTGAATGACTGCATGAGCTCTCGACCGCTCTGACGACACCTCACCATATCTCACCATCCGCTCCTGACTTTGCACATTTCTGCTCCTCTCTTGAACGTAAAGAGACGAATTCGAACCGGTCATGGCTTCGCCTATCCGGTCTCTACTTGCAGCCGTTGCGCTGTTCGCTACCCTGAACGTTGGAGTGAATGCCTCGGTCCCTGTAACCAGCGCCGCTATAATTCCATCACCAACGGCCTCTTCGCTGGCCGCAGCTCTCTATACTCCAACCGACTCAGATTCTTCGGGGGATGATGAAGACACAGGAGAATGCCGGCTGCTCGGGCCTTTTTCGATCCTCGTCCAAGCGTCTCTTGGGATGTTAGCTCTATTATCGCTTGTCTACAAGCGATGGAGGGAGCGGCCGCAAAGACCGGTCAAGGTGTGGGCATTTGATGCATCGAAGCAAGTCTTTGGATCATCCATGCTGCATTTACTCAACCTGGTCATGTCTATGTTCTCGGCGGGGCAGTTTGAGATTACAAGCCAGTACAAACCAAATCCATGCTCATTCTACTTGTTAAATTTGGGAATCGATGTGCGTCCTCTTACACTCGCTTTTATTCGGTGCTAACCAGGATCATTAGACCACCCTTGGTATTCCAATTTTGATCTTCATCCTCCATTTGCTCAATCGCTTGGCCAGTTACACTCCTCTTGCGAATCCTCTCGAGTCCATAGAATCCGGAAACTATGGTGACCCGCCCCGGTGGGGCTGGTGGTTCAAACAGTCTGTGATATATTTCATGGGACTTTTAGGAATGAAGATTTGCGTCTTCTTCTTAATCCAGACGGTACCGCTCATCGTCAAAGTTGGCGACTGGGCTTTACGATGGACAGAGGGCAATACTGCTGTCCAAATCATATTCGTTATGCTCCTATTCCCCGTCATCATGAACGCGATACAATACTACATCATCGATATCTTCATCAAAAAACCAATATCTGCATCGCACGATCTTCTGGAAGACGAGAGTTCCGGAGACGATAATGACCATGACGACCGCCACGCATTATTGGCCGGCATGGACAATGACGAATCGGATGATGATACTGCAAGCAAAAATGGCCAGGAAGCCTTACGTATCCCCTCTCAGTCCAAGGAGGTTTCAAATCGGTTTGGCTCGCCTGACTCGAATCCTGTGATTGTGCAGGAATTTGCCTCCTCTGGATCGGGCTCGACATCGAACTTCGGTGGCCCCAATGAATACGACGAGACGAATCCCTCCACGATAGTAAATGCGCAACCGAAAAGACCTTGACGATCTCTACTATGGTGTTTTGTAGGCGTTTGCAGACATGGTGTTTTGAAATTCTGATGGCGATGTCGGTTTAGCTAACTTACACTGCGCTGTATTACAATATATTCCTTCAACGTTCCGATGAGCCAAAATGAATTATAATGAGCTGAGTGACACTGATCGAACAACCATAAGATTTGGAGCGGTCTTGTAACTACTCCAGTCGACCCTATGAAACCCACCAGGTCGACTGGAGTACGGCCCTAATGCAGTGCTGATGTACCGCCGTAGACACCGCCTAGTTCTGCCGCTGGAGGAGAAAAAAATATTTTGTCGGCTCAGAAAGGAACTCTAGACCTCGACTTGAGCTGAGGGCTTTCACGTCGTTTTAGAGGTCTTACGCATTCCGATCGAGTCGGTTCAACCCTGATTTTGATAAGTACAAGGAATTGGAAGTGTTTGATAATGTCGAAAACGAACACCAAACAGAAGAACCGCGAGGAAAAAGTCATCCTTGAAAAGGACGACGCAGAGAGAAAGCTAGAGAGTCTGCTCTTCGGGGGCGACGACTTTCAAAGCACATTGAAGACGGGCCAAGATGGCGACGCGCTAGCACTCGCAAACGTTTCCGACGAAAGCGCAGACGAAGCGGGGGATATTGAGGAGGAGGAAGATTTGGAAAACATCGACGATGCAGATGTGAGTGTTGAGACACCTTTTTGTGAGACGCAGTCTGCAAAGTCTGACTCAATAGCTCTTCTTTCTCGACTCTGGAGCTGGACCGGTGTCCACAGAGCTAGATGAGTCTCATGTGGTCCCGGCTGGCGCTGAAGACGACGATGAAATGAACGAATTGCCCGCAGTGTGGCATGACAGCGACGATGAGCGCATCACGATATCTCTAGCCGGGAACAACAAATTGAGGAAATTGCGTGTTTCCGAGTCAGAGGATATTATCAGTGGAAAGGAGTACATTCGGCGATTGCGGAGGCAGTATCTGCAGCTGCACCCCACGCCGGACTGGGCTAACCCGAAGCTGAACAAGCAGCCGGATGAAGATGAGGATGAATCTGACCGCGTAGATGAGATGGATACAGATGACGAGGAGACGCAGGCTACGCAGCCTCTGGCGAAGCTTTTGCAGGGTATGGACTTTACAAAGATTGAGACGCAGGGCCCAACGGGTGGTCGGCCGAAGCTGCGAAAGGAAGTTATTGGTATCCAACGATTGAAGGATATCGGCAAGGACCAGCCGGTAAGTGCACATTACCTTCATTTATTACAGTCGAAACTGACTCGAGTTGCTACAGTCTGCCGTCACATCACTCACCTTCCACCCGCACTACCCGTTGATCCTCTCCTCAGGGCCAGCCTCAACCCTCTTCATCCATCACATCGCCCCCGATGCACCAGCTCCGAACCCCCTTCTCACCTCTCTCCACATCCGCCGCACCCCAATCACCACCTCCGCCTTCTCCTCTCCCAACGGTAATCATATTTACGCCTCCGGTCGCCGCCGCTTCTTCCACATCTGGGATCTCAATAGCGGCAAAGTCGACAAGATCAACGGCTCTGCGGACCGTCGCGAGGAGCAGAAATCCATGGAACGCTTCAAGCTCTCCCCCTGCGGTCGATACATCGGCCTGGTTGGTTCCACCCGCAAGGGCGGCGGTGTCATCAACATCCACAACACTGGCACAGCACAATGGCTCGCACAGGTCCGCGTGGACGGCCGCGGCGGCATCGCGGACTTCGCGTGGTGGGCCAACGGTGAAGGCTTGACGGCCGCCAACCTGAACGGTGAAATCTCCGAATGGGATGGGCAACTGAACCGCATTGTCGCTCGTTGGAAGGACGCTGGCGGCGTTGGCACAACCGTCCTCCGCCTCGGCGGCTCCCTCTCTCAGTCTCAGAGTAGCGAACACTCTCTCGGACCAGACCGCTACCTCGCCATCGGCAGTAAAAGCGGTATTGTAAACATCTACGACCGATCCACCTGGACATCCACATCCCTCCCCCGCAATCCGGAACCCCTGCGCGCCCTCGACCAGCTTGTGACCCCGATCACGCAAATCGAGATTGCGCCCGACGGGCAGTTCCTGGCCATGGCGAGTGAAACGAAAAAGGACGCTCTAAGGCTCGTGCATTTGCCGTCCTGCATCGTATATCGCAACTGGCCGACACAAAGTACCCCGTTGGGGCGCGTGACGAGTGTGGCGATATCGCCAAACTCTGAGTATCTGGCCGTTGGAAATGAAAGAGGAAGGATTAGGTTCTGGCAGATCCAGGGGTAGATGTGCTTTTCTCACCTGGAGATTCGGTTGTGCCGGTATATTTACTTCATTGCATGCATAGTTTGGAGTACATATACATAATTGCAATAAAAGCATGGGCTTTATGAGTGTATATGGCGTAACTAGTAAGCGGAACGAGATTCTTGAAAAATAAAAGTGTCTTTCCGTTTTCTTGTCTAAAACTTCCATGACTTTGTCCAACAGCGCGGCGAGAGCTGAATCATGGAGCACCTGCAATTCTACTGTTCTTGTATATCCATCTTACTATTCAAAGCACGAGTATGTGTATCCAGTCGACTCCAGTCATAACCGAGTAAGCCGTCCATCATCGTCTTCTTATACTCATATACGCAATTACCGACAAATCAAGCAATAATCAACCATAACCCTAACAGCGCCATTTGATATAATTGGTTTTGGGTGCAGGTAAATGTGATCTAGCACAGGTTCTGCATCGCCTGGGGATCACTAATACCAGCAAGATTACCGGCGCGGACACGCTTCAGCGTCAGGGCAGCAATGAGAGCGGCACCGACACCGGATCCGTCCTCGGCAGCGTGGATGGTAACCTTGTCCTTCTCCTGGGGTGCCCAGTCGAGGATCTCGCGGAGCGCCTGGGCGCCGCGGGCCTTGAAGTGCGGATACTTTGTAAAGACGGAGCCGTCGGCGCCGACGTGGCAAGAGGTGATGTTCTTCTTTTTACAGATTGCGGCGACACCGCAGGCAGAGAGGCGGGCGGCGCGGGTGCCGATGAGCTCGGCCAGGCGGCGCATCATTTCAAGCTCGGCGCGGGTGGCGGAGATGCCGAGCTGTTTCTGCACGAGCTCGGCGGTCTCGAGCAGGTTCTCGTATGGGTCTTCCTCGATAGCGGCGGGGAAGGAGGAGTCGAGGAGGTAGGGGGTGCGGAGCTTGGTGGTGTCCTGGTCTTGGAAGATGAGGCCGGGTCGGTTGTCAAGGAGGTCGACGAGGGCGAGGCGGAAGATTTCGCCGAGGTAGAGACCTGCTGTCATCTTTTCAAACGCTTGCTGGCCGGGGCGGGGTGAGTCGCGGTCGATGATGTGGTCGTACTTGGTGAGGGGGAGGACAATATGTTCATTATCAAAGGCGCCGTACTCGCAGTTGATGGCGACGGGCATGTCCGGAGGAAGATTGTGGTGGGCGAGCTTGGGCACGGAGCCGGCGTCCTCCATGTAGGCGGCGTTGACACCGGTGCCGAAGATGCAGCCAATCTTCGTTTCGGGGTCGGTGTACGAAGAGGCAATCATGGTTCCGGTCGTGTCATTGATCAAGGCGGCAATCTTGATGGGAAGGCCCTATGGCGGGTTAGTATATGAGTTACTAGAAAGTGAGGTGAGCGGCGGCCGTACTCTCTCCTTGAAAACCTTCTGAAGAGGCGGAACAACATCCTTGCCCTCTACTCCGTCAATGTCGAAGCCCTTAGTCCACCGCTGGAGGACACCGTGATCGATGTAGTCCTGAGTAGCGGGATATGAAAAGGTGAAACCCAGAGGCAGGTTGGATAGGTTCTCGTTCTCGTGGTGGTACTGGATGAACTGCTCCACACAGTCGACAATGTATTCCCACAACTCTTCCGCGGTGCCGGTCTTGAGCTCATCAGGCATTCGGTACTTGGACTGGATGATGTCGAAGCCTCCCTTCTCCTCGGTCAAGGTAATCTCACAAACACGCAGGTTGGTACCGCCCATGTCGAGGGCGAGGAAGGTTCCTTGTTCGTTGCCATCGGGGAAGCCCAGTACCCAGGTGACGTTCATGGGCTTATCTGTTAGACATTGTATGCGGAACAGTAGCGGAAGTGGGAGCTTACAATGTTGCCACCTTCGACGGTGAGGCCTGGGAGGTGCAAATCTTGTCAGAAATGTCCAGTTTATTGATTTTACGTCTCATACCCTTGGTGAGCTCCTTGACAAAGTGGTCGACAATCTGCTTGAGTTTGGCGGTGTCGACGGTGAAAGCTTCTTCAAACTGCTTGATCTGCTCCAGAAGGTCCTGGGGCAAGTCCGTCATGGACCCTGCAAGGCATGATTAGGAATTGAGTCGGAGACAGCGCTGGGAGGGAGAGGAGGGGCGGTGACGTACCCCTGCGAGAGGGCCGGCGTTTGGGGCCAAGTCCAACCATTTTGGCTGATTATAATAGATAAAAGAGATGAAGAAGGGAAGAATGGATAATTGGATGAGGAAGAAAGGGAAGGGAAAAAAATGGGAGGGAGAGGAGGAAGAAAAAGGACGATAGGACTGCAATGAAGATGACGGTGAACAGGATCAAGTGGGGGAAGGTCATTATTCTTAGCAGAGGGTCTGGATGGAATAGGCCAACCCCACAATATCAACCTCACCGGACTATCATTTGGTCATCTATCTACAGTATTCGATTTTTGGACTCCTCCCCCAAGATACTAGTCTGCATATTGCTTTTTCTGCTCCTCAATTCTTCTCTGGCCTGTCGACTTTGCGGACACTCTTCCGGTCACACGCACTCAATCCTCCGAAGCAGCCGACTTGAGCTTTAGCGACTTCTTACTTTCTTGTTACTAGGTCGAGTCCCCTATGTATACTCTCCTCGTGCTAGCGCCCTGAGTAATTGAGACCCTAATCCTTAATAAGCTTGGAGAAGTTCGTCAAGAGAGAGGAGCTGTCACCAGAAAGATCGCGGCGATCTCGGGTCTTGGCATCGTGCATAAGTCATCAATTATTCATTCCGTCAAGTTATCTGCGTGAGACTGAAAACATTGCTCCGAGTCTCCGTCTGACTTCCGCCTTCAGCGCATTGTATTCATCCGTTGTGCGCAAAACCGCATCTCGATTCTCAATGGCCCGTCGCAAGAGATACGCCAGGCATTCCCCCATGGTACCCCAGGTCGAGCACTTGTAGACCTCGGGTAACCCACTGCTGTCCTTGAGCGCTAGCAGCGAGAAACTGACTTCGTCCGACATCCCATGAAGCTGGGCGAACCCCACCGGTACCGTGGGCAGCCCGGCGGCTGTGCGCTGTTGGTGCAGGTGGTGGGCATTCATCACACTCTCCTTGTTATGACTGGCTAGGAAGAGATTGACAGATGGAAAGGTGGTCTTGGTGCCAAAGTCACCAATTGTCTGTTTCAGTGCGCCCTGAGCAAAGGTGTTATAGGCATTGTCGGTGTCCTCCTTCGTGTCGTGGATCAAAGAACGCTTATCCGAGGCCATGTATGCCCCGCGCACAAGCTTGAGGCCGAGTGTAAAGCCCTCTTGATGGGCTGCGGTGAGGTGCTTTGCCAGTGTTTCGGGCGTGCTTTTGAGGTATGCTTGGTATGTGTTGTAGACAAGGGCATAACCATCGTGGTTGTACTTGCGCATGAGATCCAGTGTCACGCAGAGAATACCCCACTGGAAGTGCTGGGACTCGGCATCAACGAGAATTCGCACACCACGCTCTCTGCATCGGCTTGATACTTCTTCCAATGCTTCAAGGAACTGTGTAGGGGGTATGTTGTTACTGGAAAAGGCTTCAGTGACCAAAGGACCCGCCCCGGTTAGCCTGGAAACAAAGTTAGCGGACGAACGTACAGGACAATACTCAAGAACGCACTTGACAGCCAGGTAATCACCGCTCTCCAACAGTTCGACCGTCTCCATTGTTCCCTTTCTCCAGGCCTCGATATTGGTGCAGTAGTACCCCTCTTGGCTTTCCGAAGCAGCAATTCCAAGCCCATGCGCAGTCTTGGTGCTGTGGTCAAAGACAGTTTCCTTTGCATATGTCATAATCACACCACGGAACCCCATTTCTTTGAGCTCCTGGATTGTGGCCTTTGTCTCCGCCCCATTCTCGCCCGCGCAAAACTGCTCATAGAACGTCTTCTTCAGGATACCATGGAGGACTGGGTTTCGGTCCACGCTGAGTAAGAAACCTCGGTTCGGTTTCGACAGGATGGAGAGAGCCCAAAGTGAGGACCGCAGCAGGAGAGGCTTTGAGGAAATGGTAGAGACCAGAAGAGATCTGAGGAGAACACGAGTGGGGAGGGCAGATAAAGGGGCATGTGTGGCAATAGGGAGAGCCTTTGACGTACTGGCTTTGAGTGTTGATGCTGACGTTGAGGCAAAGCGCCAGTGCCTCGACTCGGAACTGAGTATACGTCGTCCAGAGACGAGCAGCTCGCTCATACCAGTCAATAAAGAAGACATTGTGCTCTACCTCATTCTGAGGACGGTTGATGGAGCAAATGCAGTCACGGTATATATCACCTTACCCCGCCTATACCCACCCCCAGCATGTCGAGACTATCTCGAATCTCGGGGCTCTGCCCGATACACTACCACACGGAAGGCTTTGCCACAGTAGACGAATAACTCGATAAGCACTGCTCCAACGGCAGCATCGCCGAATGTGCTATCAGATATCTTCCGGAAGCCCTGCCGGATGCTCACATGAAGTTCCAGGTCATCTGACAGCACAATCATTGGTACACGCTGATAGGGATGGGGCTCTACCCGTGAAGCCAACACTGCGCTGTAACGTTGCCCGGTGCCAGCAGCGCAGATCATGACCCGGCCAGATTCAATTCCGAGTATCAAAATCGTCCTGTTACCTAACACAATGCTTGCGCATTCTGTGCGGTACTGCGAATCTAGATCCATTTCGGCAAGGCGTGGCGATTCAAGCACATATCTTGTTTCTTCACGTCGAACTGATTAATTTGCTAACTTGGTGGATTATCAACAAGCCTACGAAGAGAACTACAGCCTCGCCTTCGCCGGCGTGATCGCAGACAACTCCTTAGACTGCCCAAGACGCCAGCTCACATCACCACCCCAATCCGCTTTGCCACCATCAGCCGCCTGCGGCTGTTTCCACCTCCAGCGAGCGAGAGGCTGCTGGCTCTGCTGCGATTCAAGGAGATCTGTAACAAACGACCCCAAAAGGGGGAACATCTTGAAAGCATGGCCCGAGTCACCGGACAAAACGACAAGAGACTCGGACATGTTGGGCACATAGTCTACGATAAAGTCCGAGTCGCTCGTATCAGCGAACCAGCAGAGAGACTTCTTCACAAACGGCCGGTCTGCAAGTGATGGCAGAGTCTGCGCCAGGAGCTTCCGAAGTTGCTTCTCGTCTTCCTCGGGAAGGAATGCGCTCTCCTCAAGAGTCTGAGGGGCTTGCGAGACGCCTGTCTTGGGATCGGTGTTGATATACCCGCCACCCATGGGGCAGAGCTTTAACAGGCTTGTCTTTGGGTCGGGCTCAAAGAAGAAACCCAGATCTCGGGCGTAGACGACTGGAATTCCGCGGAGCGCAGCGGTCTCGTCATCGGTGAGATGCACATGAGCAACGGACCACGACTTGGCAACCACCGATGAACCGATGTCGGGAAGGAGCCTAGAGACACCCGCTCCGGCGGCAACAATCACAAGCGACGATGGGTGAAAGCGGCCGTTCTTGGTGCGGATTCCAGCGCATTTCCGACCCCGCAGGGCGCTCACATATACAATCTCTTTGACAGCTCCTTGCTCGCCGAGGTAAAAGCGAACTCCGGCGGCTTGGGTTGCGCGATATACTGCCGCCAGCGCGTTTCCAGAGTGGGCATACCCGTCGAAGCGATTGAGGTAGCCATGCCAACCCGGGAGAGGCCCGTCGAGCTGCCAGCAGGCTGTTCGAACGTCTTTGGTATCATTGATAGGCACAACATGGGGTTTTATCGTTTCGTGGCCCTCGGCGGATGCTTGAAATCTGTCGAGCGTACCGACGGCTTTCTCAGGGGCTTCTCCAGACACGCAGTGGAGAAAGCCTGTCTGGTGGAAGTATGGCGCGAACAGCGGGGACTTCCAAGCTGCTATTGATTTCTGACAGATCGCTATCAGCAACTATCGCTATAATGAGGACGGGGAAAAGGGCAAGCATACAATCGTCAAATCCGAGTACAGCGGGTCCTCATATTCAGCGCGCACAATCTTATTCAGATCATTGGCCGCCGAAAATCTGGGAGGGATATGGTCATCCTTCTCATAGACCGATATATTGGTGTAGCCCTTCTGCGAGAGATTGAAGGCTGTTGAGAGGCCAAAGGCACCCCCACCAACGATGATGATTGAATCGGACTTGGATACGGGCATGGTTGGAGAATTGTTGCTTTCCCGATTACCTCGTTGCGCTTTCCGAGCATATATATATACCCCGCAGTCCTGCGTTATCAGCCCATGTCGGCTTCTTTTGCGGACTGTGTCATGATATACTCTGTCTCCAACGTATAGTACAAATTGTCCGTGCGTGCGTGCGGGGTCAGTACCGGTAGGCCTGCCGAGTGGAGGTTGATTGCAAAGGCCCCACTGACCCCGGGAGCTCTACCGGCAACACCTTCTCTGGCTTTCCGAGAGCAGTGATACGGATACTATGAGGTAGGTAGGTTAGGTACCGTCTGATATGGGTTGATTGATACCTATATCGCGGTTCATTCGAGATGCTAATCTTGATATGCCCACTAACCAACAAGTTCCGGATTCTAATGAGCGTAACCTCACGAGACACCAAACATCCTATGAAAAAAAGACCTAAGCTCCAAGTTCGCCAAGCCTCCAAAGCCAAAAGCAGGCAAAATACGTATGCACCGCACTATCATCGTTGACGCTAGATACCGTTGAGACTGCACCAGCCGGTCCGCCAACGGCATCGAATACTGTCGCATGTAAAGATCAAGACCAAGCAGATGTAGCGGCGTCGCAACAAGCTGCGTGAGCATTGGTACCGTTAGCTGTGTGACGATCGTTCTGGCGTTTGGATGAGAAGCCAGCGAATTCGACTCTGGTATTGCATCTGCCAGTCGTGGCGCCAGCGTGAAGCAGCCGAATATCGTCACGCAGTCGCGTAGGAGGAAGATTGCCGTTGAGCCTCGCACGAGGTTCCGACTTTGCACAAGAGGCTTCTGGGCTGCCTCGCAGACCTTGGCTTTGCTTGTCCCGTAGATCTGAGCGAAGCGGACATCTTTCCACACTGCCGTTGGGACATTCACTAACGTCGTCGACAAAAAAGTCATCATTCCCGTCGCGGGGACCTTTAGCGCATGGCCAACTGTATCTGTCCCGTTTGCAACGGTGTATGTTGCTGCGTAGAGCGTCCAGATAATGCGGAATGGCGCGCTGAAGACAAATCGCCCGGGGTACTGCAGGGCAGCGAGCGTATGGTTTCGAAGGCCGCGAAGAAGGGACTGGTTCAAGGACGCTTGCTCGACAATTGCCCTGGGCCGTTAGCTGTTACATCATAATTTATGGCCATTGTCTCTCTTACCTATCGATGGTTGTTACTGCTGGTGATACCAAGGTGGCCGACGCTGTCGCGGCGCATATATCGCCTGTCAATCGACGGAGGACATCGTTTGAGCTCTGATGCTCAGTCAGGGCATGCTGCATTGCGTCTATGTTTGAGATGAGATGGCCATACTGCTACGCCCTATCAATGACTTTACCCCTCCATGAGATACGAGACACTGTCGTTATCGCAATGCGATGCGATGCAAAGTGGAGACCGGCAGCCCTCCCGTCCCCCGCAGCTGTTATCGTCGATCTACACCAGTGGACCGACCCCTCTGTATACATCGGCTGTTCTCCCGGTGGGCAAACTGGCATTAATAAAGGCTGAAAGACATGAACATGTGCTACTCAGCAACAAGCATTTACATTCACATCAATCATGTCTACATCAACACTCATGAGCATGCGCTCTGCGCGGCTCTCCATCCGACCATTGCTCCAGACTCGTGGCAAGGCTACAGCACCTTTCCGCCTCCCAGATCCTCGAAATGAGCCTAACGTGAGTACATCCATACAAGACTACTGCACATTTGCTGATAAAGTCAGCCCCTGTACAAGCGCGGCTCTGAAGAACGCGCCAAGCTCGAGCAAGCCCTAAGCAAGCTCCGCACCCAACTCCCCGTGCAAAGCAACATCTACTATGACGGCAAAGCCCAGTCCAGCACACAAACCTGGGACCAGCCTCTACCCGCGGAGCACGGAAGCATTTTCACCAACTATCCTCTTGCGACCAAAGAACAGACCTCCGAGGCAATCGAGGCAGCCCTACAGGCCAAACAGGCATGGCAAGACACACCCTTTGTTGACCGGGCTGCGATCTTCCTCAAGGCCGCTGAGTTGGTGACGGGCAAGTACCGTCACGAGCTTATTGCAGCCACTATGCTCGGCCAGGGCAAGAATATCTGGCAGGGCGAAATTGATGCCGCTGCTGAGCTGGCTGATTTCTTCCGGCTGAACTGCAACTTTGTCGCGGAGATCCTAGAGAAGCAGCCTACTCGGGGAAGTGATGGGATGTGGAGGTTAGTCTTCTTTTTGACAGATATAGCAGAACAATAGCTAATGGCCACTTGCAGCCGTCTCGACTACCGTCCTCTTGAGGGCTTTGTCTACGCCATTTCTCCCTTCAACTTCACCGCAATTGGCGGCAACCTCATCTCTGGTCCCGCTCTTCTCGGCAACGTCGTCCTCTGGAAGCCCTCCCCTTCGAACGTCTACGCCAGCAGCATCATCTACAAGATCCTCCTCGAAGCTGGCCTTCCCCCGAACGTGATCCAGTTCGTCACCGGCGACCCACAAGTGATCAACGCCGTAGTCTTCTCCCACCGCGAGTTCGCAGGGCTGAACTTTATTGGCTCCTCTGACGTCTTTCGCTCTCTGTACGGCCAAATCGGTGAGGGTGTCGCAAACAAGAGATACCGCGAGTTCCCGCGCATCGTCGCTGAAACGAGTGGAAAGAACTTCCACCTCCTCCACCCCTCCGCCGACGTCCCCAGCGCAGTAAACCACACCATTCGCGGGGCATTCGAGTACCAAGGCCAAAAGTGCTCTGCAACATCCCGAGTCTACGTCCCCGAATCCCGGGCGGAGGAGTTCCTCTCCGCTCTCAAAGCCGGTGTCAACAACATCACAATTGGCAACCCGGACGGCGACCTCGAAGCCTTCATGGGCCCGGTAATCCACCGCGCCTCATTCGAGAAGATCAAGTCTGTCATTGACAAGACGAACAAAGACCCCTCCGCGAAGCTCCTGGTCGGAGGCACATACGACGACTCAGTCGGCTTCTACGTCAACCCAACAGTCTACCAAGTAGACTCACCCGACCACGCACTCTTCAACGAGGAAATCTTTGGTCCCGTCCTCGCAGTACACGTCTACCCAGACTCCGAGTGGTCTGCGACCCTGAAGAAGGTCGACCAGGGCGGCGGTGGCTTTGCGCTCACCGGTGCCGTCTTTGCCTCTGACAGAGTTGCGATCCGCGAGGCGGAGGATGCGCTGCGGTACTCAGCTGGAAACTTTTACATCAACTGCAAGACGACGGCGGCGCTTATTGGGCAGCAGTCGTTTGGAGGTGCGAGGGCTAGCGGGACTAACGACAAGGCTGGGAGCGCGGATTCATTGAGGAGGTTTACAAGCCCGAGGTTGATCAAGGAGGAGTTCTTCCCGCAGGACGGGTTCTTGTATCCGAGTAACCATCAGTAGATGATGGATGAGTGTTTTTGTATAATGTTGCCATAAATTGAATAAGAGTTTTCCGGGCTATTTGTGTGAGTTGTCGTTAGCGATCATCCGAAGCTTCTATTAGGGCGGCGGCTGCGATGGCAATTAGGGCTATGCCAAGGGACATGCCAACAGAGCGTTCTGTACATGGATCAATGTGATTAGGCTCCATAACATGTAACTCCTATCTGGTTTTCTATGAAGAATGTATGTAGTCGATTTGCAGGATTTAGACGATCTCGGGTGTGGCCGCAAAAGCCCTGAGTTGGCCACTTGTAAAAGTTACAGCGATATACTTCAAGGTTGGAAAATACCGGACCTCTCAAAGTCAGTTCATCACTCCAAATTCGAACCCTGGGATACTTTTTTAAATAGAGAACACCCTTCGACAGCTTCCCCCTCCTTCCCTTTTGAGTGACTTCTCACCACTGTCGTCATATACCACCATATCTACCCTAATTATCCTGAAATCTGAATCCAGTCCACACCACCAACAATGCCTCAATTTCACCCCTTCACAACATTCACCTCTCTTCTAACCCTAGCACTCTCCCTTCTATCGTCCCTCGCGTCCGCATACCCCGCAATCGATTTGGCCATCCTCTGCCGCCTCCTACAGCTCGATCTCGGCCTCAGACAGGCCTATATCCTACTCGATAGGCTTGGTGACGATGCACCGAGTATTACGCCTGCTGTATGTCTTCACTTGCGCTACTTGCTGGCCCTTTGTATAGCCTAGCTCTCGGGTTTATCTTTGTACACTCCAGTAATGCTCATCCGGTCGATCAACTCTGTAGGACGTTGTGAATATCTTCAACGCAACTACGGCCCAGAACACCACGACACTCCAGCAGCCACTTCCCATCGCATGTGAGGGGGCGACTCAGTTTGTCATCTGTTTAGCGTATCATGAGGTAGGGCGCCTATTCACCTCTATTATTACTAATGGAAACCAACCATACCTCTTGCTAACGAATAATGGGGCATAGTTCACAACAACAAGTATAGAACTTTACAAAGATCTCGCCGAAGACGCCGACGAGTTCGACCGGACAGCGCGAAACGGCTTCGTCGATGGGTTCACGGCGATTTATAATGAGAATGCCGTGGGTTTCTCTCTACCCCTTCCACCTTACCACCTTCTTTTTACAAAGACGCACCGTAGACTGACTTGCTGTCTCGCATCAACAGGACTTTGTCGAGAAGGTCGCGCCGCTTGCGCTGCCGCTCTGCGTACAGAGCATTCGGCAGGATGATATGGTGTTGGAGAAGGCGTTCCTGGAGGCGTTCAATGTGTTGGATCCTACGACGGCCAGTGAGGGCCAGTAAGGAATGCCTAGTGGCTGTTTTATTAGGATACTGTGTCGTGATTATTATCTCAGGGGTAATTCAAGTTGAAACTGAATCTGAAATTGAAACTGAAATTGAAATGTTGTTTAGTCTTCGTTCTGGTCTACCTACAGACGTGCCTCATTATATGTATGCTATTTATTCTCTCAGGTCGTATTGAATCAATTGAGCACACAATATCTCAAATCCTAGCCCGATCTAATTTCTCGCCAGATGCGGAAAGACATGCGCTAGCCCCGAAACACTGGTGCGCTCCGGTGACGAAGATGAACCGTCGAGATGCTGCCAAACGCGTTTCTGGTAGGCGTCGGAAATTTCTAATGTTTTGTCGACTTCCGCAGTTAATTGCCTGATTTCCTTCTCTAAACGCTCTTCGCGCGTCGCTGGCGGCGCGAGTTCCTCCTCTCTAGATTTCTTGTTCGGGTTGACTTCCTCCCATAGCCGTTCTAGCTCTTCTTCCCATCCGAGTGCGCGGGCGAGTTTCCGTACCCCGTCGTCGCAGTCCCCCAGGATGAGGACGTCGTCTGGTCGGGAGCCCATGCCGCCCACTCGTTCGCGGTTGATGAGCACGCGCGGCGTGCCGTCTTTGCAGAATGACGGGAGACTGGCGAATGGTTGGACGGAGAGACTTGTCCCCATGACAATGCAGAGATCGGCCTCCTCGGGAAGCGTGCGGTTGTCAAAGAACGATTCCGGGAGCGCCTCGCCGAAGAAGACGATATCCGGCTTCACCAGCCCGCGGCACACGGAGCAATACGGTACCTCGCCCTTTGCAATGGCATCCTTCATGAGTTTCTCCGGGTACTCTGACTTGCAGTCGATGCAGCGCTGAGTGGCGAAACTGCCGTGGGCTTCGACGATCAGTTCGCCGGGGACACCAGCCAGACGCTCCAGGCAGTCGATATTTTGCGTAAAGTGTTTCAAGAGCAGACCCTTATCATAGAGAAGTTTCACAAACGTATGCGCAATAGTAGGTCTGTACTGCCCCGGGGCGAGCTCGCGTGCCAGCGCGTAAAATGGCTTGGGGTTTTGGCGGAAGAAGCTAATGTCGAAGACGGCCTCAGGATCTGGGAGATCGAGGTGCACGAGGTTCGAGTAGATGCCCGTATTCGGGGATCTGAAGTCTGGTATTCCGGCCGAAGTACTTATGCCCGCTCCGACCTGCATTTATCACCGCTGATTAGGTTTCTGAAGGTAAAGCGGGGGAGGGGTAGTGAATGTCACGTACCATCACCACGATCCGGCGCACATGTTTCTCTTTAATATATTTCGCGACCGCATCGACTGTTCGCGCTTCTAGGACCGACGGATGTGTGTTTTCGTCCACCAGTGTAGACGGTTCGTTGCCCATCTTGCGAGGTCGGCCTTTGCGCTTGGGTTGCTGGTGTCGGGCTCTGCGGCGGCGCCCAATTGTGGCGATTACCAAAAAGAAATACAGATATTCTAGTACCGTTAGTGGTGTCGACAGAGTCAGTGTCTTCTCGAGTATAGATTGGTCAGAAAAGAGGCAGAGAGCGCGTCGATATCGTGTCTGTATGACGTTAGATTTTGCCCAATCACGACCCTGCCTGAGGCACCCAGCACGAGTCCTGTTAAGAGTCAAGTTGGCATCATGTTGTTTCGATTCGAGAGAGGACTAATAATTGTATCCATAGTCTCAAGCTTAATAAGAAGTCCACCTTTTCAACAATGGAGTAACTACATTGTGAAACAAGGATGAAGCATCCACGCATCGTTGACTCGTTTCTCGAGCTTCAAAGGTACACGCTGTCACCGCCTTGCTTCTGCCACATTGCCCGATCACAAACAATCCACCTTCGAGTCTCCGCATAGGTTCAACACAAGGCTCAATTGCTGGCTGCTGGGAGAATGTCCAATTCCAGTCCCGGTGTCTTTAATGGACACTCGGTAACCCCTTTGCCCGCCACAGATGAGCCGCCCTCTCCTCCCTCCAACATCTACAATGCCAGCTCCGTCGCCGAGATCAGGGCAACCCTGATCCACCTGCACCAGCAGGAAGCGACTGTCACTGCCCGTCTCGATGCCCTTGTCGCCTCACAAAAGGACTTTTCTCGTGAGCTCGGCCGACTGGATCTTCTCCGTGCCCACCTCGGCTCTCAGACTAGCACCACACGAGCAATCAGCAATGGCATGCTCTCCGACGCCGCCGCAACCGCAGACCGCATCTCGAGCGCCGTGCGACGGCTAGACCTGGAACAAGCACGGGTCAAGGCGACTTTGCAGATGGTGGAACAGGTCTCAGAGTTGAAAGCGTGTGTTCTCGGCGTTGCGGGGTCAATGGGCGCCCCGCAGGATTGGGAAAAGGCAGCAAGTTATCTGAAGCGGGCGTCCGAGGTCCCCGCCGATGTGGTGCAGGGTGCTTTTGCGGCGGAGATGGTGCCCACGGCCGAGGTTCCAGACCCGCCCAGCGTGACCCTGGACAACGCGGCCGAGTCGTTGTGTGGGCTGTTTTTGCGAGAGTTTGAGAAGGCTGTCAAGGAGAGCAATGGGGCGAAGATTACGCGGTTCTTCAAGCTGTTTCCGCTGATCGGGCGGTCCGAGGTAGGGTTAGATGTATATGGGCGGTATGTCTGCCAGGGTGTAGCGGCAAAGGCTCGATCAAATCTGAACACGGCAACTGCGGCGCAAAAGGACGGTTTCTTCTACGCGAACACGCTCACCAAGCTGTTCGAACACATCGCGCAAATTGTCGATGGCCACGGAGGACTGGTCGAGCGCCATTATGGTCCTAGGAAGATGAACCGGGTAATCGAGCGCTTGCAGCTAGAGGCGGATGTCCAGGGCGGCATTGTCCTCGACACGTGGAGCGATGAACGGCATATCGACCGCAAGCTCATGGATATCAAATCCTATGCGTTTACTTTCCTGGTGCAGAGCTTCCTTCCCCCACAGCGGACTACTACACCACGCTCAAACTCTCCTGCCACGCGGGACGCATTGGAGGACGAGGGAGTGGACATGAAGGAAATTGATGGGCTGCTGAATGAAATGACCATCATGCTTGGACGGTGGTCGCTCTACTGCCGGTTCTTGGCCGAAACATGCAATGTAAGTCTTCCCTAAGCACTCTCAGAATATTAAATTAACAGGACCAGGCCGGCGAAGAGGAAATTTTCAAGCTTCCCCAGTTCCTGGAAGAGTCGACGCTCTCTAGGAAGATCGGGGACCGGCTCATATCCCCATTCAATGCCATGACGACCTTTTTCTTCAGACGATCAGTTGAAAAGGCGTTCCAGCTCGATGAGCAGCCGTCCGGCCTGACCCTCAATCTACAGCGGCCACTAAAGGCAGATCCGCCGCACATCACATCCGCCGTCGACGACATCATGTACATTGTCAACAAGGTTCTGCAACAATCTCTTGCGACGTCACAAATCGCTGTCGTCACTAGCGTCGTTCCAACCCTATCTCGAGTCCTCGGGTCCGACTTCATCGGCATGACGCAGCGCAAGATGCGCGACGAGTGCTACCCGCGCGCAACGCACCAGGGCGCTCCACCTCAAGAGCACATTGTCATTTCCTTCCTAGTCCTCATCAACAACCTCGACGTCGCAGTCGACTACATCCGGCGCATCATCGGGAACATCACGGAAACAAAGAAAACCGTCACAAATGCCGACGGCCAACCCGAACAAACCGATCAACTCCACAGCCTCTTCCCCGCCCCCGCAGACGCAGCCCTCGTCTCCCAAACCCTAACCTCCCTCTCTACCACCTTCGAAGCCAAGGTCACCGACCTCCTCACAGACGGCACCCAAGTCATCTTCAACAACCTCATCAAACCCCGCCTCCGCCCCATTCTCTCTGACGCCTTCCGCGACATTGAATACCAGCCCTCCTCCGACTCCGCTCCACTAACAACCTACTCCTCGGACTACGACTACGACTCAGAAAATGACCAACACGCCTCCCACCCAACCGCACACGACCACTCCGACCCCCCACAAGAACTCGTCCGCCCGCGCTTCCACAGATCCTGGACAGACCTACTGGCGCCCTTCTCCCGCCTCCTCACCCCAACCTCCTTCGACCGCCTCCTAACAACAACCCTCTCGTACCTCGCGCGCCTCCTCGAAAAGCGCCTGTGGGCCTACCAAGGCCGCGTGAACCCGCTCGGGGCTACGCGCCTCGAGCGCGACATCTCCGGAATCGCCAGCGCGGCCGTCGACATCCCCGCGCCCGGTTCGGGCTCTGGATCGTCCGGGTCGGCTGGTGTTGTTGGGCGATATCGCCATCGTGAAGTCTTTGCGAGGTGCTTGCAGATTGTGCTTGTTATGGGGATGGATGAGGAGGAGTGGGAGGATGTTGTGAGAGGTGGGGAGAGTGCGGAGGTGTTGGATAAGTTGAGTGCGGAGGAGAGGCGGAGGGTTAGGGGGATTGTGGGGAGGAGGTAGCTAGGTAGATAGTTTGTTCTTCTCGAGGTTTTCTATCTCTTCTGCTTCTCTTTGTTCATTGCATTATATACATGTTCTATATTGTGTTTTAACATTCATGGTTTGGTTGTCGGGATTTCGAGAGGGTCGATAAGCTTGGCCTCTCCACTGTCAGTCAAAGCATAAACTCTGCATAGCATAGCTCAACAGTCTACAAAGTCAAACTCAAAACTGCACAAACTTAAAAACTGCAAAACTTCTATTGGTCCATCATCGTAGATCATCAATCACGCCCCAAGTCTATAGCGTACTAGAATTTTCAAGCCCAAACGAAAACAGTGGCAGAGAGTGCAAGCTCTTCCTGTTATTAGTATATACAATTTATGACGAGTCAAAATAATATGATCCAGGAAGTTCAGAGTTCGAGCTTTCGAACGAAGCTGTGAGCCCCAAAGTTGAAACCGATACCAGGGGGCTAAAGGTGAAAAAAGGCAACGCCTGCTGAAACTCGGTCTAGGCAAATTAGGTAGACAAGATGTACCCATGCACGGCAAAATACAATCCGTAGTCGCAAGAAAATGGCTCAGCCAGGGGAAGAGAGAAAAAACAGAAGTGGATATCTCGGGCAGCAAAGAAAAGAAAAAGGCTAAAAAATCGGAACAAAAACGAGACTAAGGCGCCGGAGCGATCTTCTCAGACTCGGTCGGAATCGGCCGTTGGGCTTCCTCCTTGACGGCGACCTCCTGGATGCCCGAGACTTCGCTCCCACGGCTGTTGGATCCACCGGGCGGGGCTTGGCCGTCCAACATCATGTCACTGTGCTCGCCGATACCGTAGCGCGCGGCGGCGGGAACCTCGTGGCCGTCGGCGTGCTGGTCATGCTTCTGAGGAGTCCAGGCGAGGTAGTCGCGGCGGACCTCGACGTAGTCGTAGGCGAATTCGCCGAGCTGGTCATCGTCCATACCGAGGAGTTCGGCTTCCTCAGAGGCGCGGAGCTTCAAACCGGGGATGGCGTTGATGGCGTAGGCGATGATGGCGGAGACGACGAAGCAGTAGGCGGAGGAGGCAACGATGAAAGCAATCTGGATGTACAGCTGCTTCCAGTTGCCGATAAGCCATCCACCCATTCCGGAGCCGGTGTTGACTCCGTCGAGGCCGACAATGGCGTCGTCGGCAAAGAAGGCGTTGAAGATGAGACCGACAATACCAGCGACACCGTGCTCTGCGAACACATCCATAGAATCATCGATACGGATCCAGTATTTCACTAAACAAGGTTAGCAACGGTATCCTCGCTCCTGAATGGTCGAAGAAACTCACCCTTTGTAGCATAGTTGCACACGATGCCAGTCACGATACCGAGAACAACACTGGCCCAAGGAGGAAGGAAACCGGAAGCAGGAGTCGCAGCAACGAGACCAGAGATGGTTCCAGAGCACCATCCGACCATAGACCACTTGCGAGCCAAGCGCCAGTCGAGAATCACCCAGCTAATAGCGGCAAAGGCAGCAGTCAGGTTGGTGTTCCAGCAGGCCATGGTAGCGCGCATGTTGGCACCGAAAGACGAGCCACCGTTGAATCCAAGCCATCCGAACCAGAGGAAGACGGTTCCGAGCAGAATGAGCGAGACGTTGTGAGGGCGGAAGTTGAGCATCATGCGCTCCTGGCGACGACCGAGGACCATCGAGTAGGCGAGAGCTGAGAGACCGGAGCAGATTTCGACGGGACCACCACCAGCATAATCCAAGACACCGTAGTTGAAAGCCCATCCGTTCACGTTCCAAACCCAGCAGGCGATAGGGCAGTAGACGATCGTAGCCCAGACGAAGGTGAAGACCATGGCGGGGAGCAGGCGACCACGCTCGGCGACGGCTCCCATGATAATAGCAGCTGTGACTCCGCAGAATTGCATCTATACCAGTCAGCTGAGATTTACAACAGAGAGGCCATTTGTGTACACATACCTGGTAGAAGGCATACAGCAGGTTGGGAACCAGCGGGGATCCAGGGCTAGGATCCGCCAGAACCTTCATCAAACCAAAGTTGCGCAAGTTTCCAATGAACCCATTGGTGGCAGACGGAGAGAAAGCCAACGAGTATCCCCAGAAATACCATTGGAAAGTCACGACACACATGGAACCCATGCAAGCCCAGATCATGCTAAGGGCAGACTTGCGGCGAGCGAGACCGGAGTAGAGGAAACCGAGACCGGGTATCATAAGCATGACCATAGCGGAGGCGACGATGATGTAGGCTTGGTCACCGGACTGGTACCATTTGTTCAAGTTCTCCGTCCCTAGAAAAGAGTGAGTTAGGGCGGGCGCAGCGATGGAAACTCAATGGTGGTGGTCACATACTGGAATCACCACCCAGGCCATTGGTAGTCAAGGTTGAGTAGTCCGACGGAGCACCGGTCCAATTGTACGAGGCATACTCGGGAGCGTAGGGGGCCGCGCCTTCGGTGGCCATGGTTGCGGATTGAGTCGAGGTGGTGGTGTAGAGAAGTGGAAGCGTCCTCAGGCCCGTCGCTCAGCGTGGGCAGTTCCCTTTGCAAAAAAGATGAAATCAAAGAGGAAGTCGAGGACGTCTTCCGAGTGTGGAGAAGAAGCAGCCACGGGGCGGAGGACAGTATATAAAAGAAGAGCCAAGAATGGTTCTGGAAGAGTAAGCGGGTGGATAAAGATACAGAAGATAGTGAGCAATCGAATAACAAATTGAATTGTCTGCGAAAATCTGGAAGATCGACGGACACGGCGAGTGGGCCCGATCCAGAGTTGCTCGAGTTGGCCAAGCTGTCGGGAGAAATAATCGAAATTATTCACCAGGGTCGCCTCAGGCTTCGAGGTCTGTATCGCAGTGAGCTGACCCCAGCCTGGTTGGAACCTGGTGCAGCCTTCCGATTTGGCGTCTGCAGAAAAAGCAAAGCCGATCAGAGTGAGCAGCGCAAGGAGGATCGAGGCAGACCCGAGCGAGGCGCGCAAATTGATAAAAATCAATAATCGATAATCGCAATTCAAATTGAATGGGATAAAAGAAACTTCCGCCAAACCAAAATACGGTGCGCCCTTCATATGTATAACAGCAGGATGCCCTTCTCGAGGATCCTTTCGTCTCGCACTTACCAACATCTTGAATCAATGCCGGTTCTCGTGGCAAAGTGACTTCAATTCTTTAATCAGTGGCAAAATAACTGGGGATGCTCCTCCTCACGCCCACTTGTTTCTCTCCAGATCGGCTCCATTTTTTCGGTTGATCGGTTCTCATAGTAGTCCATTAGACCAGATAGTTCGCCCTCCTTAGCATCAGTAGACTTCAAGGCAGCGTCATCAACCCAGCCAGCAGGCTTTGAGGTATGTGCGCCGGTGAAGCAGCCGTGGAAGGCATCATTCCACGATCCATTGGCTTCCCCGATCTGATGATATCCAGATGTAAGTCGATGGATCACGGACAAGACTCTTGGGCAGAGCCAAGCTTGGGTCGAGCCAAGACCGCCCGAGGGAGGCCGAAACCGCTCGTCTATTGTTGCTGCTTTGCGAGGCCCTGTCTACTTTATGTAGGCGGCGGGAGTTCCTGTCCTGAGCGGTTTCTCCGCCGTCGTCCACTGTCTATCTAGTTGATCAATCTCGCCCCGATGATAACCTTGCTTTGATAACATTTGTGTCGATGAGCCGTCAGACTGCGATCCTGGTGAGCTCCCAAAAAGAGACACCAAGACTGACAGGACTGCCTGTAAGGAGAGTCTGCTATCAGCCATTTTCTCAAGTAACGACAACAGCTGATAAGGAAGGCGCCACCATGTGGGGCGCCTTCCTTTCGGGCTAGTTCGACTTTTTGCCAGAGATAAGAGCATTTCCTGCCCAATAAGAGCCTCCGCCACTGGAGAAGCATCCTGATTTTCCCGATTCCCGCCCGGCCGGTCGGGCAGACGAGGAAAGTGCCCCAGGTGGGAGCTTAGGAACACTGTTCCCCGAGTTCAGACACGCAGGGCCAAGTTTCGTTCGTCTCTTGTCCAACTTCAGCAGGGAACAGGGTTCTTGGTTCTCCAAACTCTGTCGCGTGTCTTGGCGTGAGCCTCGAAACGTGTCTGATATCTCCGAAGACGCTACTTGCGAACGGACCAAGTCCCCCATCACCTCCGATACTGGAGGGAGAGACGATGAAGAACAACAGCGGAAATGCATCGGTGATGTCTACTCCGACGGCATATTCTTCAAGAACATTCATGTGGGGATGATTCTGCACTTCAGGCTCTAGTACTCCAGGTGGATGCAATCCCAGTCCCATCAGTCTGGTTACACCCCCCCGTCCGAGTCCCAGCCGAGTCCCAAACCGCCAGACATGCCTTAGCATACTTAGCTCAGCACAAAGGCCGAAGGTCGGTGCAAGTCTCGAACTCGTCAGACCGAGCCAGAATCCCCCACGCTGGGTTTATCTCTCCTATCAGTGACGGGTCACGCATGTACCTGCAGCCCAGCTCGTCCACACTGCGGGGAAGGGATCTGATCACACGTACTTTATTCTTTCTTGGTCATGCGAATCATCGGTATCAGAGCGGCCAAGAGCAGAAGAAGCGAGAAGTTCAAATAAGATCGCAACCGCACGCGATAGGCTTCGGCGATCCCTTGGCATCAGGCGTATCCATTTGTCATGGAAACTCTCTCATTCGCACAGCGGCTACTATGGAGATGTCACTGATAACGGCCGCTCTGCCATCCCGGTTGAAGCACTATGGAGTAAACCTCCCGAGGGCCCGATCATGGGTGCCAGATGGCGATGGCTTGCTCCGTACATGCTGGACGACTCCCCGCTTGCTTCAGAATGTGGCTGGTGGCGTGAATATGGGTCTATTGATTTACTCTAGTGCGAGAAATATATATAGATTTGAGGACAGGGCGGTTCCTCGGGTTAGGTTGTACATGGAGGGTTTCCCCGTCATATCCTCGGGATTTTCCAAGCTTTTTATATTGATGTGCTTTAATTGAAAAAGGGAAAATACTTTTGTTATGGGACTTTGTTGACCAGCGCTTCTATATGTCAACCTTCAGAAGACCTTTGAGGTAGCTGCTGAGCATCCTTTTGGACGTTTAACCGACCATGGGGAAGAGCCAATAACCAGAAGGTTCTCCAAACGGTTGGAATTACTAAGTACCCCAGCAGCATAGGAAGAATGAGATACCTATCAGATATACGGAGTAGGATCGCCTCATTGCTCAACCCCCTTTGTAATTTTTTTTTTAATTTTAATTTTTTTTTATTAGGTAGGGAGGGATATTCGCTTCCCATTACCTAATGTAGTTCTATACAACGTAGGGTAGGCGAAGGCCTTTATTAAGACCTTCATCGAGGCATTCATTAAGGCATTCATTAAGAGGCCTGACGCAAACTCTGCGTTCATTTACCATACAAAACTGGTGGGGATTTTAGCTTACCACTTAAAACTGGCAGGGGGGTTCTACGGAGGAAGCAAAAAAGTAAGAGGGATATGAGCAATAAGGCGGAGATAGCATTTTTACGCCCATATTTCACCCTTGGTAAATCCAAGCATTTGCAGAACCTCTTGGTCATCGACACTATACACTTCCTATTCTAAGCCTCTGGAAGAGCAGATTCCCGCAATCGATCGACAACTTTCCTAGCAACTGCCGCAACACTCGTCTTCTGCTCCATCAACATCAAAAAGTCAACCTCGACCGCAGTCGTGCTGAAGATATACTGGCGCAGCTCCGCTGCCAGCATACTATCAATCCCATAGCGCATCATCGAAACATCCACGTCTAGTTTCTCCAGTGGCAATAGAATCAGGTTGCAGAGCTTTTGCGCAATGACACCCACCACCGTGGACCGCAGTTTCTCATCGTCCTGCTCAGCCAACGCAGCTTGTATCACTGATGCGGGCGTCCTAGTGGCCGTCGTAGACCGCGTTTCTCTCCGCTGCAGCACGCATCTCAGAACAGATAACCGTGCGTCGGATACATACTGCGAGAATGCGGTGTATTCTGCGCTTTGCTGTTGCCATGCCCTGTATCCTCTAGCCCCGTCAGGATGAGCGATTGGGCTAGAGTGTCCCGATCACGGACGGAGGTCGGGGTAAGCTGCTGAGCCAGTGCAAAGTCAACAATCTGAAGCATTTCATCCTCCAACAAAGGTCGGGTGCCCTTTCGATGTAGCAGTTTCCCGATATCCCTATGTTCATGCAGATACCCAACCTCAGAGACCATCCCCAGTCCCAGCGAGATGGCCTTCAGGCCCAATCTCCGTCGGTACTGCGCAAAGGCGTCTAGGAAGTTGTTGGCTGCGCAGTAGTTTGCCTCGGTGGCTGTTCCCACCTTTCCGGCGATGGAGCTGGTTAGGAGGAAGAAGTCGAGGTCCTTCTCCTTGTCTTCCGCGGCGCGCGCCTGATGCAGATTCCACGTCCCCTGCACCTTCGCTAGTGTGCCGGTCTGCCACGCTTCGTGCGTAATGTACTTGAGTATGGACTCGTGCAGGCCCATGGCCGCTTGTACGACACCGCCAAGTGGCACAGTAGCCCCGGCGGCCTGGACGGCGCGCTCGACGTCTGCATACTTGATTACGTCGCCGGTAACAACGGTGCAATGGGCACCATCTCGCTCTAGCTCTTCAATCAATCGCCTTGCAGCCGGCTTTTCATACCCCGTCCGGCCCAGAAAGACAAAATGGCGCGCGCCTCGGCCGATCATCCATCTAGAGAGACTGCGCCCTAGCCCGCCCAGGCACCCAACAAGGAGATAGCCTTTTATGGTGACTCAATTGCGCCATGTACGTCTCTGGGACAACAGGAACAATCTGCGTCTCGTCCTCAAACGACACAACAATTTTGCCAATCGGTTTCTGTTCTTGAAATAGCTCAATGCGGAGTCTATCTCCGCGAGCCTGAACACGGCCAGCGGCTGGATGGGCTGGATCTCACCGCTCCTCAATAATCCCATGACATGTGCCATCATCTCATGGACCTGCTGATGTATAGCCGGCGAGGAAGACTCGCTGAACATACTAAGGTCAAACGCCGTGAACGTCGTCCCCTTCCCAAAACACCCCCATGTCCAGCCGGCCGTGGTCGAGGATATCCCGTTTCCCAATCTCCACGAACCGACCCCAGTCCGCAAGACAACTACCCCAGCTTTCATGCAGGAGTTCGCCAGCGAGTGAATTCAGCACGACATCAACGCCGTGCTTGTCTGTAGCAGCCCTAATCCCCGCTGCGAAGCCCGCATCATGCGAGGAGAAAATATGCCCCTCGTCCAGCTCAAAGGTATTAACCAGATACTGCTTTTTCTCGTCTGTTCTGACAGTAGCGAATACTTCAGCCCCTGCAAGTTTCGCCAACTGGATCGCTGCAATCCCAACACCACCTGCAGCAAAGTGGATGAGGATTGATTGTCCGCGCTGCAGGCATGCTCGGTGGTGCAGGGCGTAGACGGCCGTCACAAAGACGACTAGGACTCCGGCCATGACGTGTAGTTCCTCATTAGCGTGAAGTCTGATGCAGCTTCAGGCTGGCACTACTTCATACGTGGCGAACCGGCCACGATACATGACTGCGACTTTATCACCCACCGCAAGCTGGTGGCTGGGTGAACCCGAACCAATAGCCACTACATGACCGGCGTACTCTGAGCTGCATGTGCCGTTTGTCGTTTGAGTTCGTCCGGCAAGTGCATAGACATCTTTGGCATTTAAGGCAACACACGAGACTTTTAAGAGAACATCTTCGCTGCCCAACCGTGAGCTATCTGGGAGCGGCCGTCTGATGAATAGGGCTCCTCCTCCGGCTGTGCTCGTCTGCCCAGGGCTCTTGATTGATAAGAATGCGTTTTCAGCACTGGCTATAGGAGTGGATATTGCAGCAGCAGATACCACAGTCCCAGTTGACGAATGTGAAACTCCCGGTTCATGCACTGATCAGGCACGATGCGACTGATCATGAGATTTCCTTCTTTCGTCATGTATTCGCAGTCGACAACATCGCCTTCCAAACTTGCCCTCTCCAAAATCTTGCAAACAGCTCTCGAGACGGCCCCAGCTTCAGTACTCGGCTCAAGCTCCAGAGTAAAATTCTCGTCCCCGGCTGCTCAACGCGCACAGTGCGCGCAAGACCTGTGAAGAGGGAAAGCGTAGGATTAGATCCTGGGCTCTTACCGGACCCAGACTCACATCCCGTATAGCCAGACGATATGGCTTGCTTGCTCAATTTTCCTCTTTGCAGCGTCGAAGTGTTCGGGACTCGGGTTGGAGAGGAGCGAATCTTCAATCTCGAGTGTGGAGATGACTAGTGTTCTGGGGGGAATATGGCAATGAGTAAGATCTGGTAGGGCTATGTAATTTGTTGACGTGTGAAAATCGGTGCGTAGGTAGTGAGCTAGGGCTTCTTCTACTGGACTTGCGGCGGATTGGCCGATAACGATGGTATTGCTGAACAATGGCACAGGAACCGATCGCAGGACAAGAACGTGGGGTTCAGGAACGAACAATTGCACGTTATGACCGGAATTTGAGTGAGACCGTAGCACTGAGAACCGGTCCCGCATCAGCTCACTGCCATCGTCGAGAGAGGGCGCAAGTAAGAATGTAGTACCAGCACTTGTGTAAGAGGCCGGCGTCTTATCCAATATCACCCCATCAGACCCAAGGATCACGAGTGAGAATTCAATGCCAGATACCGGCTTGTCATATTTTAGCGTCTTGAGACCCAAGGGCACACTATGGCCCCGGACTTCTGCAACCTCTAGCACCCCATTCGAGACCACTCTGCCTAGGAAAAACGAATTGAATCGTCTGTGAAGGCTTGAAGCATCCAGGACCTCTGTCAATAGCACGGTTATAAGGGCCAAGTCTGTTGAGAGACACAGGATATGCGAGTCGGGGTTCTTATGCACTACCAGATCGATAGCAGCTAGGAGATGTGCCCAGTGGCCAAAACACCCAAAGTGCGACACTGAGATGGCATGTTCGAGCGCTGCTGTTAAGCAGACGGTCTCCAGATTACTGGTGATATAGGGTATCGTATCTCGTCCGCTGTTTGATTCCGGTTATGGTGGTGAAGTCGACATTCGTAAAGCGCGCCACTGTCCGCTGTTGTGCGTCTAACAACGCAGTATCCGCCTGCTGAGTGCTCAACCCGCTTACTTTGGAGGTCGACCGGATGACGCCGCCGTCTTGCGATGCTCTGGACGAGCGAATGCTCACGTTTCCAAGTCTGGTGGGCACCCTGGCAACTACAGACAGGAAGGAGCCACCGATGCACGCGACCAAAGAGACCTGAAGCATGGCGCCTTCGAGTGTAGGATGCAATATGTAGCGCGGATGCAATTGTGCGGTACCTTCGATGACCGGGGTAAGTGTCCGTGTACACACTTCGGCGTAGAGAGTCCCCTTTGCTGCGGGGGTGTAGATCTCCTGCATGTGCTGGAAGGCTGGACCGAACTCCAGGCCTTCCCGAGCAACCATCTCATACCAGAGCTGTTGAAATTGGCCCTCCACGCCACAGCGGGGTGGGTCTATCTCAGATCCAGCACCGGGCCCCCCTGCTGCTGTAGGCTCGAGCCTGATCTGACCCTGGGCTCAAGTACAAGGCGTAGCATCGGAGACGGAAGAGATCTGGAATTCCCACCATGTATCTGAAGCGTTTACGCTAGAGATAGGATGAGGCCGGAGCTCCGTGTAGAGCTCGACCGGCTCTTCATCCGTCAACTGGAGAGCCTTCGGTAGATGCACCTGGCGGAGTACGACAGGGATATCTAGATCCGCGGACTCTCCATCTAAAGGAACAGCTATCTGCATCAATGCCTCAACGGCCATCGCCAGATATCCGGCCGCAGGAAATACCACTGTCCCGCCCAGTTTGTGGTCTCGCAGCCATGGGACATTGACCAGACGCAGTATATTTCGCCATCCAAAGGTGCTATGATTCCCACCTGCCACCTCGCCACCTAACAGCTCGTGTCGTGAGAACGGCGAAAGCGTCCCTCTCGACTAACCCTACATTCTGTCCACTGAATTTCCTCGTAGTACCAGGGGTAGGTGGGGAGATCATGGATGATCTAGGCGGCCCGTGACTGTAGCTCGCGAGGAGCTTCGAAAAGTCAACATTGAAGCCATGGGTAAAGAGGTCCCCCGTGCATGTCAAGAGTGAGACCGCGGAATCTCGGTTGCGCTTTAGCGTAGCGATGTAAGACGTCGACTGGCCCAGTGTCTGTAGAACGGGAAGCCTTAGGGTTGAATGAGCCCCAACCTCGATCCACGTGCTGCGGTTGAACGACTCCGACAGACTACGTAGTCCCGCAGAGAACTGAACGTGGGACTCGAGATTGGCGCGCCAGTAGGCAGTCGTGCAGGCAGTTTTGCTATGCAGTACTTTACAGCTAACAGTCGAGTACATACAGATGCCGAATGCGTCTTCTGCGGAGGCTTGTTCGCAAAAGAGAGTCAGACTACCGAGTAGCTGCTGATACAACCCGCCCCCAGCAGCCATATGATGCGAGTGGTAGGCCTTGTTATCGGTTTCCAGTGTACGGATGAAGGCGCCCTCATCCTGGAGAGCGGCTGTGAGCGATAAGATACCCTCACAGTCACCACTAACCGTCACACTCTCTGGCGAGTTGACGCAAGCTACTGTGATGTCTGCGTCGAGTCCCAGTCCGTTGATCTTGTCGCGGACAAGATCCTCGTACAAGCCTATGGCAGCCATCAACCCTACTGGTGCTGATTTTGAAACCGCATACCCCCTGTAGTACGCGATGGCTATTGCCTCGCGAATGGAGATCAGACCAGCCGTATACGCGGCTGCAATCTCCCCTGACGAGTGCCCGAGCGTTGCTTTTGGTCTGACACCCCAGGATTTAAGCCAGAGCAATTGCACAGCCGTGGTGATAGGTTGCACTATGTCGGCTTTGTGTATGGAGAATTCTGGTGATGATTCTGAAAGGATGTCCAGCATCTTCCAGGAGGGCTTATAGTCCAGGGAATGCAGCTCATCATCCAAGAGACAGATAGTCTCTGCAAAAGCTGGGAATTGCATCAGCTCGCTTCCCATTCCTTTCCATTGTGCCCCTTGTCCGATAAATACAAACTGAACGGTGCGCTCGGCCAGATTTATACCAGGTATAGGTTGTCAGAAAGTATCATCGCTAACGTCGTTTGCCAGGCTTCCCTGTCGGGCAATCACATAGCCACGCTGTGAGAGTTGGGATCGTCGTACTCCCAACGTGTAGGCGAGATCACGAACCGAAGTTCCCGACAAGTTTAGCTTGGACAATTCATCCAGTCGTCTCCTCAAACAAGGGACTTTATTCGCCGAAAACGGCAGCAGGTATGGCATGGACGAGGAATCGTTGTCGACAGTCCCATTTCCCAGGTGGCCCCTCCGACAAGAGACTTGAAGAGCTTGGAAATCAGCTTCGTTAATGATCCCATGTGCGTTGGCACACCATAGCCAAACGAACTAATACTCATACGGTGCGGACAGCTTCCTCGTGATGGAAATGTAATCAGACGGGTATCCACCTCGACGCCCCATTCCTCGGCCTTGATCTTCGGATTGAGCCCCTTGAAGCCGATAGTCGGCGGAATCTGACCTCGCTCAACTGCAAGACTGGCCTTGATCACACTCAGTAGCTCACTAGACGCCTCTCCATGCCCGAGATTCGGTTTCACTGAGCCGAGCAAGGTCGGTCTAGAGTCAAAAACCCGTGACAGGGCTTCCACTTCAATTGGATCCCCAATGCTGGTCCCGGTACCATGGGTCTCGACATAGGCTGTCTCTGCAGGGTTCAGTCCGACGCGAGTATACGCCTTCCGGATCACCGCCTCCTGGCCATCGACACTGGGCAACGAGATCCCAGGCGTGCGCCCGTTACTGTTGACGGCCGTGCCGCGGATTATGGATCGAACCACGTCCCTGTCACGTAGAGCGTCATCCAGTCGCTTGATATAGATTGCGTTGACTCCGTCTGCTCGCTAGTAACTACAATTTTAGACCGGCTTAGCTCCACCATTGCATCGCCGTTGCACGAGGAGAACGAACGAGCGCAACTTACCCATCGGCCGACGAGTTGAATGTCTGGCAAGTCGAAGACGGCGATAATAGTCCAGCTTGGGGGATTGCGATATGCAGCTCAGGCGACTGAATCATGTTCACTCCCGCGACAACCGCAGAGCCACATTCGCCGTTCTGCAGCGCCACGCAAGCCATATGGAGCGCGTAAAGGGACGAAGAGCACGCCGTGTCAACGACGCAGCTCGGCCCTTTAGATTGAAGATGTGGCTGATGCGATTGCTGAGGAGGGTTGCGCCTAGACCCAGGGGGCTGTACCGAGTGAGGCTTTCCGGGTCCTTGGTCTGGAGGGCTATATAGTCCGGCGTGAAGGAGGCCACTGCATTCCATCCCTGTTATTTGAACGCACGATGACTATAAAAGTGAGAGGGGTACGAAGAAAATGTAGATCACGCACCGTAACACCCGACATTGGCCCCGGAGACTTGATCCAGTGTTACCCCGGCGCTCTCAAACGTCTCAAACACAACCTCGAGGAGCTTCCGCTGCTGAGGATCCATAGCCGTGGCCTCGCGGTTATTAATCCCAAAGAACTGGTTATCGAATTGTCGAATGTCATCTTGGAGAAAGTATCCGCCTCGGGCTTGAGTGGTTGCCGGCTCGTCCTTGTCTCCATGGTAGCTGTCGCAGTTGAAGCGGGACAGTGGCAGTGCGCCGGCTGCTGAGCGACCCTCTGCTAGGAAATCCCAGAGTTACGAGGGACTGAAGATATCCCCGGGGAGCCGACATCCTGAGATTGTGTGTTAACTTTCGTATTCTGTTGTGACGCCGTCAAGCTCACCGATGCCAATAATCGCGATTGCTGCGCTCTTATCCGCGGCAGACACGGTGGGAAAGTCGGCTTGGGACATGGAGGGTACTTTCTCAGGAATTTGCATTATCCGCGCGAATCTGTGGTAGTGAGCTCAAATTGAGGAGTAATAAATCTGTACTAACGCGTCCTCCCCCAGCTGATACTTACCAGAAGGTTGTATAGTCGCTGGTAACACAAGAATTCCCAGACAACCCAATTTGACTCATAAGACCCGGACCTCTTCAGACTCAAGTCTCCGAACGTGATATGAGGGGCTTGCAGGACCGGCTAGGAAGCCTTACGGGGAGGATCAGGAAAAAGGAGCACCTACCTACACCAGCATTGCTCCTTAGGCAGGCGAGTCACTCATGCCTTCTCAGCGTATGCCCCTCCATGACGAGAGTACAAAAGCAAACTGGACTTTTTGATAAATCACCGCTCAGTCACGACGCTCCGGACTCCATTGGAAAGACGCCGCGCAAAGGCGCACGGTAGGCTGAGTTCATGCAGAGTCCCGTCTTGAGCTAGCAGCATCCCTGCGGACCAACTGGCTAGTGAGCTATCACTACCATTCAAAGTAGGAGGGTTTCAGGATAGTGTAAGTTTGGCTATTAGAGGCTGACATGAATATCTGGGTGGGGTAAGGTGGAATTGTGCTGGGATAACTCTGCGCTTCTGCTTCGAGCTGCAACTACGCAGCAAAAGACGATTTTCGGTCTGCTAAACCATGCTTGGTGTGTTAGCCTGCTTACAGTTCTGCGGTCCAGATTAAAGCTAAAGGTAGCTGTCTGGGTGGAAGCAGATGTTGCTTCTGAAATAGCAAAGGTGCACTGAGCTGCAGGAGAGGACGTTAGAAGACATCACTGCGAGCTACCTGTTTGTGTCAACCATGGCATCTTTCTTTCACTATCGAACCAGCAGCTCCTCAATTAGCACAGTACGGATTCCCTCCAGGTAGCGATCGACATCAGCAGGCTCTTCGTCCCTTCTCGCCAGAGCTGTTTTCAGAGCTCGGTGCATTGTTTTTCTCATTTTCTTCTTTTTATTTTTCCTTCTGATCTTTCCCCAGACCACGATCGCGGTGCGCACTGCTATCATTAAAGCTATACACAACCTGCAGCTTGTCGCGAAACGTAGAGATAAAGAACATGCTCATTCCCAGCACCACATCTACACCACCGTCAAATCCCTCACTGTGATCGTCCCGCCATACTCACACTGCACGTACCGCTCCACAACGCCCAGACTGCTCGGCAGTGCATCATGAGGGATTGGCGTCTGCTGATACTCCGGGCTTCCAGCAACTGTTTCCATAAAGCGGTTGTAATGTGGAGTCATCAGGCGCAGCGCAGGGTCGTCACGGAAAGAGGTCCGGTAGAACTTGCTCAGCGCGCTCGCCATATCCCAAAACGAATCTGGCAGGTCTACGTGGAATGGTAGTGGCGAGTACCACACAGACGCAGCGCACTGGGCAGAGTTGTATGGCTTTGGGAGATATCGACGGAGGTCAAATGATGCAGAAGTCACGTAGTGCGAGGATGGAGTTCTTGGGCCGGCGAGCTTCGTCAGTGTTGGATGTAGGCCGCATGCACGGCGGAGGTCACGGTGATGCCCTTTTCCTTGCAGACCTGGACAATTGCTTCGGTCGTTTGAGGGGGAAAGGTGAGCCGAGTGTTGCGGCAGGTACCTGCTGGTGCGCGGTTGACCTTGGATACAGGGCCGATGCCGGGGACCCTTGTGGCGTAGCTCATCAGGAGTGAAGTAACCTTTTCTGTCTGCTCTGAGGTGGGCTGGTCGGGGACACCGAGGACCTCCCCCAGAGGGGGCGCCGGGCGGGTCACCTCGTCCCCGAATGTGATGTCCTCAGTGGCAGGGTTAACCAGGCCGTTCAGGTAACGATCTAGGAGCATGAGAACGCCAATGCCATCTAGCACATAGTGATGGCCGCGCAATATTATCTCGGATGACTTGGAAAGGTAGTAGAGTGTTGTTTGGGGAATCGGCTCCACAGTATCCCAAAGGGCCTCCGCGTCTGTGGCGTCGGAGACGACAAAAGTCAAGGCCAGCCACTCCTGCAATGCAGCTTTATCCGGTACTTCGTAGACTTTGGTCTTGCCCTCAACAGTAGTCGCAATCCGGGGCTGTTCATGACGCAGTTGCGTCCAAGCCTGCTTCGACAGCCGTCGACGAAAAACAGCAGCGCTTCGACGCAGAGGAGCACTGAACGGGATAGACTGAACAAAGTGATTGCCGACACCGATGTCTCCCGGTCGAGAAGTGCGCGGGGAGAAGATATCCCACTCGGGCGCATCACGGTGCTAACGGACATCCGGGTCGAGAGCCGGAGAGCAAAAGAAGAAACGGGAGGGGCGTAATGTAACCCAGTTGATTTTTGTACTTTATACTGCTCCTAGAATAGCTGCCAACAATTGTAATATGCCGGACCACCTAAAAGCTCGAGATTCGAACATATATAACCTCTAGGAGTCATTAGAGCTCCGTCATAGTTCATGGATGGTGTGCGGCTGTAGTAAGAGCTTACTCTACGCGCGCTTGCGGTAGCCCTAATTCCTGCTGTGATAGTTCCAGTATCGGTCTCGAATGCTTTACTCCGGATCAAAGATGTATGGCCACAGATCGTTCCTCATTATTAGGTAGTATAACTATATAAAAAAACTGTACAAGCGATTCTATACAAGATTGTATCTTCTACACATTCACGCTATATCCACCGCCCACCGCACGCCGCCGCTTCAGCGACACGTAGTATTTCCTCCCCTCATCGACCCAGAAGACGCTGCTCGAAATACAGACCAACTTAAACAGATGCGCCAGATTTAGCGGCTCGGTCTGGAACACGCGCTGCAGGAATGGGAGATAGATGACGCACGCCTGCCCTGCAAGTGAGCCCAGCACGGCGTAATTGAACATCTTGTTGCCGAAGAGCGGGAGCTCGCCGCGGAGGACGGATTTGCTCTCGCTGCGGCAGGTGAGGGCGTTGAACATGTCGAAGAGCACGAAGCAGGTGAATGTCATTGTTGTGTCGTGGGCTGTTACGACCCGGGAGCGTTTACCTGTTTGCACGTCGTCGTCGTCGCCCATTTCGTAGATGTAGATGATGAGCGTGCCCAGCATTATCATTAGAGCGGACATGAGGACTCGTTGGATGAGAGGTTTCGTGAGCACCCGCGCAGATTTGGGCCGGGGAGGCCGGCTCATGATGGAGGGATCTACTGGCTCCACGCCGAGTGATTGTGCCGGTGGACCGTCCATGAGAATATCTGTGGTCATTAGTAAATGGTAATTCTGCTGACAGGTTCAGTGACACTCACTAATCCAGAGAATCTGCATTGCATTCAGCGGGTTCTTGAAGCCAAGAGTGGTGCTCAACAAAACAAGACTGAGAGCGGCGACGCTGGTGCTGAGCTGGAAAGTGATGAAATTCTGTATGTTATAGAAGATCCCCTTACCCTGTTCGATCGCGCGTAGAATTGTGGAAAAGTCGTCGTCTGTGAGAATCATGTCGGCCGCTTCTTTGGCCACGTCCGTACCGAGCTTGCCCATCGCAATTCCAATGTCGGCCTTCTTCAATGCAGGCGCATCATTTACGCCATCTCCCGTCATAGCAACGACATCCCCGCGAGACTGTAGAGCGCGAACAATCTTCATCTTGTGGTCGGGGCTGGTACGAGCAAAAACCGAGACTGACGAAAGCGCCTGAGACAGTTCTGCCGTGCCCATTCGGTCAATGTCATGACCGCTGAGAACATTCCGTGCTCCCAGTGTTTCAGCAATGGGCATTCCGAGCTTCCTTGCAATCGCCACGGCCGTGGTCTCGGCGTCACCGGTGATCATGATGACCCTTACACCTCCAGCCATAAGACGGCGAATGGCCTTGTGAACGTCCCTGCGTGGAGGATCATTCATGCCTACCAATCCTGCAAAGACCAAGCCGGTGTAACGGTCATCCTCATCTCCAGAATCAGCCTTGAGAGGCGTCGCTGACCTGCTTCCAATTGACCTTCCCCGGGCCTCTCTGACTGGCCCACTGGCAAAGGATAGGACTCTGAGTCCCTCCGACGCCATGTGTTCGGCGGCGTGACGCACAGCTTGGCGTCGCGGCTCATCTAGGATGACCTCGCGACCGTCCTTTGTCAAGTACGTATCGCAACGCGCCAGAACTTGTTCCAAGGCACCTTTGATATAGGCCATGCTAGGGCCAGACGAAGCCGACGGCTCTCCGGGTGTTCCGCTGCCGATAATCACACCCATCCACTTGCGCTCGGAGCTAAATGGAGTTTCAGCAACCCGCGCGCACAGGCGGTCCCGGACATCGTCTTCTCCAAAAACATCAAGCAAATCTAGAACTGCAACATCGGTTGGCTGCCCGACCCACCTACTCTTCATTGACCCGGAGGCGTTATCATCGGTGGACGACAGGACCGCCGCAGATGAGGCGGTAGCGGGCGAATTGGCATGCACACGCGACAACCTTGCATTATTGGCAATATTGCCAATCCGCAGAACAGTGCGGGCAGCTGGGCCTGGCGTTAGTGACGCAATATCATTGTGTACCTCGAATGGTTCAGGGCAGTCAAAATGCCACATCTTAGTGACTGTCATATGATTGAGCGTAAGGGTTCCGGTTTTGTCACTGCAGACGACATTCACCGAGCCAAGCGTCTCGACGCTAGGAAGTCGGCGCATGATGGCCCCCCTGGATGCCATGCGCAGGACCCCAAGCGCGAGGGTCACGGTTACAATGATTGGCAAGCCTTCCGGAATAGCGGCAACCGCAAGTGAAACACCAATGGTGAACATGTCAAGAAGCTTGCGGCCTTGAATCAAGCCTACGACCACAATCAAAGCAATGACCCCAAAAGAGATGTAACTCAGCTCCTGGCCTAGTCGATCCATCGATAGTTGCAAAGGCGTACGCGGGCTCTCGATTTCCTGGAGCGATGCTGAAATGCTGCCAAACTCAGTTTTGGCCCCGGTGCCTATGACAAGTCCTTGACCATAGCCGGATCGAACCAAGGTCCCCATAAACGCGATATTGTGCTGTTCATTTAGACGGATATCCGCACCAACCGCTCCACTAGCCGGTGCATCGTAGAACGGAGACCGGGGAGGGCTAACAATCTTGGGCGAGTGTGTAGGAAGGTTCTTCGGATGACGGATGGCGTCCGGGTACTTGGCGACAGGTTCGTTCTCGCCAGTGAGATTCGATTCGTCAATAGTTAGATCTGTTGCAGCGGTAATGCGAATGTCGGCGGGAATTCGGTCTCCGACTGTAAACAAAACCAAGTCTCCTGGTACGAGCTCGCCAGCTGGCACAGTGGTTGAAGCCTTGACCGCTGCGGAGGCCGTACTGGAGCTCGGGCTCTTGCTCCGCAGCTCCCGCATCTCGAATTCCTCGTCGGGAACCGCTGGAGTAGGGTGAATAATCGGTGCGCCGTTCGCGGGGACATCACGGATCAGATGGGCGTGATGTGGAACTAGGCGATTCAAAGCTTCTAGAGACTTCTCGGATCGGTATTCCTGGATAAACCCAACTGTGACGACAATCGTCACAGCTAGTGTAATGCTAACAGCATCATCATAATTGCCCATGAAGAACGAGATTGCGGCGGAGGCGAGGAGGAGGAGAATCAGGGTTTCCTTGAACTGCTTGAGGAAGCGCAGCCATAAAGGCTCCGGTTCTTCGTGAGGTAGCTCGTTAGGGCCATCTTGTAGATAACGTATCTCCGCCTCCGCCGGGGTAAGTCCGTGGATGAGGGATGTTTGGAGGCGATCCGCGGTCTCCTGAGGGTCTAACTGCGAATAGGTCGAGGTAGAAGCCTATAACAAGATTAGTCAGCCGGGGAAACTATACAGAGCAGGACAGAGGAAGTAAATGGCATATATCATTACTCACTGAAGGTACGGCACTGGAGCGCACTCCCGCAGGCGTGGTCGACGGAGATCTTGAACCAGAAACCTGGGCATTATGAAAAGGGAGCGCAGGCGTAGCGGACCTTGACATTTCTCATGCTTCGATTACCGGAGTTTGTGAAGGCACTCGTTTACCGTCCCATCGAGGTAGGGGAGCAATACGGACAGCTTTCAGGGCTGAGGTGCTAGCGGACTCAGGATTTTGGACAAGTGTCAGCGCGACAAAGATGTAGTAGTAGAAGGCAACGGTCTCGGAATGCGACTAGTAAGAGCTGATTTGCTAATAGAAAATCGAAATGTACGGAAGAAAACTGATCAACTCGACAAAAGTAAAGGATGCTTTTTGTCTATCAGAGCCGCTAAACCAACAAAAGGGGACATTGACAGAAACCCAAGTTAACTTTGTCTCGAGCCGCTTCGCACAGCCCAGGCGTGTCGGGGATGTTGACGTCCAGTACTATTCCCACTCTGGAATAGCGTCGGCCGCTCGACTTTTCCGCCCTCCGGAGTGTACACAGTACGATGTACGTCCTGGTCTAGCTATCTCGCACGTGACCCCAGCCTCCCCGAAGCCTGTTCGCCAGGTGACCAGCAGCGACCAGGCAGTGGGAACGACGCGCCGTCCAAGCAAACCCACTCACTTCAATTCTCCAACCTCCTTCCTTTCTCGCTGCCCCTCTGGTCCCCTGCGATTTGGCGAGTTTTGGCGTCGGTTTTCCTGTGAAAATATCGTCGCTTAGCAATTACGTGTTGGTCTGACTTTTATCTCAAGATTTTCACCCCCTTCTTGACCACCGTCGAGCGCCCGAGGCCCAGTCCGCCGATACCGTTTGTTTTCAGCATCCGTCGCGTCACCCCCCTCTAGTTGCGCGGAACATCTACGAATCGCCCCGCATTGGGCGGGCTTTGCTTATACCTTCGGGCATATTATCCTTAGAAACCTGAGTGATACCTTACGACTTACAACTTTGTCGGCGCCATGTTTTATTCAGAGACTCTGCTGTCCAAGACCGGGCCCTTGGCTCGCGTCTGGCTATCGGCCAACCTTGAGCGCAAGCTGTCCAAGTCGCATATCTTACAGTCCGATATTGAAAGCAGCGTCAGCGCTATCGTAGATCAGGGACAGGCTCCCATGGCTTTGCGATTGAGTGGGCAGCTGCTACTCGGTGTGGTTCGAATTTACAGCAGGAAAGCGCGTTATCTGCTCGATGACTGCAACGAAGCCTTGATGAAGATCAAGATGGTATGCAACCTCGGCAGTAGTACCATCCTTTCATCGGATATAATAACTGACTCTCATCGATACAGGCGTTCCGTCTCACAAACAACAACGACCTGACAACAAGCGCCGTAGTTGCCCCCGGTGGCATCACGCTGCCTGACGTACTGACCGAAACTGACTTGTTCATGAATCTCGATTCGTCTCTACTATTGGCCCAACCTCTCGCACTGGAACCGGAGGGTAAGCGACCGAGCTCGTCGATGGACTTTGGAAGCCAACTGTTTCCCGAAACTGGACTTGGACGCTCTGCTTCTCAGGAACCTGCCCTTTTGGAAGACCCTGATCTCGATCTTAGACTTGATTTTGGAGATGACGAGACAGCATTCGCTAGCGAAATCGGACGAGAAGCTCCACCTCAGCGCCCCGTCGAGGAGGATCTCTTCAGCGAAACCGGCAAGTTGAACGAGATTGACGATCTAGGACTCGATCTTGGAGAGGATGGCGCCCCGTTGGATAGGATGGATCTTGGAGAGGACGGCTTGCAGGACAACTTTTTGCCTTTGGATGACGGAATGGATTTTGGTCAGGATGATACCATGGCCGCCGACGTTGATGCCGATCAATCCGATCGTGAGAGCGTTCTGACAGAAGCGTCTGATGGCATGATGGAGCGACTGAACCCCGAAAATGACAACGAATTCGCCAATCCCAACAATGAGGAAGAGGACGATACAGTCATCCAGCATACTCAGCGCGTAAAGCGACAGAAGCAACTTCCTACTATTGAGCTTGATGAACACTCCGAGTACAAAGGAAACTCCTACCTCCAAGTCCAGCGAGAACAGCTCGCCGAGACTCTCCAGCCCGCTTCTTTCCTGCCTCGCGACCCTTTCCTCCTCACCCTCATGACCATGCAACAGAATGGCGACTTTGTTTCGAATGTCATGGGCGGCGGCCGTGGCCGTGGATGGGCTCCCGAGATCCGTGATCTGCTGTCTTTTGATACTGTTAAAAAGGCTGGTGAACTGAAACGCAAGCGCGACAGCGGAATTGCCGATATGGATGTAGAAGCCGCTACCACCCCCGCTTTGGAACTCGGCGAGGATGAGGCGATTGTACCCATGGACGAGGGTATTGGTCTTGACTCGACATTGCACCAGCGCTCGGAGATTGAATTTCCCGGTGACGAGGAAGACCAGCTCCATCTCACTGATGACGAAGGAATTCACCAACCGTTGGACGAGATGGACGATGAGACGATCGAGCCCGTTGACAGTGCCCTCGTGTCGGTGGGTACAAAACGCGCCGTGCACATCCTGCGTGACTGCCTCGGTGATGCAGAACAAAAGAAGGCTGTCAGATTCCAGGATCTTCTACCGGAGAAAAAGGCGTCCAAGGCCGATGCAACCAAGATGTTCTTCGAGGTTCTGGTCCTAGCCACCAAGGATGCCGTCCAGGTTGAGCAGCGCCCAAACACAGTTGGTGGCCCGATCAAGATCCGCGGAAAGCGTCCCCTCTGGGGCTCGTGGGCCGAAGAAGAGGCTGAAGCTCCCAGCCAGTCGACTCAGATCGCCGCTTAGATGTGGTTCGCATGGTGTGCATCCTCTGTTTTGAAGCTCTTTTTTGTACATTGTTATGCGCAATATCTCTCTGCCTCTTTCGTCTTTTTTTTTGTCCGTTTTTCATCTCTCAGTCGATATTCCCCTGCCCTCGCTGAGTGAAGCGGTTTTATGGAAGGGCTGAACTGTCTTGGATTGTGGGCTTTCTGACGAATACTACTGGAGTTGGGGCATGTTTCTTTTCATGCGTTTTAGGAGCCGAAAAGGGGTCAATTGCTTGGTTTAACTGTTTGTGTTTGGGCAAATGCTTTCTGGGCCATTTTTAGGTAGTTTTGTGTTAGTAGACCTTTTTAATCGAATCGAAAACCGTACGTCTCATACCTCTGTACTCTAGTTTGGACGGGTAGGCGGTCTGGGTTCCGGCCCCGTAGGAGTTGTACGTTGGGAGTGTCCCATTTCCTTGCTTTTTTCGCTACGACTACCACGAGGCATTCATGCTTGATCTACTCTTGTGCCATGTGCCTTCTCTAAACCTAGTTCATACTTCAAGCTCGCTTACTTGTTCTTAAGCAACATTTCCTCCTTCCCGAGATTGAGGTTCGTGTATCGGAAGCTCCGTTGATACGGGGCTACTCATGCAAAAGTTCGATTTCACCCTGATGATAGTAAGTTACTAGCTGATGTCATTCCGTAACAGTGAAGACCAGACTAGGCGTGTGCGTGTGTCTTGTCGGGGTCTGGGGGAGCGCTGAGGGCTTGTGGTTCCGTGGTCACGTGATATCTCAACGAGCTCAAGTGGCCCGTCCCCGACCGTGCATTCGACCTATCATCGACTGCTCTTTCCCATCAGTGGCACTGCAATGACCTGTGCATCATAACTCGGTGACTTTTAAGTTAGATTCGCTTCGTCAGCCCTCTCTATCACCTATCACCACACTAAACTCGCGAGATACCTTTGAGCGGCAACAGTCATTGCATGGAAACTGGGTTACGTACGATTAGGAGGTTTTGGGAATTGTAAACGCTGGTGTTGGTAGAGTCAGATGATCATCATGGGCACGCATACTGATTTAGTCTTCCAGTGTCGAGCTTGCAACTTTCTTCCGGTACCAGAGTCGAACCCAACCAGGCATTCTTCATGAATCAACTTTCTCAAAACTCAAACTACACTACCACTCTCCCAAAAAAAAATTCTCGCTTCAACCTCTCCAACTCAGTCGCACTTACCTTCCAAAGAGATCGATCATCGCTTTTTTCTCTGCCATTTCAAAAATGGATTTAGAGGAACTTTTCCAACAAAAGGATAAGGCCGATCGACAGGACCCTACACGACCTGGGATGTCCAGACAACGACAAGTTCCCACCCAGAAGGAATACCGCCAGCATCTAGTTGACCGGGGAGCCATATGAGCCGATGTGTAATACGCCCTCTATCGACGTATCCATCTCATAGGACGTCTTGCCAATGCTGAAACCTACCCTCGTACATCACGGCGCACAGGCCATGACATAACAATCCAATGGCAGGTATTCGACGAGGGATCGCAGCCTTAGGAAGTCCCCGCATCTAACAGATGGACCCGACAACTATACCCGAACTTCAGGTTCTGCGCAGTCTCTGTTTCAGAGATAACGATGAGTGCGGCATCCACTGGGGGATTGCCATACCTTCCTTTGCCTCCAGCAATAAAAGAGCTCGGGACGGCGACGACGCGGGCGTCTTCGGCAGTCCTCCCAAAAGGACCTCATTGCAGGACCTGTCAAGAGAACAAGGTCAACAGGATGCCGGGCATTCTCAGGTGAACTCTAACAACCGGTGCCAAATGTCCCAGCCCGCGGACAATGAGTTCAATCTTGGTCCGCAGTTCACAGCTGAGGATATCGTCAGACGTTATTGCCAATGCTTTTATCTAACTTCGTGTCTCTCTGCTGGGAAAGCGTAAATAGTCTCGTCGCCTGTTTGGTTCTCAGCGAGTTCATTATACCCATTTGTTTGGCCTTCGTGTCGTTGTATTCAGCAAAGGCCAACGCGATTCATCGCAATGATGACAACGGGAAGAGAGAGCTTTGCGTGTATTTCCCTCGTATCCGCTAGCATAGCTAGTACCTATAGCCATTATTACGGTTTATCAAAGCATGGTTATAATCTTTTTTCCGGGGCCAAAACAGCAAGTACTGTAACTACCTGCGTGTCCGCTTGGATCCAGACAGCCAGGCCAGTAACTGCGCGTTGCGTATGTCATTCTCTTCTACTAGGTCCTGGTAGTAATAGACACGACCACCGGTTCTGATGAAGATGCTTAAAAAATGTTATGCTCCAGTGAGAAGACAGAGGCCTGGTCGCCTAATCCTAGCGATCTTCTCTTGTCTTTATACTGCGATAAACGCGTTTCTGTTTTGCCTTATTATTTAGCGGGTTGAAAGTAGTATACATAAAGAGAACAAGCTGTCGGAAATTCCGAGTGCGCCTCTGCCTGTAAGTACGTAGATAGTTTTCCATCCCGGGGATCATCCGGCTAAACGGCCCCCATTTCATTCGCAAAATGATTAATAAGTTGCTTGATTTCTCAGCTAATTTTTGCTTGACTCAACCCGTCGTAAGAGTGGGGACGGCGGCAATTGTGACGACCTAGTCTATAAGTTTGGTTATAGGGCCGAGTCTCGACTCTCGACGGCACGATTTCCGGCGCAAATTTAGTTTTTTTTTTTTTTTTCTTCGACGAGGGCAGCAACGACACGACAAAGAGGGCTCCACTGATTCTATGGCCACCAACATATTTGCCAATTGAACCTTGATCGACCATGTCTGCTTCCCAGGCGGACTTCCCCGCATGTGCGGGGAGCGTCCAGGCGCCCTCAGAACAGCGATATTCTGAAAGCAGAAATAGCAATGAACGAGAGGAGTCTGAAAAGTTTGATGGAGGCTTCCTTCCGATCAAACCGGCAACGACGACGGACAACAACCAACTACGTCCCTCGACATCCCGACCTGTCGAACGCAGCTGGTCGTTGAATGACGGGTACAGTTGCAACAGTGCAGTGGACGCAGAGGCCGGGGTGGGAGGTGCAGAGGCTACCGGGGATACTTCGCCTTCTGAATTCGTCGTGGCCTGGGATGATAGTGATGCGATGAATCCGCGCTCATTCGGTACAGCCAAAAAGTGGATTATCACGTCCATTCTGTCCATAGGATCCCTCTGCGTGTAGGTCTTATCCTTCAAGAAAATGTGCTTCTTGATATTGACATATCTTGGACAATGAAGGACTTGCACATCGTCAATGTATACTGTGACATACGACCAATTAACAGAGGAGTTTGGTTGCTCACGATTGATTGCGACGCTTGGGCTCAGTTTTTTCATCTGGGGATTAGGTCTTGGGCCACTCGTGTTAGCTCCATTGTCAGAGGTAGGGAGCTCAATCTTACCAAAAAGACTAGTTGCTAACACTGAAGCAGTTCTACGGCCGAAGAAAGATCTATATCATCTCGTTTTCCTTCTTCTTGATATGGCTCATCCCATGTGCTGTTGCTAAGAACATCGAGACAATGATCGTATGTCGTTTCATCAACGGCCTTGCAGGATCTGCCTTTCTCAGTGTAGCCGGTGGCACAGTCGGAGATTTATTCGATCGCCACGATCTCAGCGCTCCCATGATGCTGTATACCAGCTCTCCTTTCATTGGCCCTGAAGTTGGACCCTTGTATGTGCTCAGCTGCCAAGGTATACTTTGGTCGTCCAGATTCTAACATTTTGCAGGGTTGGTGGTTTCATCAATCAATATACCACGTGGTATGCATGTCTAATCGCTACTCGAAAATGCTGCTAATACTGGTTGCGCGTAGGCGTTGGACTTTCTACGTTCTTCTGATATGGACAGGCGTATTGCTCGTGTCAATCATACTCTTCGTTCCTGAAACTTACCATCCAGTGTTGGTACTCCTCCGGGAATAGCGAAATGGGGTACTGACATGTGTCTAGGCTGCTAAGGCGCAAAGCCCAGAGACTGCGGATCGAGACGGGTGATGATCGCCATCTAGCTCCTATAGAAAAGATGGACAGGTCAGTGGCGAAGACGGTCATGCGCTCCTGTTATCGGCCTATCCTCTTGCTCACTCTAGAGCCGATGTGCTTGAATCTCTGCATATTCTCGGCTATCCTTCTGGGCATTCTCTACCTTTTCTTCGGTGCCTTCCAATTGGTCTTTGGCAATGTGTACGGAATGGACCTCTGGCAGCGTGGTCTCTGTTTTCTTGGGCTGTTCGTGGGAATGGTCTTTGCAATCTTGTCTGATCCGTTTTGGCGAAGAATCTACGTCAAGCTTGAGAAACAGCAAGAAAGGAATGGTGGAGGTGAGCACCAACCGGAATGGCGGTTGCCTCCTGGTACGTATACCGAGTCTTGTTGCCGCCATGCCCTTCTTAAGATGCTAACTGGTTGCAGCAATTGCTGGGGGGCCTCTTCTCACTATTGGGCTGTTCGTGTTCGCCTGGAGCATCTTCCCTTACGTCCACTGGATCGTACCGATCATCGGGACTGCCTTCTTTGGAGCAGGGTATGTTCGTTTGTTTCAAATCTGACTGGCTCGACGAGCTATTGTCACCGACCTGCATGAAGGATCATCGGCACTGACAACTCGTCTCCTAGCACGGTCCTTGTGTACGCCGGTATATTTACTTTTATGGTAGAGGCTTGGCCTCTGTACGGGGCCAGCGCGCTGGCTGCAAACTCGTTTCTGAGGAGTTCTGCAGGCGGAATTTTTCCACTTTTTGGAATTCAGAGTAAGTGTCCTACATGAACTTGATATAGGTCGAGAAATACACGTCAAGGACGGCGTCCTCCACCCTCACCCTCCACCCCACCTCCCGTTCGTGTATCTGCTTCGGCTTGATACCCACTATGAAACCTCATCATAGAGTTCAGCTTCTTCAATATGGTCCCCGATTCGGGGTTCATTAAGATTTGCGAAACCCGAAACCATCCTCCAGGGACCAGGTCTTGACCGCCAGTTACTAACTGGTGAACGCAGTGTACAACAATCTAGGATACCACTGGGCAACAACACTGCTCGCGTTCCTGACGCTGGTCATGGCACCCTTTCCGTAAGTGCTCTAGTCCTGATCTTTTGTGTCCCTCTTCCCTACCCCTTTGCGGATATCAGCTTTTGCAGGACGCTGTGGGACTAGCTTCAGCCTCCCTTGCATTGGCCGTCCTGCAAGCCGGTGACGGCATGGCGCATTTGACGTCTCTGTGGCCAGGCCTCTTCGCAACTCCGAATTGTGTCGACCAATCCAAGCTGGCTAGACTGTGCGAGGCTGATTGATGCTGGGTTGAATGTATATTGTTGGACGGATGAGCTAACCTGGTTGCCCGGTGACACTGCACAGATATCTATTTTTCCGCTATGGCAGTCGAATCCGGAAGAGGAGCCGATTTGCTACGGGGTAGGTATGCCCAAGTTGTGCAATGGATGCAGCATAGAGTATAGACCTGGTGCAGTGGGTTGGAGTTGTCCTACAGCGGGGACAACCTGGCCTGGAAGGTGACCGGGGTTGATCCCGGACTATGCATAATAATTAATACTTTATGGAGGCAGGGTTCGCTTGCTGCACTTGCTATAGTAGTAGTTTTACCGAGACCCGGTATACGAAGTTGAACCATACCTCGCCTGGGATACCAGGAGTATAAAAGTATATAATAAATTTTATGGGAAGAGACTGGAACAACCAGACACATTCAATCCAAATTGACTCTGTTTCAAAACTGCAGACAAACATCCACACTTGATATAACTATAACCAAGCAGCTATAGCTCTGTTTCTCCAATAGTCAAAAGTGCTGTCGCATAACCGGTCAGGATCAGAAGTGTATCGCAATCTGGACTGGACCAAGACGCTGCCTGAGCCACCGCGTCGTCCAAAACAGCAAAATCACACGGACGCTGGGCGAACACAGATTGAAACACTTTCGTCATCAGAATGCCTGTTTTTGGCAGCCGTCGCTGGCTTTTCAGCATCTGTAGCCGAGGCACGAGATGGCAATAATGGCTCTTGAATGGCCTCAGGCCGGGCGAAGACGGCAACGCGAGGAGCGATCCCGAGATAACCCGCCTCTGAGTTTTTTTGACTTCTCCAAGACTAAGGGCCGCTACTGCCAGTATTTGCATGAGAGATGCAGGTGAGGTATTTTCCTCATATTTATGTGTCAGTCGATGGTCAGTGTTGTAGCCGACCTAGGCAGCGGGCAAATGTGGTGATGCACACGTGGAATGTCATGTGAATCTCTCTGTTTTTTCTGCTTCCCTCGTCCATCCCATGCTCCATGTAAAAGCCCCAGGATGGGCCTTGGTTGTTACAGAGAGTCTTATTAAATGATTACCTCGTCTCGAGAGCTACCTTACATCCGCACGCGACCTGTGGAACTTGACTGGGCCTATCAGTGCGCGCGGTTTACCATCCAAAAAAGCCTCACTGCCTCAGCCCTTGACTCGACCACGTTTTGTACATAAATCCAGGCACCTTCTCCGGGGCTCCAGTTGCTGTCAATTGTGTCAAATCACTGGAGATTCGCCTCCTCAACCTCGAATCCCCGCGTCCAAAAATCGCTCATCACTTGTCTCCAGAGGCTTTCCCAGTTCCCACGGCATTTGGCTTTCTGCTTTCCCCGCAGTGCCGCCCGGCAAGTCTTCCTCTTCCACTTCCATCCGCCCGCCGCCAATGACTCTGACGCCTGCCCTTACGGCCTGCCTGCCTGCCTGAATACTAATAAAACAAGGACGCACTACAGGAGCCGGCCCTACCTGCGCGTGATTTTGTCTCCAATTTCAGATTCACATTCAGATCCGCGGACAGACTCCAAACCTTTTCCTCCTCCCTCCGCTCTCCCTCCCTCGCCATCTTTTACCTCTTTTTTCTCCTCCATCGTCCCACCTTCGACTCCATTCTATGTCCTCAGATCGACTTTTCCCGGATTAATCGCCAATCTGGATTCCCACCAGAGTGCGGCCCACGAGGGAGTTTTGTTCGACGACGGTGGTGAAGACGAGGCGTATTATTATTTCTCGCAAGGTGGCGAGCCATTTGCCGTGGAGTAGCGTTTAACCGGTGAACCGATCTCGTACCGTCTCAAGTCACCCCGGATTTCGACAACCAGAAACGAACCCACCTCGCGCAATTGTACCACGAGTCCACGACCGAGCAAGCGCATCCCGCTTCGATTCATGGGAAATGGATATGGATACAGACAAGAGCGCTGCAGCTCTCCCAGCAGAACATAGTGGGGCCGATCAGGATGCCGCAGCGATTGGAGAACACGCCGACCAGTTCCCGTCCAGCAAGGCTAACGCGACCACTGCCAACGGTGACGATCAGGCGACGACCAATGGCCAGAAACCGAATCCCAAGGACCCCTCGCGACCTCGGAGGAAGAAGGCGCGCCGCGCTTGCTTTGCTTGTCAGCGGGCGCATCTGACTTGCGGTACGCTCTCTTCTACCCTACCCAGGTAGTCGATGTATCCTATCGTAACGCAGAGCTAACATATTCCAGGCGATGAGAGGCCTTGCCAACGCTGCATCAAGCGAGGGCTCCAAGACGCTTGCCACGATGGAGTTCGCAAGAAGGCGAAGTACCTACACGACGCCCCGGACGGCGCTTTGATGCCTGGAGTCGGCGGGAACAATTTCTACAACAATTCCATGTCGAACGGCGGCGTACCAACCAACGGCATACCCATCAACGGCGCGAACACAATCAACACAACCACAGCCACGCAGCAGAACTCGGGCGCGAATTTCTACCCCACGCCGCAGTCGAACTATAACATGTACCAAGAAAATACCATCAACCAACAGAGCACTTTTCCGTCCCAATCGCCCGTTTCTCCGACCTTTAGCTTGAAGACGAACCCCACGCATCGCAATAGCACAGGCGGACCTCCGAATTCCAGCAATAATACCGCATTGACATCGTCGATGCCGCAACCGCCGACTACGGGCGTATCAACCGGCGCAAATCAGACTCAGAACCCGTTTGCTGGGCCGTTCTTCGACCCCAGCGACCCCGCCCTTTTCAATTTTGATCTGTCGAGCATGAACTTTGAGAATCGATATGGTGCGCTGGAGTTTGGCATGCTCGGACACATGGCTACCGGGGCCGGTGACTCTCCAGACTCAGGCACACATCGAGGATCGATGGGCCGCAGTGGCTCCACCCAGTTTGCTTCTACGCCTATCACGGGAGCTGCCACGTTCGGCGAGAGCCCTGGAAATCAGCAGCCGTTTATGTTTGGCGATCCGCTTCTGAACGAATGGCCGAGCGGCCAGACCTCGGGTCAAGCGCATGTGAACGTTGGCGTCTATCCGCAAAACCAGGGCAACGTGATCCCAGGACATCTATCAAAGGCTGATGCGCCGCATGCCTTTGCGATAGAGAGTGGGCCAGCCAGCTTCACTAGCCCAGGTGCAGCGGCGAGCCCCCAACTGAACAACCAGGGGTATGACGAACCGAGCCCGTTTAACAGTGTTGTCTCCAAGACCAATGGACTCTCGGTGAATGGACAGCAGCAACGGCCACCGACTATTTCGACGCCGAGTCTAAAGCATCAGAGTCTGCAGATGAACAAGCGTCAACAGCGCAATCCGTCAGCTGTTTATGAGAGTGTCAAGGAGCCGTACGCGTATACTAGTCGCTTCCACAACCTGACAGCGTTCATCCAGCGACGCTTCTCACCGCAGAAGACGCTTCAAATTGCGAAAGCCCTCGCCTCGATTCGACCATCGTTTATCGCCACGACCAAGACATTGAACAGGGACGATCTTATATTCATGGAACGGTGCTTCCAGCGGACATTATGGGAGTACCAAGACTTTATCAATGCCTGTGGTACACCAACAATCGTCTGTCGCCGCACAGGCGAAGTCGCCGCCGTCGGTAAAGAATTCAGTATTCTAACTGGCTGGAAGAAAGAGGTCCTGCTGGGCAAGGAGCCGAATCTGAACGTCAACACGGGCGGCTCGTCAGCCGCGAACTCACGCAACTACTCACCGCGAGGCTCAGCTGAAAGCTCCACCGGTCGACCGCACCCTGTCTTCCTAGCCGAGCTCCTCGACGACGACAGCGTGGTGGAGTTTTACGAAGACTTTGCGCGACTAGCATTTGGCGACTCACGCGGTAGCGTTATGACGACGTGCAAGCTACTCAAGTACAAGACGAAAGAAGATATGGACGCTGCACAGTCAGACGACGCCAACTTGCGGTGGAACAACCACCTGCGCAAGGGGGGAATCGCGAACGAGGCCGGAATGAATCAGTTAGGGTTCAAGGACGGCAAAGTAGAGTGCGCCTACTGCTGGACAGTCAAGCGCGATGTGTTTGACATTCCCATGTTAATAGTGATGAACGTATGTTGCCCTCGCTCTCTTCAATATCTCCCATTGTCGTCAAGATTCACGCTGACTCTGACCAGTTTCTACCCTGCATTTGAGATTCGAATTTTGATCGATACCACGCCCACTAAATACCACCTAAATTACGTCTTCGTTGTACATGATTGTTACAAACACTTTACGAGCTCCGTGCCATTGACCGGAGGAATTACCGATACCCGGGGGATAAAAAGGTTTTGTTCGTTTTTCTTTTTTGATTGAACGTGTCCAGTTTTGTATTATTCATGTATCCATGGGCTTGATTGGAGCTAGGATAGAGCTTCTTGACGGGTTGGGGTGGGTTGGCATATGTTATATGTACCTACATGGCCACTAAAAATATACGCTGTAATGTGCCGCACTGTTTGTACTCGAGATAAAAACTGACAACCCGGCCATGTGATAACTCGGGAAAATCTAGCTTCTAGAAGAATCTAGATAGGTATACGAGCCAGGAACATGACAAGTCTGACCCTAGGATATCCTGACATAAGTAATCAGCTCCACCCCGCATCTCTCACAGAAACCCATCCCACTTCCCGAGTCTCTTATCGATACGCGCGACAAACACCATCACCGCCGCCCCTCCTTTCTCCTCCATAGACCGACCACGACGCAAAGACCTGCATATAAAAAACCCCCCGAATATACGCACGAACTACACATCCAAAGGTCTGAAGATCGAAGAAGATAAACGATAGATCGCCAAAAGAAGAATGCCCCCCTCAACACCCCGCCCCGCGGTCTCAGGCCCCGACACCGGCCCCGAAGCACCTTTCCCCATTCGCCTCTCAGGACCTGTGATCAAGGGCTTCGGAAGAGGTAGTAAAGAGGTACGCCGTTGCTCGTTTCTTCAACGAAGCCAATTCCTGCTCTCCTGCAGTACCGACCAGTACCGACATCGGAGCCGGCACCAAACTGTTTTAAAATATATGGATGGACAGCAAGGCTAACGTGATCATTCTCTGGACGGCACACAGCTCGGAATCCCAACGGCAAACATCCCAGTCGACGGACTGGAGGACGTCCTCCCCGCTGAACTAGGCGTCGGTGTGTACTTTGGTGTTGTGGCACTGGATCCGGCCACTGCGCCGGGTGCGCCGGGGGAGACGGTAGAGCGGGAAGGAGAAGAGAATGGAACGAAGAGCAGTAGCAAAGCGAAGATTCTCCCCGCCGTGCTGAGTATCGGGTATAATCCGTTCTATAAGAACAAGACGCGGTCGATTGTATGTCCCCTTCCCGTTCCTTCCTCTCTCAGCCGCTTTCCATCCTGACCTCAGAAAATGCATCCTCAACTAACACAATATACTTCACGATGAACAGGAAATCCACATCCTCCCCTCCCTAACATCTCCCTCGCCAACTGCTGAACCAGCCCCGGAAGAAAAGAAAGTAACATTTAACAAACTGCCCGATTTCTACGGGACGCGGCTCAATTTGCTCATGCTAGGGTATATCCGGCCAGAGTATGACTATGTGTCTGTTGAAGCGCTGGTTGAGGATATCCGGGTCGATTGTGAGGTTGCGAGAGCGAGTCTGTTGAGGGGGGCTTATCGGGTTTATCTTGATGAGGCTGAGGGGGGCGATGGAGATGAGAAGGTTCAGGCGGAGAGGGAGTGGTTAAGGAGTTTCGCGTGAGGAGAGTGAAGGACATAGATATTTGGTGGTTTGACTTGATGGGCCGATATGGTACGATATGATGATGGTGGGTAGATATACTATAACATATGCTACATGATAGAATAGAGTGACCGTTATGTTCCAGCTTTATGCATTTTTCAAGCACAACCTAAGAGCAATAACATGGTTGAGAAGAAAAAGAGCTGCCTATTATCAATGCCAATGCAATGCCAATAAATACCAAGAGGTGAATGTAACCGGTTGAGCCGAAGCATGACGTCGCCATTGAAGTGTGTACCTTTAAAAAAGACCGCCCGACATACTGTCCGCCCTACGGTAAGGCTGAAGTAAATCTAAACCGACTCGATTTACACTTCACGCGACCAATTGAACCCTCAGGAGTGAAATTCCGGCGACATGGACAAATTCCTCCATCGCATCCGCCGCCGCAGCTCCTCGTCCCGCCCCCAAAAGAGCTCCCCGCGCCGCCTCTACGTCATCTCAAATACACCCACGCTAGACAACGCCTCGCTACGCCGCTTCGAAGCCGAGGGGCTGGCAGTCGAGTATATCCACTTCCCCGACGACGAGTATGGCCATCCTGAGCGCGCCCGAAGGGACCTTGAGATCCTAGTGCACGAGCGCGAAGATGACCTTGAACCAGGCGAGCGGTTCGCTATTGTAGCGTATAACCGCCCTGCCTATCTGCTTCTGCTCTCACACCACATGCCAACGAGCACGAATCCGTTCCCGCGACTATGTGCCTTTATCGCGATGTATCCGGAGCCTCCAGAGAGTGCGACGCAGAATGTGCCGGTCCCACCGCGCCTCCCACCATCTACAACAGCGGCGTCCACATCGACGTCCGCCGCGTATGAAACTGTCCCCATTTTGCCTATTCAGATCCATCTAGCTGGCTCGCAGAACCAGAGACTTGCGCTGTGGGATGATACAAATAAGCGGCACCGGTGCCATTTGTACTTCTACCCCGAGAGTGAGCCGGGTTTTGCGGGGGATGTGCATTCGCCAGTGTACGACAAGATTAGTTCGCGGCTTGCGTGGAGTCGGGCGTTGAATGGTGTTAAGGGCGGGTTTGGCTGGCCTGGTGGTGGGGGAGATTGGGGTGCGCCGGAGCCTGAGATTGTTTGGGAGGGGTATTGGAGGAACATATATGATAATGCGACGCAGCGGTTTTCCACGCCGGCGGCGGCGCCGGATATGCTTAGTTTGATGGTTGGAGGTGGTGCCGGGGATCCGCAATTTGATGATCGGACGTGTGTGAACTGTGTTTCATCTGGGGTTGGAGGTTTGTGCCCTGTGAATTGATTGGAGGATGGATATCTAACGTGAGCAGGATCGTCGCCCACTGGGATTGTGGACTTTTACTCTAAACAGTTTCTCCCTGCGGGCCCGCCGTCTCAAGAAATTCGCCTGTTGTCCCGTACTTCTGGCCCGGATCGAGTTGTTGACGAGCTCCTGCTCACCTTTGAGCATACCGAAGAGATTCCCTGGTTGCTGCCGAATGTCCCCCCAACCGGCCGTTCCGTGCGCATCCCAATTGTCATGGCGGCCAGCTTTTCGGAAGGAAAGATTGCGCGCCACAACATCTATTGGGACCAAGCCAGCGTGTTGGTACAGATTGGCCTGTTGGATCCATCCCTAATCCCTTCTGGGTTTCAAGCCACAGGCACAAATCGTGCAGGGAAAGATACTGTCGAACGAATTCCTGTCGTGGATGGCAAAGCTGTTGATATGGTTCTGCATTGAACACCCAAGATAGGCACGTAAATGCGATAGATAGTTGCAGAGCTTATGCTGCAAGAGATTTGAACTGAGGTTGAAGCTGTGCGAGGTTTTGGCTGACACCGCCGGCGCTCTTCAGGGTCAAAAGGCTGGCCTCTTGCGCAAGGGGTATGATATTCTCGGCTCTTTCTTGTCCGGATGCAAGCCCAGAAATGACAGCTCCTAGTAGAGTATCTCCCGCGCCATTGACGCTGATGATAGCACCATCGGCTAGTTCTGCTGCAGGTGGGAATAGTCGCATGTAGACACCGCCAATGAGCTCGTCCGTGGGCGGAGCTCGTGAAAGAATATAAGGGCTGTACTCTGGAGCCGTCAGACGCGCATCTCCTGGACGAAGTAGCTGGGTTAGCAAGGCTCCCTTGGCGCCTAGCTTCGTGATGATGCACGGTAGGAACGGAAGAAGTTGAATAGTCTGCTGAGGGATACCCGCGTCAACAAGCGCAGCGGAGGTCATTGCGACGAGCCGGTCCCTCGAGCCAGACGAGGACATGCCCATCGCATCAATAATGCGCCACCAGCCGGTTGAGTCGAAAAGACCCTTATCCCGGGCAGCAGAGTACATGGCGGCGAGCTCAAATTCGTTTGGCGCAGCAAGACTCACGTTGTTGTTTGGGACGCAGGCAGATTCCCCAATAGCTGCCTCTGATTCAGGTGTCCCCTTGAAGAGGGCTTGAGACTTGGTCGTGGAGACCGGCTCGAAGGCGACTCGAGCGCCGTGCTTGTTGGCTGCTGCAACCCATTTGGATATAAGCTCTGGGCTCCAATTGGCGTCGACGACCACCCACTTCGGCTTCGTGAGTGCGATGAGTGGCTCGTAAAACTCATCAAAGTTGAATGTTTCCGAGGGTAGATGCAGAATACCCATATCGGCCATGGCGACATGGAGGTCCTTGGCCGCATCGTTCACGGCTACATATTGTGCGGTGCGTGCTCCAGAAGACGTGGGTAGCACCTTTACGCCCTGGGTGGAGATTCCCTCTTGCTGCAAAGATGAGAGAGCCGCGCGGCCACTCAGATCGTCGCCAACTACACTGCAGAACATGACGGAGCTACCCAGAGATTTTGAGGCGAATGCGACGTTATGGCCCACACCACCAAGGCTTTGCTCGATTACGGCCGGGTTGGATGTCCGCGAGGCGGGAACGGCCCCTTGTCCTGCCGCGGGAACAAAGTCGCATGCGAGGTCAATCGCAAGTGATCCCGCTACCAAAACATCCACTTTCTTCAACTGTGTTGTTGATTCACTGTCTAACTGACCCGGTTTCTCCTCTGAAGTAGCCTGGTTAGCCCTATCCATTCGGGGAATCGCCGGCATATGCCTAGCACAAAAAAATCTCGAGATTAGGACGTCCGTGTGCCCGATGGCTTAAAGCGACTCACTGCTCGTTAGTCGCCTCAGAGCGTTCCAGCTTCGAAAGCTCCACAGCAACTCGTGTTGCACGCTTGACGTTCGCCTCGACTAGGGCTCGGTTGGCGACCACCGTCTTTCCTCCACTAAGTTCCTTGATCTTGCCTAACACGAATGGTGTATTGTCGCTACCGTGATAGCCTTCCACGTCCGCTAGACGAACAGCCTCTTCAATGATTACATCCATTTCATCCTTGGGGATAGAGTGCTCCTCTGAGACAGGGTTCGCGAAAAGTATTCCTGATGAAACAGGAAGCTTCGATTGGGCGTCTAAACTTGTTAGCAGAGTCTTGAGATAGTAGGGTATACCAACAGATAATAGAAGCTGCCTCTGCCTCGTTTTGAATAGTCTTGGGGCTTTTGATGCCACTGTCACGGGTGAAGAACGCTGGGAGGTCAACAGAGCCTTGGCGACCGTCGGCGAATGTTCCAACACAGACACCTTCGGTTTCAAGATATTCAATCGTCCGGGGAATGTCAAGAAAGCTCTTGCAGCCGGAGCTGACGACAGTCACTGGGGTGCGGCCCAGCTCGGTCAAATCAGCTGCTGTGTGTTAGCTCATGCCATATCGTCAAGTAAGTGTGCATACCAGATATGTCCATTGATAACTCCCCACCGCGGTGCACACCACCTGACTTGTTAGTATACTATTGTCGTAACCAAAAGCGCACATACCTAGACCACCGGTCCCGAATACTTTGATGCCAGCCAGGTGCGCAAGCACCATAGTACCGGAAATTGTTGTACCTCCGTGAAGCGGTTTCCCAGCCATACCCTGACATTGTTACTTAACAAGTTAGAGCGCAGATAGAGATCAACCTACCAGACCGCAAATGTACCCTAGATCTCGACGAGACACTTTCAGTGCACTTTTCTTCTCCGCCGTCGACGCTAGTTCAATGAGCTCATCGGCGCGGAGACCAACTCGAGCTACGCCATTTAAAATACCAATAGTGGCAGGAACACCGCCATTGGCACGAACGACAGTTTCTAGCAGCGAAGCCAGGGCTACGTTGTCGGGATACGGGAAGCCTACACCGGTCGGTTAGTTTAGCCAGCAAAGAGACATTGTCGACCGTACCATGAGTGTATATAGTAGATTCTAGAGCTACTACTGGCTTTCCTGTGGCTACCGCATCTCGAACCTCTTCTGAGACTTGAAAGAACCTGCTCTGGGCGAAGCTATGGTTCTGTCGTGTTGAGCGAAGCCCGCCGGTAGATGCGCGTAATGTGGCAGTCCGGCGAAAATGCCGGCTACATGAAGACCTGAAAGCAAGCATAGCGAAATAACTAGGGCAAGCAACAAAACAAACCCAAGAAGAGGTCCAAACTGAAGAAGGAGAGGAGTGAGGGGGAAGGCCGGAGAAGTTGGAGAGCGGCGTGGTTTGGCCGCGGCGGTCGCCGTACTTTTCAGTTCCAGATCGGGACACATCAGCATCACGCTGGCTCCTCCACTCTCTATTTTGGGCCTTCTGTTTGCTCTTATTTTCCTTTCCTTCTCTCTGCCTCATTTTCGACCCATTCTCCTGGTGAGACTATCTGGCAATTGCAGCGCAGTCTGGTGCGAAGCTGCTTCCGCCACAATGAGGCCGTTCGCTGTTGTTTCTGCGCTCTGCGGGCTCATCCTGTCCAGCAGCTCTATAGTTTCCGCCCAGTCAACGGCTGCATCTCTTCCCGCCCATTTCAAGCCCCCTCAGGTCTTCAAGAATGTGAATCTGGTGCGGAATACGAATTTGGAAAAGGGTTACGCTCGCGAGACCATCAACGTGGTTGTCGAAAATGTGGACAAGGATCCTCAGAGCGAGTACTACCTGTCCTTCCCATCGGAGCTCTTCGATCGCGTCGGAGGACTGGAAGTACGTAACAAAAAGGAAGCGGAGAAGGGCAGACTTGATGTGGAAGCCGTGGAGATTGATTCCTCGAGGTGAGTTTGGCATTGTCGCTGTCAATGGCCGCCGGTGGTGGTGATGACGACGCCACACGGTTGCTTATAGAGGAGCAACAATGGGCTTTTGAACTGACTCGGAACAACCAGTGACGTCCGTTATTTTATTGCCCACCTTCCCGAACCTCTCGCTCCATCATCGCAGATCACTCTTGGAATTTCATACTCACTTCTCAACTCCCTCCACCCACGCCCGGCCGCCATTGAACAGTCTGATCGCCAGTTCCTGACCTACTCATTCTCCGCATACGTGCCCTCCGCCTACCAAACCGTGACACAGAAGACCAAAGTGAAGTTCCCCAGCACCAATGTTCCAAACTATACGGCCACGAACCTCAAGACTGGTGAGGATCCCGAACGCCAGGGCTCAACCTACACCTATGGACCCTACGACACAACCAAGGTCTCACCAGGCACTACCCACCCCATCACCGTCCGCTACGAGTTCACCAAGCCCCTGATAACCGCCTCGCTGCTTGAACGCGACCTGGAAGTTTCCCACTGGGGTGGAAATCTCGCGACGGAGGAGCGCTACTGGCTTCGAAACAACGGCTCTACGCTCTTAAACCACTTCTCCCGCGTGGATTGGACCGTCGCCAACTACCAGCAGTCGCCCTCGTCAGCCATCCGGGAACTCAAGTACCCACTGAAGCCAGGCTCTGTAGACCCCTACTTCATCGACGACATTGGTAACGTCTCTACGAGCCGCTACCGCCCTAGCAAAGGCAACCGAGAGGCCAATCTCGACTTCAAGCCCCGGTACCCTATCTTTGGCGGTTGGAACTATAGCTTCCGCCTCGGCTGGAACAACGACCTCGCATCCTTCTTGCGCCGGGCTGTACACGGTGCCGACTCTTACGTGCTCAAGGTCCCCTTCCTTGAAGGACCTAAGATGGCCGAAGGTCTGCAGTATGAAAAAGTCGTCGTCCGCGTGATTCTCCCAGAAGGCGCCCGGAATGTGCAATATGAGATCGTCGAAGGCCCTTCCAGCAACGGTCTCCCAAGCGCAGACCAGTTCATCGCCGAGTTCTCTTCTCATAAGACCTTCATGGATACAATCGGCCGCACCACACTGACTCTCACCGTCGAGAGTCTCACCGACGAAGCCCGCGACTCGCAGCTCGTTGTAAGTTCCACTATCTCTAATCCTATCTCCTAAAACCAGTGACTCATTCTGGAATCAGGTTACCTACGACTACACCCTCTTCGACGCACTACGGAAACCAGTAACCATTACCCTCGGCCTCTTCAGTGTCTTTGCGGCCATCTGGTTCGTTGGAAACATCGACGTTAGTATTAAGAAGCGATAGTGTAGACTATATTTCCTGATCTGTACCACTGTTACTATTTCACTTCTTTCTTACCGAGATTTATACCATTAAAATAGGAGTATAAATCGCGTTGCTTCACGTCTATGTCTCAATTTTAGCTGTGGTCCACCCGGAGAAGCAGGCACCGCAGGGTTTTCTCGTCGGCCATGTCAAGCTGCATCGTAAGATATATAGGTATACAAAAGCTCCCCGTTCCGATACCAAAAGCCAGTGTTTCTGTCATATGAAGGAAAAGTCATGCTCAAAGTATAAAGGTAAAGTAAAATGAACAGCACCATATACACTCAATCGCCCTCCCCATTAAAGTAGCCGCCACACCAATTCCATCATTGGAATGCCGTTCCATAGATATAGAAAAAACCTAACTCCAGACGCCGCGCAAAACCGGACTCAGGTTGAAAACTGTTGGTAACAGATGGATAGGAAATATGAACAAGAGCACTGCCCTGCACTACTCTTCGAATTTCCGCTTGACGCCGTTCCCATTTACATGCGGTGGCGGCGCCGCAGGAGCAGCAGCAGCAGCAGCAGCAACAGGCGGTCTCGCACGCTTGCGTTCATCGACTTCGCCCTGTGCGCGCTTCTTCCAAGCCGTCTTGATGGCCGGTGCGACGCGGATGAGGTCCTCCTCCGTGACGCGGTCCTCGATACTTTCTAATACCTTTTCAACGGTGGAGATGTGGTTTGCATCGGCCTTATCGTCGCGGATACGGTGAAAGCGCCAGCGGTGATTCTCATCCTTGGAGCACTCCACGATCGCGTCGTCAAGCGGTGTCTGCAGCGCCTTGAGATCCTCCCACTCCGAGGGTGTGACGTGCATCTCACCAAAGGGCTGGTATTCTTTATCGTTGAGGAGGACGAAGAGATGGAAGATAGGAAGCGCGTCGTAGTCCGGGTATGGTTCCGCGATGCCATCGGCCTCGTCGTCGGAGTCGGGTTCGAGGATGGGGAACTCGAGGCGCAAGCGGAAGTCGATGGTGTTTTCGGCGGGGGGCTTCCATTTTAGGATGTGTTCGTCTGTGCCGATGCGGTAGGGGGTGCTGCGGCAGGTGAAGATGAGGCCGTCGTTGCCGTGGATCTTCTTCACCTTGGGGATGATCTCGCGGAACATCATCTCGATGCCATAGCTGAATTGGGTGGATTTGTCTTCGACGGCGAATATACGGTGCTGTTTCTCTTCCGGGAAGCGCTCGTATAGCGCGTTGTAGGGCTTTAGGACTTTGGCTTTGAAGTATGCTAGTCGTTTGTCGAGGGTGCGATGCATGAGGCTCTGCCCGTCTAGCACGAGGCAGTCAAAGACGAGGAACTTGAGCTGCTGCGTGCCGTCGTCGTAGGTATCCTTGACCAGCTCGCCATCTACAAGAGTATCGACATGAAATGACTGGAAGCTCTCATCGTCGGGCATGGGGAAGTGTAGGCCGGGAACGTAGCGGTACTCGTTCTTGCGATCAATCAGGTAGTGAACCTCTGGGTTGTCGGGCTCCCCACGCGCAAAGTACATGAGACAGCGAATGCCGTCAGTCTTCTCGCATACATAGTAGTCCTCGCGTTGTAGCTCCATCAAATGGCGCCTGGAGAAGCTGACCGGTTGAGCGCCGGGGAAGTTGAGGTTTTTGCGACCAAGTAGCTCTGCGACTTCTCTGCGGAATTGATCTGCCAGCTCGGGCTCGGCTTTCATGCCCACGGCGTCGAGGTCGGGCACGGAGTTCCCCATCTTCCCCGGTTTCTGTACTCGATTTGAAGCTTTTCTGAGTCCGGCCGATAAGTGGTGGGAGGGCAAGGCGCGCGAGAGGAACAAGGAGTCTGTCGTCGTCTGATCGGCTGTAAGCTCTCGCTCGCTGGCCCGGAGGCGCAGAGAGGCCAAATAAAGGTAATTCTAGAAAGGTAGAAGCCTAAGGTGTTCGAGGAGAAGGTACCGGAATCAGGGATTGAATTCTCGTGGAGTGCGATTGCAAAGGGTGCTTTTCCGGCGTTTCTTTGGATATTGTCAGAGATGTTATGGCCTCAGGCACACTAAGTTGCCCATTTAGGAGAATGCTTCACCTGCCCACTCTGTGGCCTTTACATGTCACGGAAGAATAAAGACTGCATTCTTGATATAATATATGTGTCCACAGCCATTGAATTGGGGTATCGCGTATGACAGTAAAAATGATAGACAACAAGCAAATGGCCTTCCCGCTAGGCCACTGTACCTCCACAAACGCCTTCACCGTAACCGACCAGTTCGCCCCACATAAATAGGAATAGAGTGTATACAGTCATCGCTCATCATGTGCTAGAAAAGATAGAAAGTTGATACAGGTGGACGACTCGGCCCATCAAGACCCTGCTGGTACTGGGGTTTGCCTCGCAACATCCGGCATGGCCAATGTGTTGCTGTTTCCGCCAAGATCGTCTGGGGCGTCCGACATAGTTATATCTTCTACCGGCTGGAAGAGATTCCCTTCGATGGGGCTGTTCAGTTGATCGCCGGTTGAAAAGAGCCCACCACCACGAGAGCCACCCAGCGCGTGCGAGAGCATCTCTTTGATCCGCACGTATTGGTACTTCTTTCTGGTAGATATCAAAGTATGCGTAACCATGGGTTGCGGCCGAGAACGGGCAATAGCAGCCATGACGGCGTCCTTCTCTTCATCCGAGTCGACAGGGCCGTTGTTCTCCAAGTCATCTTGTAGCGGGGCATTTGCATCAATAGCCGCCTCTGTAGATCCATATTAGCTGGATACACTGCAGCCCGGCAGAGGCGAAGGGAAAACATACTCTGCTGACGTGCCTGATTCTTCTTCTGATATGCCTGAAGCAACATATCATATGGTAAAGATCGCCCGGGCACAGCACGCTTCGCACCCATTGAATGGCTCTTACAGGTCAACGATCTCGCACACTGCGCGCCATTCGGCAACGGCACACCACACTGCTTCTCGACATCAACAGGCCCCTTGGGCTTCGGCGCCTTGGGCTTCTGCTCCTCCTTCTTTTTCTTCTTCTTCGGCTCCTTATCCTTGTTATCATCCTCGCCCTCAGCCTTGCGCTTCTTCCCCTTCTTGGTCCCATCCTCCGCCATCCCCTTGACAGCACTCTTCTTCGCCGCGCTCTTCTGAGCCTTCATTGAATCCTCTCCATCCCCACCCTTATCACCGCCCGCCCCATCCTCATCGCCCTCCTTCTCGCCAGCCTTCGCCCGGTTCGCCGCGTCTCTCGCTTCTTTCTTTCGTCGCGCCTTCTCTTGCTTGGCCCTTATACACCCCCGAATATGCTCTGCGGCATTCTGCTTGAGGACCGGCCTCTTACACGTCTTGCATACCACGGTCTCCAGATGGTCTTCCTCACGCGGTTTCCCCGTGGGGAAAACAGACATCGTCTTCTCATCGATCTCCGGTAGAATGGGCGAGGAACCGGGGGACGCGGGCGGTTCTTTTTCTGGACCCGGACGAATTCAAATTAACAAACGCAAAAAACACACACGGATGAATACAAGGGGGAAAGCGGTAAGGCGCGGTGCGCATACCCTTCTTCTTCCCAAGTTTCCCGGGCTTCTTCAGCTTAATCTTCCCCGGCTTGGTATCCTTCTCCGAGAACTTGAACCCCGACGCATCGATGAAACTCCCGGTACCGGACGCAACCGGCGGTGCTATATTTCCAAAGAACTATTAGCCAAGACCGCATTTGAACACGGGGTTCTGAGTCACACTGTCGCCAGAAGTGAAACATACCGCGACCAGTGGTGTCGCCGTTCGAAGGCATAATCACGGTCGGACGAGACTCCGCGGCGCCGTTGCCAGGTTGAGCGGGGGTTGAAGGTATCAAATCAACAATGATATTATGACTGAGACCTAAGCGAGCGATTTCAGTCGCGGCGGTCTCAACTGATGACGTGGGGGTTCGATGATGATGGGGTGCTTCAAGGTCGTCGTTGCCAGAGACGGGGCTCCGCAAATGGCTTGTCACGTGCCTGATCAGACACTTCGGATGGATGGGGAGTTGAAAGGCTAGGCGAGGCTAGGAATTGGTACGTGTGCGCTTTGATGACTTGGTGGTTTGGAGTCCTTGAAAGTAGTAGATGATATGGTATAGAAGGCGTAAATGGGTGGTTGAATTCTGCCTTGCGTGTTGCACAATGCAAAGCCTTCAAGGCTGGAACTCCAGACTAGTAACCCCTTACCAATTCCGGGGTGAAACCACAATATGGAGAAGAAATCCCGTTCATTTCAATAAGATCAAAAGGATATTTCACTGTCATAATCATGATCATAACTAAGAGTAATAGTACTAGACAATAATAGTGGTTTTATATCCAACAGGGCTATGATCGAGAAGATTTTTGAGCCCAAACTCTCAGCCTCCAGAACTCGACTCCCAAGGCCTCTTGGTAGCAAGGCACCACTATGCTAACAGACCAAAAGAATTCACAACACTTTTCCCTCCTCTTACTTTATCCGTTACCTTTCACAAGACGAGCCAGCGTCGATCTAGATTTGAAGGGGCCATCCCGACATATAGCCATATTACTCTCTGCATCTGCGAAGATGAGAAGAATAAGAAAAGAACTTATACACAGGGGTGAAGTCAAGTCGGATTAAAAGTTATAGGCGGGCTCAGCGCTGTGAAAAGGCCTTGTTAGAATGTTGATTTCAAGAGCTTTTCGGGAATCTTACACGTCCACGTCGTCCTCCAGCTGGTTGCCCTTGAACAGGCGGTGTTTGTGCGTAGAACTGCGGGGGATATTGATACATCTGCGATGCGCCCATAACCGGGCTGAACTGTTGAGGAGCGTAAGGAGACTGGTTGAGCATTGGCCCCGGATTTAGCTGGTTTGGCGCCCCAGACAAAGGTGCAGGCTGAGCTTGCATTGCGCGAAGGTTATCGGTACCAGTTGGGTATCCATAAGGGGTGTTGCCCATGCCTGTGTATAGACCTCCAGGGGATACACCTCTAGACTGCGCTGCCAGATACGCCTGGTACTGAAGCTGTTGTTGTGCTAGCGGCATCATAGGCTCCTGGCCAAAACCAGAACCGTTCATGCCTCCAATTCCGTTGAGGTTATTCATAGAACTGGAAGTAGCAAGGCCACCAACAGCATTGACAGAATACGGCTCGAACTGTCCTGTGGTGTTCTGGTGATCGGACGATATGGGTCGAGCACCATCCAAGTTTTGGCCCATAGGAGAAAACTGTCCACTATACTGTCTTTCCAGAGGTGGCTGCGAGGGATAGTTGGCGGCTGCCTGGCGGGATGCGGGACGGTGTTGCTGCTTCTCGGCATTGGTCGAATGACCTCCGGTTTCGCGTCCATGATGATTGTCACGAGAACCACCTCGGGAGGACAGGCCGACCTCATCCATTAAGCGTTTGTAGCCTTGGTTAGGCACGGGCTTTAGTATGGTGAGAACCTTTGAAACGGTCTTTACCACCTCTGCGCGCATTGATTCGTCAAAGAAAGGTGTTGTGAGAACCTTGAATATCAAGGTCGCGCCTGACGTTTGATCGCTCAAAATTTTCTCAAGCACCTCATCGCCTGGGCTGAAGAAGAGGGCTTTCAAAACAATCTCCCGGGCCTCGGGCTCATTGCGTTGGTTGATAACCTTGAGGACTGTCAGGTAAGCAACCTTATGCGTGCAGAGATGCACCAAGTGGGGAACCAGCCTCGGGGCCAGCACGGTTCGACGCCGTGGAAAAGTGCAAGTATCCAAGAACCAGGTAAGCAACAGAGCGCCATTGGCGTTAGTGGCAAGCTGAACACTGTGAAGGGCAATGGCAGCCGCAAGCATTCGTTGCTGATCTTTCGTGGCATGGTGACTTTCAAGACACGCGCGCATAGCGCGAGCACCAAAGCGCCCTTGAGCAATTTCCCACATACGACTTAGCATAGACTCAAAAACAAAGTCGTTATAAGGAGAGCCGAATCGTAGACAGCATTGAAGGACATAGTTCCCGTATTGGTCCAAAAATAATGGTACCGTGTATGGCCGAAGAGCGTCAACAATCATCTGCATCTGCCTTGGAGTTTTGGCCACGTCAATGATCTTCTGAGCCGCCCATGTACCGTTCTTGTGGACACCGATTTCACCTAGATGGGGCGCGATCGGACCCAGCATTTGCTCCTTCGTGGGCTCGGAGCAGAATTCGAACAGTTTCTGAACCACAGTGTTGCCCAAATAATCGGAAGAAAGCTCTGCAATCTCAGGGAGCATTGATACTGCGGTCTCCTCGATCTCCTGAACAGAGCAAGCCCCATTGTCAATCCGCTTCCGAATATCTCGGAGACGAGGAGCATCAAACATCCGTGTTTGGTTGGGCTCTGGAACAGACGGGATTTCATCGTGAAACACCTGATAAGCGATGGCCTGTTGGATGCTAGAAGTGATCTTGAGTACCTCGTCGTCCGTGGCTCCAAACTCATTAACAATCTGTACTAGTTCTGGTTGGAGATCAGAAAGAGCAGGGATCCGTGGGACAGTAGTCCCGCTATTGAATTTGTCCGCATCAGGGGCACTCGACTTTGCGTTCGGGTCGGGCGTTGGCGATTGCTGGGCGCCATTGACTCCAGGTGTGCCAGCGTTGGATGATCCGGGAACCTTGGCATATCCAATTCGCACGGGACCAGCGCCAGGGAATATTTCTTTTCCATTGAGCAATGACTTCGCCTGAATCGCGCTCTCGATGCGCTCAAAGTTGACAAATCCGCAATTCTTGTGGGTCAGGACACGGGTGGACTCGATCTTGCCATACATGCTAAAGATGGCTTCTAGGGATGTCACTGTCGTCGAAACGGGAATACTGCCGATCCAAAGCGCGCGGGTCGGGCCATCCTGATTATTTTCGTCAACTAGCTCTGCCGTCGGCCGAAGGTTCATTCCGGCACCAGGATTTCCGCCCAGGTTCATCAATTGCACAGCCTCCGCCAATTCGTCATATTCAGCGGTTTCAGCGATGTTCAAATCGGCAGCGCTGAAACTATTTTCCAGGCGCGAGGGAGTAGCGAGGTAATTGCGAATAGAAGACCGCTGTGGGGGAGCCTCAAGAATACCTGCAGTTCTCGCGCGGGGCCGATTAACAGTCGCATGGCTTGCAAAAGCCTGCACGGCGAGGTTGTGCTGATGAATCTGGGCCTGGGTAGCGGCCAGCTGGGCAGCTGTTGCAGCTGCATTAGGTGTAAGGGTCCCGGAGGGCAGTTGAGAATAGCGGCTCTCGTATTCGAGCTCCTCGTCATCAGCATATTTTTCCTTAGCATTGACTGAGTAAGAACGTATGCGGCTGTTGTTCTTGATCATTGCGAGCTCAGCGAGTAACGGAGGAAGGGAAGATGTCTGCTGCTGCTGCTGCTGTTGGAGCAGAACATCGACTGGCGGTCGTACAAGATTGGCCCGAGCTTGCTGCGGGGTCTCTGCAAGACCAAGATAGTCCAGAGTCTTCACGTCGGTATCCGTGAGTCCATCGCGCGAGTAGGATGATTGAGTTGGAGAAGCCGGTCCATCACCAGATCTGATGCTAGTAAGAGTGGTCGCTCGATCGCGCCCTGAGGCCCAGCTTGTAGAGAAAAGAGACGGCCCAAAGGGCCCTGCGGAACCGAGGAAGCTTGCCCGCTGTGGCATCGAACCAGCGCGGAGACGGGATAAACTGCCTGTACCACCTCCACCCATGGTTGTTGCAGGTTTGACACCCGTGTCAATGCCAGACACGCCGGTTGGTCTAAAAGGACTAGTTGAAGGGGTAGGTCGAGAAGACTGGGCCATGAACGGTTGTTGTAAATTAGTCTCATTCAGGACACCAACTGGCGGGAATCGGGACGGAACTGTGCCTGCTCGTGTTCTCCGTCCGGGGCTGTTCATAGAACTGCTTGAGGGAGGCACAAGATCGGGGAAACCTTCCTGACTAGGTGACTCAGGGATGTTCTCGCGCAAAGGGGTGGAATGGCCGCTGGTGGGAGGGCCCCAGATACTCGGAGAGACGCCTTCTTCTGCTTGTATTTCACGAGCCCTAATCACGACCAAATCGTCAGAAACAGTGTTACATCGAGGATTTAACCCCGGAGGATAGACCACGTACCGTTTTGAAAATAAACGAGCGCCGAGTTCGTGAGAAGGGGAGCCAGCCCCTAACCTTGCACTTCCGATTGAGCCTGCAGCGCCATTGAGGCTGGTCGAGGACCCAAAAGGCGGCTTGATGGGGGCAGCTGCAGACGGATCATTAGGAGAATTGCGGCCCGTGGAGGTTCCAGACATTGATTGAGTGGTTGGAATGTAGTTGAGGCTCATATGACCCTCAGGTCGTGTCACGGGGGGCATTATGAGTTATATTCCTCCGCGGTGGGTATGCCAATGCAATGAGCAATGCGAAATATCTGGTTCGGAGTGTTTATTGCATCAAGTTGAAGCCGTGTCGAGTGCTTTGCGCAAGCTAGATAGTGAGCGTGGCGGGGTTGAGCGGATAAACAGCCCCAACGGATACGTAAGCTCGAATGAAGCTGAAGCGCGGTGGAATTGAGGAAACAATGCACCGCAGTTTGTTTGACCAGCGTAGGGACCGATATAGAAGCCGCGAGAAATAAGGATTGGTACTTGGCTCGTAATGGAACGAATCTACCTCGCGCCGGAGAGCAGAGAACGGGCTCCAAGCCAAGCTTTGTCGTGATTCTGCAAGGAGTCGCTAGAAATGACCGAAAGGACGCGAATAATCGTCGAAGAGCAATGGTTCGAGAGGAGATCGGAGAAGGATAGAAGCGACGACACGAAGCAGAGGCCCGAAAAGCGACTTGTTGGTGGCTGGAAATTAGCTGCGCAGCTCAGGGCCGAAGCCGAAAAGTGGAACAGAGGGCTCTGGAGCAGAAAAGATCGGGAGGTGACGTGACTAAAAATGATACTGGATTGAAAGAATTAAGGGTGAGAAGAAATGGGAAGAGACGACAATGAAAGAGAAGAAGAGGAGAAGAAGTAAAGGATGCTGGCGAGATAGCAGAGAGGTGAAGAGGACAGACTGAGCAAAGGAGGAGACGAAAAGACTTTCGGTGCAGGCGGTTGCAGGTTGGCCTGTCGAGCTCCGGCTTTGCTGTGGTTGGCCCGTGGCCTTTGTCCCCGAACTCACTTCACAGATGCCTCTGGCAATGCTATCGAGTCTGAAGCTCTTTACTGGGAAAAAGGAGTTTGTCCTGGCTGTATGTCTGGAGATTTTTGCGTGTTTTCATGATCCATGCATGGAACCGCCACATGGCCAGTCAATGATCCTGGTACCTACTCATATTCCAATCGGGCCTTTGTATTCTTGCTAGTGAGCCCATCATCATTTCTTTTCCTCCTCCTTTCTTTTTCTCTCTTCTATGTACTAGGGGACAAACTCGTTATACCATCAACAAGCGACCTTGGTCTCTGGAATTTGGATCCCGATCATCTCCGGCTACCAAGTGTTTCAGCCAGTGATCCAAAGATGCCAGTAGAGTCGAGTGAGCAGTACATACGGGCAATGTGAACGCCCACGCAATCTCGAACAACGGCCTGCTAGTGGTTTGCTGGGCAAAGTGCCCAGGAACAGCATGTCTCCTGCGGTTGATTACTCAATCTCATCAATAGTGCATCTGGAATAATGTCTCTGTTAACGCTTTCCGCTCCTCAAGCTCCTGCAACGGCCCAACCGGAACAAGTATTGGGTCACTGGAATGTGACAGGTTGATATCTGCCATTTCCTGAACCTCCCCCTGTCTACAACGATTGGCGATTCAGGCGTGCCAATGATGCGCTGAATCGCCGGCACCTATTCTGAAACAGGGAGGGATCTGGAAACCGACCCGGTTTGGATGCTTGACACTAAGTTGAAACATCCTCGACCCCGCATTCCAACGCCCTCAATCTAAAAGTACTGAGTGTGACTGGTGTAATAGCATCTGAGTAAGCCCAACGTAAGGATTCAGCTTTTCAGGTCTTTGAGGAAGATGTCTCAGCTTATTTGAATATATATTTTAACGATGACATCGAGAACCGAGAATCCAAACTCCCATTCCTCGTAATCTGACATACCTCCGCTTTATCTGCAAGGAAGTAGACGCTTGATTGGATGGAGTTGCTCAACAACGGAGTTTTTGTTACGTCTTGAAAAGATCGCTATGAGGACCCTCAACGTTTCGATGACTTCTGTAGGTCAACCCAAGTACCGCAAATATCATACTGTTCCGAAACAGTATTCTATCTTAATTCACCTCGTAGATCTGAAACCTCAGGCATCAATTATGATGAGGCACTGGAGGCTTCATGCCTCAGGCCGCAGAGTTACCGCCAGCCATTTGCCAATCTTTGCACACCGCCCTAAAAGGACCATCGATCACTTTGTATCAATCAAGAGCTCTTCTTGTGTGTTTTCTCCCAGAAGCATTTTACTACAATCTTATATTTTATGCGCATGATACTGCTTCACCGGAATATTGACGTGGATTAATGATTTGTTAAATGGACCTTAATCGGTCCGCCGACGATTTGTCAACCCTCCTACGCGTGTCACTCTAAATCGCGGTTAACGAGTTACCGTCATCCCATTTAATATCCGGTGTTCCTTTCGAAATAATTCGGCATGGCACAGGTCGATAATGGGTCCTCTTTCGAGGATGAAGCTCCTGTGGAATCGCTCATTCAAGGACGTGCGAAGCGTAGCACTGCCGGGCGGCATATGTCTGCTCTTTTAGAAGCCGCAGCCGATGACGACCTTGCCCTGCTCTTCGAGGAAGTGGAAGACGATAATGAATTTGCCGTGGATGTGGCGGAAGAAGGGGGAGAAGAGGAGGACATGGGCCTTGAATCCTCTTCGGACGAGGACGACCAAGGGCCTAGTGCTCAGGCGGATGACTTTGAAGGGGAACGGCAACTCGAAAAGGAGGAGAGGGAGGAAAAGAAGAAAAGGAGGGCTCGAGAAGACCTGCGGTACAGAATCACCAGCAAAAAGGTCAAGGTTGACCCGACCGCTCCGCCGACGACGCCCGCCCCGCGACCGAGGAAGAAATCCGAGCGTGTTTCGTGGATACCTACTCTCGAAGAAGGCCCTACTCGGTCCTCATCCCGACGACAGACCATGCAAAATAAGGAGCTTACGCATGCGCGACTCAAGGACAGCGAGGAGAAGCGTATTCGTCTTATCGCTACAATGGAGGAAGCAGCTAAGCGAAAAGCGAAAACCAAGCCAAAGGCGATGACGCAGGCTGAGCGCCTTGCAGAAGCTGAGAGGGTGGAAAGGCATAATAGCAAAAGTGTCAGCCGATGGGAGGAGATGGAAAAGAGAAAGGCGGAGGAAAGACGTGCCAAGATTGAGGCTCTTCAAAACCGTCGCCTTGAGGGTCCTGTGATATCTTACTGGAGCGGTGTTGCTACCTGGGTTGATGGTCGCTTGACGCGCGTCGGAAAGGTCGATATTACACAGAAGCCGGAGAAGGAAGATGGTGCGCGGAAGAAAAGCAAGAAAGCGGATAAGGAAGGAAAAGCCGACACAGAGCAGAAGCTAAGTACAACAACAGAACCAAGCACTGCTCAAAATGTGCCTTCGATTGCCGCGACTACGAATCCTCCTGGACCTGCACCGCCTGAGGCCGAACCTAGACAAGACCAAGCTTCTGTCCAGCAACCTCAACAAGCGTCAGTCGATGCTGGCCAAGAGAACGGTGCGGCTGCCGAGAGGAAGCCAAGCGGCACCGAGGGCGAAGGATCTACAACCTCAAACAAACCCACTGAAAGCCAGGTTGTCGTTGCAGACACACAATCAATAGCCGCTGATCCGAGCGTATTATCAAATCTAGAAGCGGGTAAAAGCGCAGCCACAGCACAATTGGAGGGAACGGATGACACCCTTGTTGACCAACTAAAACCGAATGCTGAAGATGCGAAGACTCCAGAATTATCAGACAATGCACCAGCTCAACCATCCAAAGACGCCACAGCAACCAACGACAGCATGCCGCCAGATACAGAACCTTCACCTAAAAGAAGGGAAGGGGCAATTGATGCTGCCCAAGAGTCAATTATCAGTCCAACACCCGCCACTCAGCCGACGTCTGGACCTGCATCCACTCTGCCCGCTTCAGTGGTTCCCACCTCAATGCAGCTGGATCAAGCGGGTGAGGGCGCGCAACCTCCAGTTCGAGATGAGCAGAAAACCGAGATACATGTAGACGAACCTGCCATGGGTGCCGACTCCCCTCAGCCACTCGTTCCTCCGGCTCCCAAAGTTGTGGAGCATACTGGACGATGCTTGACGATTCTGGAGAATTTCGATGACAAGACTGCACAAAGCCGGGAGTTCAATACCTATTTTAACGCCAAAAAGCCTCCTAGGCTCACAAGTACGTGGATTGCTCACCCAGCTCACCATGTCAAACATCGATGCTAATATGCTGCACAGAAATCTCGTCCTCGCTTTGCGTCATCACATCTCTCCCATCTCGATATAAGGACCCTGACACTTCCCTCCCCTTCGCCAACTCTTACGCTTATCACGAAATTCGTCACACCGCTGCCCAGAAGTATGCCTGGAGCCCCATGCTTGGGTGTTATGTTGGGCCCACGGGGGTTGCTGCACGTGGCGTGCCGGAGAGGTTCCTGAACCCCAACGCGAAAGAAAGTAGCACTCAGACCAGCGGCAACAGTGACAATACCAAGAAGGAGGAAGCTTCGAAGACAGAGAGCGGGGACCAGACTGCAACGCCCGCAACATCAACACCTGCCACAGCCGGCGCGGGTGATGCAATGGATGTTGATAAATGATCGCCACCCGCATTTATTTCCCTCACGATGTACACTACTGATATGATACCCTAGAATAATTCTCAAATATAATGTCCTTTGAATAACCTGCAAACTCACGCCGGTTTCACGCCCCGTTGCCTGAGGAGGCGCACTATCCATTTTCCACTGGGTTTCTCTCCTTCTAGAGTCTTGAACATCTCCTTACTAAGTTGAATTTTTCGGTTCTGTTCGAGAAGAAGCCCCACGACCGCTTTTCCGTACCTATTTTTTGCTGCAGCTTTGACCACCTCATCGTCAATCTGAATCGGTGGTGAACAGTGATCAGACACTAGAGTCAATGCTCTTTTATCGAAGTGTCCGATAGCTGTCAACAGGCCACTCCGACTTATTGATATTGGGCTCATTTGGCCGAAAAGATACTGCACGACTGCAAAGCCATACCTAGTGTTTCTTGCCGCAGCATCGATGACAGCTTCGACAGCGCTGCCTTGGTCCCTGTATTGACTGATGCAAAGGTCCAGGACCGCTTCTCCGGTCTTCCAATGTTGAACGACTGCGTTGATTATCTCATCGTCTATGCAAGATCCACCAAACTTTGCCAATAAAGCTTGCATGACATTTCTTCCATTGCCCGCATTTGTTATCGCGGCTTTGAGGATATTCTTGATATTTCGGACGTCGACAGACCGGGTCAATAACAGGGACAAGATGTCGCCTCCATGCTCTTTGTTACCCGCCGCAGATTGAACCACGCCTTCAGTCACGACGAAATTCTCTCCCTTGAGGGCGAGGATGAACTCCATGATTTCTGCTCCACCCTTTCTAGCTGCAGTCCGTACCACAGCTTCAGAGAGCTGAATCCGATGGTGCCGATCAACGAAAAGTGCCATGATCTGCTTTCCACAGCCTGTATTCGCAACCGCGGCATTCAGTACATCTTCAGAGATACGCACACTCTGCTGGTCAAGGAGAAATTCCATCACAGCTTGACCATGCTTCACATTTCTTGCTGCTGCCTTGAGGATGTCTTCAGTAATCTCGGGTTTGTACTGTTCAAAGACCAGCTCCAGAACTTCATTTCGGGCATTTACAGCCGCTCCGATGACCGCTTCTTCTGTCATCAGGATGTCGTTGCCCCATCGCTTCAAGATCAAGCCAGTCATAGCTGGGCTGTCTTGCTCCACTGCATACCACAAAATAAGCGGCAAGGTATCATTATCGCTTTCAATGATGGTTTTCTGATGAGAGAGGAGCAACATCATGCTTGCCGCTCGCTTCTCCCAAAACTCGTCTTTATCTGTGCCTAGCAACTCCGTCGCTGCCTTTCCCACGGCGTCATCACCATCGTAATCTTTTATATTGATGTTGACTCTGGGGTCTGCAAGCAACAATTTGATCGCACCCACATGGCTTCCGCTGACAGCCTCGTGAAGAGGCGTGGAGCCTTGCTTATTCCTCGCGTCTGGGTCAACGTCTTTCTTATTCAATAGTAGTTCTACTATTGAAATCTGGCCCTCGTGTGCCGCAATCGCGAGAGGGGTGCGGCCATCTTTATCTCGCACATTAGGGTCGATCCCGGTCTCCAACAGTAATGCAGCTATCGTGGGATTCCCCGAGCTCACAGCGTCCTGGAGCAAACTCGGAACATCACTTGGCTCTATGTTCGGCATAGCAGCGCCGTGAGCTCGCAATGCCTTTGCCGCATCTTCTGCGCCGCCTTGGACTGCAAACCATAGTGGCGTTGCACCATCCCAGTCTTCCAAATCTACCTCTGCCCCCAGCTCAAGCAGACACTGCACGGTCTCGCTGTACCCTGTCCCCGCAGCCCAGGATAATGGTGTCCTCCCAGTGCGATCTCTTGAGTCAATTTCTGCCCCATGCTTCACAAGTGCACGCACAGCGCCTGCCTGTCCACTAGATGCCGCCCATGAGAGCAGCGTCCTGTCACCTCCCGTGAACGCATCACAATCCACATCCCCTCGCCGAAGAAGCAACTCCACTATCTCAGCTGGGCCAACCTGCGCCGTATGGTACAGCAACGAAGCCATATTCGTCGGCCTATGGTTCCCAGCGCGAGTCTGCTGATCGGGAAACGGTCTAAACTCCACCTCCACCTCCTCATGCGCCAAAAGCAACTTGACCGTCTCATCACTGTCCTCCGCCGTCGCCCGGCCGTTAGGCCCATACTCAAACACCATCCTCAACGCCCAGTCTGCAGCAGACAGCACCGTCCGAGCTTCCCACTCTTCATCCTCTGCCTCCTTCGCAAAATTCACATCCACCCTCCCGGTCCCCAGTAGCACCCGCACAACGTCTGCACGCGCCCTCTCCGCCGCACGCCACAACGGCGTCGCGCCTTGAGCATCCTCCGCGTCGGGGTCAACACCATCAATCGAGACCAAAAACTCCACAACCTGAGTGCTCCCCTTCTCCGCCGCCCACGACAGCAACGTTCGATCGCCCCCAGGCGAAAGTAAATCCGCCACGACCAGCGCCGTCCGCAGCTCCACCGCTTGCTGGCCCAGAAGCAGCTTCACGACGCTCAGCCGATCCCTCGCCGCTGCAAGATACAGCGGCGTGACACCATCAATCCCATTCCACTCAATCGAAGTAGTGGGATCCGCGCCATTATCCAGACAGAGCCGTACTGTGTTCTCGCGGCCTTCGGCTGCAGCCCAGAGGAGGGTGGAGCTGGCGCTGTGCTGTGCGTTGTGGTGGTAGAGGTGTGAGTTCGTGATGGTGTAGAGGAGGCGATTTGTTTGTGCGAAGGCATTGATGTCGGCTTCGTGAGGTATGCTTTTGCTTATTTGGGTGAGGAGTTCGTTGGGAAGGTCGAGGAGGGGCATTTTATTTTCTCTTGCTGCTGCGCGGGGTAGAAGAGAATAGAACCTAGAAGGGTGTATGCGAGGAAAATGTTTTTGGTTTAAACAAGTCTCAAGGAAGTGATCTAGAGGGTGGAATACGAATGTGGCTCAGTTATCAGGGCTGAAGGGTGCGAGGTAGGCTATGCGAAGTCTCATATACAAGCGGCTTTGGCTTGCTAGTTCGATTTGAACAACAGCTCACAAGTGAATTCCAAGTTCTCGCAGGACACTCACCTAGTACTACAGTCCTGGTCGACCGTGTGCACTACAAACTGAAAATCATCATCAATTTTTAGTGTGTCGGTATATCCGATATAACTAGTAGTATGATTGTACTGCATCGAAAGCGAGTCTTATGAAAGAGGTAATTTGGTAGAGGAGCCTCGCTCGTACGGACACGGACTTGTTAACCTCGCTCCGGTTTCTGGAACACTCCTAAGGTCATATTGTAAATTTATTTTACGGTATGTCGAGCAGGAAGAACCATGGCTTACAAGTTGCATTCGTCTAGTCTAGGAGTTTCAATACCAGACTCGAATCGATTCCAGTCAGTATAGCTTTCGAGGTACGCCGTACCTAGCTCGCCCGTTCTTAGGTCTAAGGGTCTCGGATGCTCGTACAATAGCCTGGCCAAAAAGTAACAGTCCCTGGTCATCCGAGAGTGAGTCGCCTCATCTTCGAGAATTCGTCAAGCATTAGCAATAGGGCAGTATTTTCACTCTACGCCTGTACTGGGACTCTGACGAGGACGGGAACGGAGAAATCGAGTTTGAGAGTGTCGGGGAGAAAAGAATATCGCGGGGCCTTCGGGGCGGGCGGTGCTGCTTCGCGGCGCCATGCTGCCCCATGCAATTGTAGTCATCAGTATTTCTGGTGGGATACTTCTCGAACAGCCCTGTTGGCGACATCGGCTTGTTTTAGCTCGGCTAAAGAAACTATTTAGCATCACCCCCGAGAGGAAGATCATTTGCGTAAGAAAAACTAAGAAAGAGCTAAGAATTCAATAGCCCCCAGAGTCCGAGACGGTGTGGCTAACAAAGAAAGACTGTATCGCCATACCAAAACAAGATGGCATCAACGGTATTTTCAATGAGGCCTTTTCAGGGTTTTATTGTTCGAGATTGCCTCACCGGCCTCGAGAATTATGCTCATCGATCAGATCAACCTTGAGGTTCTTGCGTCATCGTGAAAAGTTTGTTTAGACTTTGAGCAAGAAAAAACCATGACTGGACTGGTACAAGGTGAGGGATTGAGTTGCGGAAGTCGACGGGTGGCTGACTTCAGGTACCTCGACCAAGGTTACGTTGCAGTTGCAACGATGTTGGTTTTCCACGAAGGCAAGCATAGGTAGATTCTCATACTGTCATACACCTCAGCCCAGGCTATCCTTGCGTGCATAATGTGTGATGATGGCACGAGCATTCTTCGGTTACCCAGGGAGAGGGTTGCTGCAAGTTGGCCGGTCTGCCCAACGGCAGAGGTACGGAGTATCGAACTTGATAAAGTATGTTTCCCAAGGTTCTCCAGTTGGTCGTGAGCCCGAGCTTCGAACGAAAGCATGAGTCACAAAATGGGTGCCTTGGGGAAGGAAGTCGCAGGATGTGGAGCAGCTGGGGCATGGAATGTTGGGCTTCATCATCGACTCTCGGCTGCCCCACCATCCGTGTCCATGTCGTCCTTGATTATGTGTCGTTTCTTTCTTTAGAAAGACCCTCAAGTTTCAGCAGTTTCGAGACTCGAGTCTCGACTCAAGGATTGACTCTGGGGTTTGGACCAGTGGGGATTTGTGGTTGTCTAAGACATGATCTACCCGCGACGAGGCGATCACACCAGGCACCAGCTCCTTGTCGAACGTTCAGATGTAGCTCTCAATTGTCTTCATTCCACAGTATAACGGGATATTCCCTCAAAGTTCGCATTTTGTGGCAGCGGTGTGCTTCCCACCATCAGAAGAAATGCTGGCGATCGGCGCGCCCACGTTCCCGGTCCATGCGGCACCTAGCGATTCCCCCAATCGTCGGCGCTCTGGGCTGCAGCCAAGGTCCGAGCTTGTCTGAAGAGCACTACGCCTACACTGGCGTCTGTGATCATCAGGTGCTTCAGCCTTGGAGGGGTTGCAGAAACTGCCCGGACAATTGTCTAGACACAGGGGTGTGGAGCACCGAGCTTGATCTTCAGATGGTTGATCCCAAGGACGTGTCATCCGACAGCGTCTCTGCGACGGTGGTGCTCTGAAATCCACAACTTTGCAAAGAATAAGAGTCTAGAAACACAAAACCAGATCAAAGTAAAGGATGGAAACAGCTTCCAGGGAGACTGAGCCTAAAATTAGGCGCTACGTCAAAGACGAAGCAGGAAAGAATTCTGCCTGAGGATGCAATTACTGAACCTGAACTGACGTGCTCGAATCACGAATCCCGTCAGCCAACCATCTGCAGCAGGTGCTTCCAGCGACTCCTGCTGTTGTTCTAGAACCTCTCGACATCTGCGCTCATTATCAGCCAATTCAGTTGTTTCTTTCGCAACAACTCGCAAGGTTGTCTACGGTCCCCGTCCCAAGTCCCTCGTTCGACTGCCTATTTAATCCTCTATCACTCCTCCAGCTCCGCCGTCTGCTCCGCCGTTTTCGAATCATCTCCACCGAATTCGTGGCCGCAAGTCTGGGCCTCCTGTCTTTATTCTTATATATACTGTCGATTAGCGCTTTCATCCCTGTTTACCGGTTTTTTATCCTCCGAGCGATTTTCCTTGTCATCTGCTGCTGTGCATTCTGCACGGCTGCCGTCGAATAATCCCGCATTAGCAATCTGGCGTTGCTCCTGAGACTTTGACGTCAGCTTCTCACGACTTGAGCATCGTTGTTTGAACGAGACAAAACAAAGACAAGAATATCGCCGCCAGTAACGCAGGTGAGTGACAACGTCGCTATTAATACTTGCACATTCGCCCCATGTCTCGGAGTCCCGCAGCCCGTTTGCACCCTATCTTTATCTTTTCTATCTTGAGCGCACCTTATCTCTTGTTGTTTGCAGGCCAATCAGAGCCACCCAAGCTCAAGCTGTCAATCATGGCTGACCATTCGAGTGTGACAGACAAAAGCTTATCGCTCTCTTTATCGCCCTGAGCGCATTCAGACCTCACGCCTTGCTGGACATATTTGCCTTTGACTGGCCCTCGACTGGATTTCCCGCATTCGTCCTCCCTCAGCATTCCTCCCGATTCATCATCTCCAGCGCAGCACGCAAACTGGTGATCGCCTTTCGTGACACTTGAGGGAATTGTTTCTGCAGCAACTCTAACCCAGCCACTTGGAAATCCCTCATAGTCAGTTCCCTCAGGGGAACACCCGTGCTCCACAGCGCACATCACTGGGCTCCTCCAGATAGCTCAAACAGGCCAAGGATCTGAGACTATACAAAGACCCTCACCGCCACCATGACTCAAAGCCACGTCCACTCCCATCACCGTCGGACCCCTTCAGGCTCAAACTCATCCAAACTGCGGTCGGCACGTCCGGCTCTCCATAGGAAAGGCGCATCCTACGCGAACCTCTCCATCTCAAAGCTGGGATCTGGACAGCCCCGGTCCACTGTCGTAGACGACGACCGCGTGCCTGAGATGGCTGCCAGCTTTCTAAACTACTGGTGCGTTTCTACCCCGGAAACTCCGTTTACACCGCCGCATCCCCATTCTCTATTTTGGGCATTCTGTTTGGTCTTATCTTCCTTCCGACCCTTGCATGTCAGATTCTTGCTTATCGGACGCCTTGTGCTAACTAAAATTGCAGCGCCATGTGTGAAAGACAAATCACCGTGCCTGATAATCGCCTCCTTTATTGCAGTGAAAGGTATGGCTCCTTATCAGCTTTGATAATTCCCTTGGTTCTTAAGCCGTCCATTCCGCCGGCATTCTCTGTTTCGTTTCCTTTTCTAACATCACCCCAGCTGCCGCCGCAAGGATTCCCACAAACCTCTTTCCGCCTCCTTTCCCTCTTACACCCCAATGTGTTCGCGAAACACATCTCCAGCTTCTTCTTCACCACCACTGTCACCCACGATTGTGGCCCCCATGACTCCCACGAAAGCTCCTGTTACAGTTTCCAGGCCTATCCGGATACCCACAGACATGCATGAGTCCAAGACGGATCTTGATCCCACTGAATGGAAGCCCGTGATACAGGTGGACTCTCGCTGCGCCAGTGCCATGGGCTCGGACGCTTGGAAATATCTTTCCCAATTCCATAGCGATGACACCATGGTTCCTCTTCGTCGCGCACGGGTCGACCATCACAGTTCGACCAGCCTCTCGACTCTCCCTTCGTTGAGTCATACTCCGTCGGTTGCCTCTTCTGTGAGCAGCGTTGCCTCAGATTACATGAGCTATCGCCCTTTACCTCCTCGTCATAAGCCCTGCTTCTCTGGTAGCGGCAGCGCTGCGAAGGGCGTGCAGCTGGTTGTCCCCCAGATTGCGGTGATTCCCGACTCCCCCATCGACATGCCCAATGGTGGATCTGTCTTTCCCGCCAACAGCGGCCTTTGGGATGAGAAGACTATCGAGGCCCCCGTGATCACAGGCACGGATGCCACTACGGTGGTCTCTGTGTCCGCGAGAAACTGAGCACCTTTTTTTTTCTTGTCTGCAGCGCAGACAATGGATTTGATGTCAGGTGCTTAATTCGTTATTCATCTTTGTTTCTTCTACAGTGACGGAGTACTAGCGGAATACCATAGAGCAAAGCGAAAAACAGGACATGATTTGATGGACGATGGATTTGGAGCCTTGTTCTGTATTCTTTATAGCGAGGTTGCTTGTGGCACATTTGTGCCCTTAATTAGATAGCCTAGAATTACATCGTACGTCTAGTCTCTCCTCTCTAATAATGGTGAAACCGATGGTGATGTACGATATGGCTTGTCATCCTTATGGTATGTCGGTTGAATGTTGGAAGAGGAATATGTATACTTACTCCCAATCGCGAAACCCTAATCACGAATCAAGCAACTCGAGTGACTACTGGATCCACGGATACCAAACAATGTACATGTGCAGGATATCTTACGACGAATTGTATCCAAGCCACAACCTGCGAGTACACGGGCCAATTTTTAATTTTTTTTTTTGGCGTCGAGTAGAGCTTACAGTTACTTTTTACAAATGCTAACCCTAAAACCGCCATCAACCACACCCAGTCTCTCCTTCGACACCACTGGCAGATCCACATCAAGCCACATGCATATCGATTTACCTCAGTATACACGCTCATAATCGTCTTATAATTCGACTACAGTACGTTTTAGCCATTCCCACACACTCTCACTAATCACTACCCCATCCCCTAATCTTTAGCAATCCCCTTGAACCTCATTGTTCACTCCATCCTCTCAATACTAGTGGATGACCTTGCATCCTCAGTAATCATCACCAGTCTGATCACGCCCCAACTTCTCGTCATCATCCAGCGAGGCAAATCCCTCGTCCAACCGGTCCAGATCGTCGTCGGAGATGCAGCACATATAGCAGCCGTATTGGGGACGGTACTGCGTGATGGAAAGCATTAGCATAGGACAGAGCATAGCAGCAACATGGCAATTTGGGCAGGCTGGTAGGTAGGGTTTGTTCAGCAAGGCATGGTTCAGCCTAGGTAGCTTGCTACTGAAACCAACTTGGGAGAGACCTAGTACCCCACGGAGAACTGGACCATAGGATCGCGTGGTATAGACGCAAGTGACCGAGATGGATAGCAGGTGATTGTGTAGCTTAAAACAGACAGTTGGGAGATGATTTACCTGAATTCGCGGACAGGCGAGCAGCTTCGGATCAGCGACACAGGCGCCCGTGCACGCGGTGTTGCCCGAATCGATTCCATGGGGTTTCTCAAATGCTTGCGCGGTCACGAGGCCGAGAGTGGAGAGGGAGAGGAGGAGAGTCGTGGTTAGAAGGGAGGGAAAGTGCATTGTAGCGTTGTTGGGTTTGCGGATGTGGTTGGATTCGTGTTCGTTTGAGCGCTGTTGGACGCTGTGATGGGCACCTAGATGCTAGAGTTGGTATATGGCGCTGTGTTATGCTGTCCTTGGGTGGAAGTTTGGCGGTTTAAGACCGGGTGTACGTGAAGAAGCCTCTTACTGCAGGGGAGGCGTTCTTAAGAGGTGAACGAGTTGGAAGCTAAGCAAGGGGCTCTGGTTTGGCGACGCGACTTGGGAACTTGGAAAGGGGTGTGGTTCAAATCATTGTATACACTCCTGGAATGCCAGGCCACTAAGTGTTTTGGGTTTTCGTGTTTTACTTTTGCTTGGAATGTTTATGGCAGGTTGGTATGCATATGTCAAAAGTAGTATAGTACTAGGAGCGTGCGACTGGGGGAAGTGACATCTTAGGGTGAGTATTAGCTTGACAAATGCTTCTAGAGATAGCACCTATGCATCTAGCAGGCATATCATAGATCCAACGGTGAGTTACAGCTCCTAAAGGATTAGCTCAAGTATGGCGGGATTTCATTCTCACCTGCCTGATGTGTTACTGTTCACGAACAAGGTCAACATTGAACGAGCCGAGTCTGCCGCCGAGTGGAGTGCTTGGTTCTCAGCCAAGAGAAAGGTCCTTCTCCGTATGGTTCCTCTTATTGGGGCTTCGTGGCCGTGAAACGACCTCAGAACTACCAGCCTCGAAGCAGCCCAATTTAGTAGCTCAAGTAGTGGCCAGTGATTGGTTGGGAGTGATACCCGAGAGCGCGCGGAAGCTGAAGGCTTTGGTAATCGCGAGCGAGCCAATAAGGCAGCAGGTAGTTCGACGCAACGTGAAAGGATGATCTTTAAAGCATTGCATACTTTATGTGAACGTCAATTCAATGTTCTCAAGAGTCAGAGTGTGGTTGTTTGGCGGCGATAGCCGCTCTCTTCTCCAGGGCGGCAAGACAGCAACCAAGTTGCAAGCCATATAATCGCACAAATGGTGAATGTGAATCTTCTGAACCCTCAGCAAGATAAACAGGCCGAACCTTTGTTGTCAGCGCCAGAGGCTGATGCTTTTGATATGGTGGCGTAAGTCATCGGCAGGGATCACAACATGCATGAGCTCGGCAGAATCTTCCCGTGGCCTGTGATGTGGTCAAAGCTGACAAGTTCTCCCCTTGAGTCCCTCGCAAACACTCTCGGGCCATCGCAGAAACCTCACTGAGGGTTTCGTCGATTAGAGCAGCCACCAGACGGCGATCGAAACGTTCCCCAGAAGGGGCGACTCATAACCATTCGAGCCTGTTAACGGTCGCAGCTTGCTTCAGGAGACATATTGCAAAAGAATCGTGCCCAGTTTCGAGGTGCCGCTTGGAGCCTCCCCTGTGGCAAACTGACAGTAGACAGTTTACAACTGAAAGACATCTCAGCTGGTCTTAAAGCATAACCAGAGCGCTTGCCAAAAAATACTGTCTTGTAGCCTCTTCGCAATGCCCGCGAGGCCAGGTAGACAGAATCCAGTTAATTTTTGCCCGGGTAAAGGTTGTGGTGAGGCCCAATAGTAACTCCGGGAACATATTTCCATGACATTTCCCGATTTGTGTTAGACGCAACCGATCTGGAGAGGAATTAGGACTTCCTTTCTTCTTTATCTGGCGCGAATATGCCCTCTTCGTTCTCAAGTCTGAGAGCTTTCAACCGAGTTTCGTTGTCGAACCCATGAAGCCATGAGGAGCGTCCTGGAACGAGTGTGTTCGCAAGCAGTCATCGCCACCGACCCTTTTATTGAGATTCATTTCTCGACCAATTCGTCCAAATACCCGCCGGCTTGGTGCGGTGAGAAGGCTCTGACTTCCGAACCAATGGCCTGTCAGGCGTCTTATACCCATGACCACGAGACCCCCGTCGGCCACCAGCGGGTCATTTCTCTTTTGTTAGTTGATTCTTTAGTTGTCTGCTCTAAACGGCACCTTGTGCTAATTACCTGCGATTCTAGAAGAGATGAGCCTGAAGGCAAGGGCGGAGTCGCATCCGTTAGACTGCTCGTCATGTTGGTATAACCGCAGACCCGGAGAGACGCCCAATAGAAGAAACCACTGGGTTCCAATACAATGGTCGGCACTGTCATTCAAGGCATCATAATGATGAAAACAACTTAGTTTGGACGCTATTGCAGTACGACGGCTGTGCTGGCTGCAAGGATTGCCAATAATGCGTCAGGGGAGGCTCTTCATTCCTGGCGCGAGCGACGAGGGTTGTCCTCATCAGAGAAATCCGAAGCCAACACACTGAGGGCAACAGAGAGGGTTGAGAAATCTCGGCGAAACAAACGCAGACCATACCTCGTGCGGCTTGCGGTCGCTGCCCTGGCACTCACCCTCTTCCCAAAACTCGATGCCCATACCAAAACCGCCAAGTCGACTTGCAGTAATACCACGAAGCAAGCCTCTGACGGACGAAAGTGGTGCACCTGCTGCCTAAATCATTTTGACACAGGATGTGCCAGGGAGCAGTTGTCAGGCACGCGACGTTCATTGACTCGAGTGTCTGTTCAACCGATTTGGGGTCTGCCCGAGGCTGGTTCAACTCATGTGTTCACGAGTCCGGGTAACAACGGACTGATTGGTTCGTATGGTAGATGGCTCATTAAGGGACAGCAGGTTCACTGGCCACATCACGTCGGGGCATTGATACGGGCGGGTAGAAATGACGACCTAGACGAATAGGAGCATGTCAGCACGCATCATCTCACACCGAGGAGAAGCTGTTATTGTTGCTAGTATTGGGTTACCTTGAGCCGAGAGAAAGTCTCGAAAAGTCTTGCCAAGTCGGGCATGATGATCCTGGTAAGAGGCAAGGCGGTCTTGGGCTCTTGAAAAAAAGACACCAGATATCAGTTTTAACGTTCGTCTTCGCGTTCTCGTGGCATGGCCTCTCGAGAACAAGATGCAGATGCTCACGGTGTTTCAATCGATAGAGCGAAACTTTGACACAGAAGGGAGGATGGAAAAGGAGGGTCAAAACACCAAACGAGTACGAAGACACAACGAAACTCATCCACGGATGGTCTCAAGAGTCATTTCGCCAAAGAGCATTTCGACTGAAGCGCAAAGGGCGGCCATAGCCTGTTGTGTTTGCGTTGATAGGCGCCGGTAAGGGGCTGTTGGATTGGATGGAAGAATCATCCGATTTTGGATAGCCCCAGCTGCACCAGCGGGTCAATAAGCACAGGCAACGCAGAGCTCGGTGCTCTCTGCCGAAGTGTTGGAATGGGGACCATCCGAAGGGCCTTCCATGGGCGAGTGGAAACCAATCCGCATGATTGGTCCCATCGAGAGGATAATATTTCCGCGAGATCTCGAAGCCTGTCATTGCTCCAAAGCAACGAATGCTTGGGCCTTTCTAAGAGGACTGGATGCGAGAGCCTTGAGCCAGCGAGCCCAGGTGATTTTACTCCTTCCCAAAACGATCTGGTCGCTTCTTGAGTTCTCGTTCGAGCCCGCTGGACGTGCTGTCTACTTTTACGGTTCGCCCCCGTCATTCAGTCTTCAGAGTTGACTTGACTGTTGCTCCCTAAGACCAAAACCAAGAGTGGAGCAACTATTTCTCCAATCCCCAGGCCTTCAAAGGTTTCCGCGGCTGGTATCGAACGGAAAGCCAAAATTATTTGAGGTCTTTTGGCTCTCTTTGGTGCATCGGTGACACGCTCCATCGGACTTTTTCGCATGCCTTGCTCTCCAGTGGGGTCTTTGAGTTAGCTGGCAGCCCAAGGCCCATAGCCGACCTTACATAGTTGTCCTTCCTCCCTGACACTCTTCAACTTGCTTCAGTGCACCCTTCAAGCTATCCAGTGTCACTAAACACGCCTCTTTTACGTCACGACTTGCTTTTATCTCCCTGGGTTGAAAGTTAGTCCTGAACCACACCACGAAACCACCTGGGCCGGCGCGCCGTCCCGAACATGGACCAGAGAGACCCAAACTCACGGCAAACCTCCTCAAAGGAAAGGTGAGTAACTCGCCTTTCCTCTCACCATCCAGATCTTCTTCAGGATTTCTTCCCCTAGAAGGGGCAAGACCCCAATCCTATCCGAACTCTCGGGCCTCTCTGTTCTGTGTTGCCCTTATTGACGACATCCCACTTGCCAGCCACGAGACCAACGGACACAGCAATCAGAGCGGCAACAGCGAACCCACGAACGGTCACCCAGTCAACGAAGCCAATAACGAAAATGCCGAATACTACCAGACATTTCTTAGACGGCTTATTGATGTGGTTTCGCATGGACAGCCCGAGGCCGTGGATAGTTTGATTGCCACCATCCGCTCAGGCGCTTCCCAGGCAGAGATCTTCATGGCGCTGTCGGAACTCACAGCCGAAGCCTCTTCAGAGCAAGCCAGCAGGACACAGGCGCCATAACCAGGTTCTCGAAGAGAAGACGCGTCAATCGGGTAATGACTCGTGTTTGTCGCGACTCGCTTTGCTTGCTCAGGACGACTTTACACGCATGTTACGATTCAAGGACAGTTGACGACATTTTACATCTTATATATTATTTTCTGGAATTTGAAGTGGACATAACGTTATATCTTCCAGGTTCTTATCGGAGAATTCAACATCTTCTAAGCAATAACGATATATTTCCGGGACAGTATACCCGGATGTGAACGTTTTGTTCGCCTCAGTGCGTCTAGATATATCAAGCAGTTTAGCAGTACTGGTGTGTTTGCTTGATTTCCATATGTTTCTACTAGTTAGTACTCAGGTCAAGGGCATCGTTCTTTATGCTACACCCGATAGAGCGACCTTCAACAACTTGAGGTGAAGTAAAACACCATAAATCTGAGGTGTCAGATGATGCATAGAAAGGATAGTACGTGCTTAGTTTCCCACAAACATAAAACTAACCTCTATCGCCACCCAGTCATCGAGATCGGTCCATCGATTAGTGGTTGACGGCTGCAAATTGTCCTGCTGTAGACATTCTTGCCGAAGCCGCCTCTCCGTGTTGAAAGACACTGTCACTGTCAGGTACTGATCAACTTGGCAAAAGCACGTGGCAAAGGAGAATTTATCCGTCAAGTCTACCTCGTCGAGTTGCCTAGGTACGCTATTTAAGCTTTCCCCATTGCTCACCAGGTACCCGGTACCCGAATCCTAATATCATGAGCACTATAGCAACACATCAAGGATATACGATACAGCCGTTACTTGACAGAAGATGCCGCATAGATAAGCAAAAGGTAGTCTCGTGTCTATGCTAGAAAGCTTGCAGGAGGAATAATAAGAGGGAAAAGAGAAAAAGAAGAAAAGGCCTTCCACCGAGTACCCTGCTAAAGAAACTATTGACTATATTTCTAAGGCGTGCAACGGCCCGTGAAACGGGGATACAGGGAGCAATCCCGAACTGTATAGCGGGCACACAACCAGGCGAGGAAACGCTCCAGACCAAGACCGTATCCTCCGTGGGGGGAGGTTCCGTACCTAATCCAGGTTGTTAGTATGTTTGCGCATTTTGATGAGAAATGGGGACATAGAAAGGGGAGAAAGGAGAAAGGAGGGTAGCTTACTTGCGCTGGTCAGTGTACCAGTAGTACGGCGAGGGGTCCATGCCCTCATGCTTGTACGCGGCCATGAGCTCATCCCAGTCGTCCATCCTCATACTTCCACCGACAATCTCACCGACACCGGGCATGAGAACGTCAACGCTCTCTGTGACACGGCGGTCCTCAGGGTCCTTCTTCATGTAGAAGGCCTTGATCTCAGCAGGGAAGTGGGTGAGGAAAATGGGGCGGTTGATGATATCTGTCATCTTACGCTCTGCAGCTTCGGCAATGTCGTCGCCGAACTCGTGGGGTTTGCCCTCTTCGTTGGGGATTTCGTGCTCGCGCAACCACTCGATGGCGTCTGAGTACTTCATGCGGAGGAATGGACGGCTTGGGGGCTGGAAGCCAGGGTTAAGGGTGTCGATAATCGGTTTTGCGACGGGGTCGGCGAGAACGATTTCGAGAACGCGGCAGATGACGGCCTCGAGGTGGTCGAGGAGGTCGGTGAAGGTGATGAAGTCGAGCTCAGACTCGATGTGCGTGTATTCAGAGAGATGGCGGCGGGTGAGGGATTTCTCTGCGCGGAAGGAGGGGCAGACGCAGAAGACATCTCCAAGAGAGGGAATGCAGGTCTCGAGGTAGAGTTGCGAGGACTGAGTGAGGTAGGCGTCTTCGCCGTAATAATCGAATTTGAAGAGGGTGCTTCCTCCTTCGACCTGGGTTTGTACCATGGCGGGAGGGGTCACCTCGGTCATGCGCAGCTCGTCGAATGTCTGACGGAAGGCCTTCAAGGTGGCAGCGCGCACTTTCATCACGGAGGAAGCAGTTTCGCCGCGGAGAACAAGGTGGCGGTTGTTGTAGAGGGTTTGGTGGTCGGCGTCCTGGGAGACTCGGGTGGTGATAGCCTCCTTGTCGCCGGCGGCACGGCCAATGACCGTGTAGAAGTCGACATGAAGTTCCCGGTTGTTAGGCGCATGCTGCTTGGGGGGGACGGCCTTCATCTCTCCGTGTAGGGCAATGGAGGTTTCGAGGGTGAGAGTCATGGCATCGTAGGTCTTGGTGAGCTGGCCAGTCAGAACGCACTGCAGGTAGCCGTATCCATCCGCAAGGGTCAAAAAGATCATATCTTTCTGACTACGCAGACGGTGGATTCGTCCCAGGACCCGGACACGGGTTCCAGGGATATCTGACTCTGGCGTGCCCAATGTGACAGTGGCAGGGTCCGTCACGTCTAACCGGATCCTAACTGGCTTTGGCAGAGAGGGATCATCCTTTATCACGATCTTCTTCGCTTCCTCCAAGACACGTTGGCGTTCCTCTGCCTGCTTCTTCTCGCGGATAGCCAGTTCTTGTTCCTTCGCGGCCTTCTTCTTCTTTTGCTCGAGTAAGCTGGTTGCCTTCTTTATCGCCGACTTGGTCGCAGGCTTCCATTCCAACTTTGCTGCTGGATCAGCACCTTCGCCCGTGGGCTCGGTCTGGGATTTGCGAGTCAGGTATTGAGCGCCATCGGTAGGGGCGTGTTGAAGGAAAGCGTAGAGGAGGGTCTTGTATGGAGCTGACTCGGAACCAGTGGCGGTCGAGTCGTCTCTTCCAGCGTCTTCGTCGATGTATATAGAAGCCATTGCGGTGATCAATTGACTGTAAAAGAATCTAGGTCAAGGGATTGCTGATGTTGTTCGTGGAGCCGGTTTATATGCGCTGCGGAGGGGAAGATTAGCCTCTGAGTCACACATAAGCCCCCAGCGATGTAGAACAAAGCAGGAGATATGGAAGTCACCACAATTAGAACATACCTAACGCTGGATATATGAGTAATTATTGGATGCCCGAATGATCCAAGCACAATGGATTTCGCAAGCCCGCACACAGGAGAGGTGAAAAAGAATCTTGGTTATCTAATTTCCGGAGGGGTAATTTTCTGGCCGCGGTGATGCCTCAGGCACTAACATAACCATGCCTTTTTTTATCGCAACAGAAACGATTCACGCAAGCCAAATGAAGAGGCTTATGTTCTAGGCTTCTGCTTGTGTCAGATCTAGAGAGATAGTTCTTGGATAGTAATCCTATGATTCCCGTGCTCATCGTCCGGTCACCGGAGTATATCTATTTGTATGATATGTGAGGAAATAGCCCAAGGTAAGGATGTGATTCGATCAGATCTAGCACAGTAAATAATTCCCCTCACAAATAGAAAGCGCAAGATAGGTCATTGGTTACTACCAGTACCAAGTTCTTACCTAGGTATCAGCATCAATTCCAAAGCGTCCATACTTCCCCGCCCCGGAGTGGACCATATTTCCGCCGACCTTGAGCCGCTACTTTCCATCCCGTTTTCTTCACGCTTTCAGCCTGCGTGAGATGAACCCCACCAAAAGCTATTCATGGTCCTTCTGATCCTGCCAACGATGTATCGTCAGCAGGTGCATAAGCTATTCCTGCTTCTGGAAGTGAATTGACCATGCAGTCCAGCCTTTTATACCAAAAAGGATGCATCGCAGTGTCCTCGAACCAGGACTTCCCCGCGTTTTCTTGTCAGAATGGCCGCGCCTATTCTTATTCAAATTGACATCTGCTAAAGACAATGGCAAGCTGGCAAACAGGCAAGGCCTCCACCCGCACAACCTTGGTACGTATCGCTTCATCGATCCCCAGCTTCTTTAATCACAAGCCATGATCTCCGCATGAACGTTCAATCTTCGGCTGATCCTTAATCAGACAGAGTAACTGCCACTTAGGGAACAATCACTACATAACCGAGTTTGCATTCCCAAGTCTGTACTTTCTACGAAGTGCGTGGAGATGCCCACTACTCTTTTGTAAATGCATACCGAACACACAGCATCCGTATCTTCAAGTTTGCTTGGCCTATTACCTTGACAATTCAAGTTTGACCTCGTGATTATTATTCACGGAGCCCAATCGTTTCAAAAACTCTGATTTGATTTGACGTTAACCATTCACCTCCGATCTGATTGTATTTGAGTCTCATTTGATCCTTGGTCAGGGATCTCAGAGGCTTGTTTGCATTTTACTTTGTTCGTCACCGTTACCCCTTTGCTCAACCCCTTTTCCCCTGTTGTTCCTGGATACGATATTTTGCTCAGGGGACGAGCGACGTGACGTTTAATTTATTTCTTTTTGCCCTTTGCGCTTATCCACTTCGAGTTTAATAGCTCGATGCTATTCTTTGTCTCCATTCGAGTCTGTACTCTGTCCTGCTGTGCTGTCATTCCGTGGACCCTTTGAGCATTCATCCACTACCGAGTAATAATATTCTTCTGCTTGTCTTTTTGATCACTACTACTTTCCTGCTGAGTGCAGAAAGCTAGTGTTGCGGCTCTTATTAATCATTTGAAGGGTTGGCGCGTCGCAGCCATCGGCCGCGAACCCCTAAGCCAGCGGCAACCATCTCCAAAGGTCAGTCCGTCCGTCCCCTTTCCACAACCGACTCCCCCAATGAACATTCCAATTGACCACTAGAATCATTTCTAGACACGTCTCCATTGGGGCCATTCGTTTCGCGCCTTGACATTTTTTGATCGTCTTCTTCTTGTCACTCTCTTTTTGGTCTTCACCTTCGTTTCCCTTTTCTCTCCTGTTGCTCCATTTCTCCATTTCCCGTTCTCTTCTCGGGGGTTAACATTAGCCCCATTGTTCTTCATATTCATTTCTCTTGCTCTTATTCCTTTCTTTTCTTAGCTCCTTGGGTTAATCCTCAAGCGTTCAATCTCCCACCCCTTTCTTGTCCGCCTCATTCGTTTTGACAGAGGCCGTTCCGTTCACGCCAACTTCGCCCGGACGCCGTACCTACCCCCTTCGCTCGTTCCGCTCGCCATGCAAACCTCCGATGCCTCGAGCCTCCCAAGTCGTCTAAAGTTTTCGCACTTGAACGCAGATAGTACCGGATTCTCCCACGGAGCGTACCAGTCAAACAACATTCCCTTGCAAGGATTGTCGGACCGGAATTCTCGTCGAATAAACATTCCTGCCATCAACACGGCGGCCACCCAAAGCACGACTGACAACATGGCAACCTCGGGCGCGTATGACATGAACTTTACTCCTCTCCTCCCCTCCCAACTCCTGCTCGGCAGCCCCTTCCAACCCGGGACTCCGTCGGCGTTTACTTCTCCCCAGTTTGCCAACTATGGTGGATTCTCGCAGAACAACTCGGCACAGGGGCCACAGAACCAACTGGGAAGTCCGACACAAGCTTCGCACAATGCTAGTTTATACTCGAGTATGCTATCTGCGGAAGGTCTGGGCAACTCACAGATGTTGGCTGGTCCTCAATCGCCGGTTGGTGGCTTGGGAGGGCTCGGAAACGCTGCATACGGAAGTCCTGCGGCGGCTGTAACCCCGGGTCTTCTCTCAGGCACGAGCCGAACTGTGTATCTGGGCAACATCCCTCCGGAGACCCCAGCGGAGGAGATCTTAAACCATGTCCGGAGTGGCCAAATTGAGTCCGTCCGCTTGCTGCCAGACAAGAACTGCGCTTTCATCTCGTTCTTGGACAGCAATTCCGCTACGCATTTTCATTCGGATGCTATTCTCAAAAAGCTAGCTATCAAGGGAAATGACATCAAGGTCGGCTGGGGCAAGCCATCTCAGGTGCCGACCTCTGTCGCACTGGCGGTACAACAGTCAGGAGCCTCGCGCAATGTGTATCTCGGAAACTTGCCTGAGGAGACGACAGAAGACGAGTTACGGGAGGAGCTAGGGAAGTTTGGCCCTATTGACACTGTAAAGATTGTCAAAGAAAAGGCCATTGGCTTTGTCCATTTCCTGTCTATCACAAACGCTATGAAGGCCGTGTCTCAGCTACCTCAGGAGGTCAAATGGCAAGCTCCAAAACGTGTATTTTACGGCAAGGATCGCTGCGCTTACGTCTCGAAAACACAGCAGCAGAACGCCGCACAGTTTCTGGGAATTGCGCCGGGATACGCGCACATCCTGAACTCTGCGGATCGTGACCTGATCACCAACGCCCTCGCCCAGCAATCAGTGGCCGCGGCAGCCGTAGCCACCTCTGCGGGTGGTGTCAACAATCTGGGCAACCGGACCATCTACCTGGGAAATATCCATCCCGAAACTACAATTGAGGAGATTTGCAATGTCGTACGCGGTGGTCTTTTGCACCATATTCGGTACATTCCCGATAAGCATATTTGCTTCGTCACTTTCATCGACCCGACATCAGCTGCTTCTTTCTATGCCCTGAGCAACCTACAGGGGCTCATGATTCACAACAGAAGACTGAAGATTGGCTGGGGTAAACACTCTGGACCCCTTCCCCCCGCTATTGCTTTGGCTGTCAGCGGCGGCGCTTCTCGCAACGTGTACGTAGGCAACCTGGACGAGTCGTGGGCTGAGGAGCGTCTGCGTCAAGACTTTTCTGAATATGGTGAAATTGAATTGGTCAACACACTGCGAGAGAAGAGTTGCGCCTTTGTGAACTTTACCAACATTGCAAACGCAATCAAGGCTATCGAAGGCATGCGAAACCGGGAGGAGTACCGGCGCTTCAAGATCAACTTTGGCAAGGACCGCTGTGGAAACCCGCCTCGCCAGACTGGTAATGCTGGCCAGCAGAACCGCAACGGTGGCATCGAAGGGCCACAGTCGCCTCAGCCGGCGCTCAATGGCTTCCACACCCTTCAACCCGGCTCCCAACCCAGCCCAACTCGTCCGGCACTGTCGCCCGCTCCGGGCTCTACTGGATCCCAGAATGGTCAACAAAACCGCCATCCTCTGCAGAACGTTGCATCTCCGTCGGGCATTTTGAACTCGGGCTCCAACAACCCGCTGACCATGTACCTTAACCAAATGTCGGCCCAGCAGGCTCAAGAGGAGGAAAACCGGTTGAATGATTCCCTTACTCTGGCCGCTCTGCAATCTCAGCCCCAGTCCAACCACCATCACCAGCAGTCACTCTACAACCCGACCAGCACCAGCGAGCTTACGAACGGCAGTATCGAAGCCCCGCTGCACCAGCACAAGGCATCCACAAACGGTTTTCTGAACGTCAGCAACGGACCAACTGGGCCCGGTCATCACGCCACTGCTAGCACCGGCACTCTGAGCGTACCCCGCGCGCAACACTCGAGAGCCGTGAGCTTACCGTCATTCTCCCAAGAGCCATTCGGCCCCATCTCGAGTCAACCCGGAGCTCATCGCTCAGGAATCGCACATCACTCCCAGAACAGCTTCTCAAGCTTTTCGTCCGCTCTCGGTGGACTCAACCACTCAGGCTTCGGGTTGGCTATCCAGAACGAGAACACTTTGCCTGGCTGGGCTGAAGAAGAGATCGGCGCCAAATAAACTCTTCACATCTTGAGCTTTCTGCAACATTTCTTCGACTCATCTATGTGTCATCCTCTTACATTTCCTATTTTCTCTGACATGGTTGATCCTTTTCTGCATCTTACCATTCCGGATTCTATCATTTTGATTCTTCTACTGTATTGGCTTACCTGTTATGTCTTAATCTTTCCATTCCCTTCCCCTAATAATGTTTTAATCCCCTTTCTTATACCATTCACATGTATTGCTAGCTGGGTATGACATTTTTTTCGCTTTCTTTTCTCATTTTCTTCCTTTTGTTCTTGACCTTTTCACATTTCTTTGTTTATTCCCTTGCCTGTGGAGACGAGGGACCTCGGCTATACCATAGACTGGATTGGTTAGGACTCTTTACGTCCCAGTCTCAATTTTTTTTTGCATATGTTATGCCATTTTGAGGGAAACAACTTGGGCAATCGTTGCTTCTCCGGTATGGGACGGGACGACAGCAGGCTTCTGGTATTCATATAATGGCAACTGGCAGCCATTGAGAAATTTGAAGGAGATGAGAGAGAGCCGACAAACAAATATCACGACATATATTCAGTTAATATGCAACATGTATGAATAGCATCGCGTATCTAGGCATTGATTGAAGAAAACTATAATAAAGCTTAATCTGCCACATTTTTAGTCGTCAATACCATTGCAAAGCCACGAGCTCTGCCTGAACAAGTTGGAACTGAATGTCCCAAAACTTGGGATGAGATAAGCCCGGAGCGGAAAAACAGAGCAGCCGCAGTCCATCCCAAAAGTAAATAACATCGTTGATCTCAGCCGCCACCGTCTCTTGGACCTACCAGATACGCTTCGGCTCAGTCTTATTGTCCCTCTCATACCCAGGGGCAGCTCGGTGCGTCAACTTTTTACCATGGCCTTGCCTCCGGAGCACATCAACATCAAACGGCGCCGAGAGGAAGAGCCAGTAGACACATTATGTAAGAACCTTCAGCTGTACCTAGTCGGCAACAAGCCTCAACTCCGGAATGAGCTTGAATTTCTTATGTATCATGATTATCCCTTCATGCCTAACACAAGCCACAGATATTCAATCTGAGCTACATCAGACAAAGCGCCGGTTCACAGACTTTGTCTTTCAACGAGTCACAATAAATGCCAGCGGCGTTAGCAGAAGTGGCTCGCCTAGTTTTTCCAGCACCCCCGCCGCACAGAGAGCAATCCGGAGTCCGCGCTCCGCGAGCAGTCTCCATGTCCGCAAATCCACTAACGCTGGTGGCGGGGGCGGAGACGGAGGTGTTCCTATGGTCAGAGCCACGTCCCCGGGAGCCGAGCTTCGTGAGGAGAGGAGAGTCGCAGCTGCTCGGAAAGAGGCCGAGGAGAAGCTGAAAAATGCAATCTATTCTTCTCCCTCGCCGATCACGCCAGGGTCTGAGAAGGCTACGGCGCCGAAAAACGAGGCGGCACGAGGCGGCGAAACGCTGGTATCTTCCGCCGCGGGTGCAACAGGTAGTCCGACGTCGCCTAGTGTAGCGCCATCAATACGACGCTTCCAGATTTCGCGGTCAAGCACACCTTCCGGTGCACTGCGCACTACGGGAGGGGGTGTCCAGAAACGTAGGGAGGGTGCTGTGGCAGTCCTGGTTGAGAAGCTGCGGCGGGAGCCTCATTCAAGACGTGCATCCATGGTTGCGGATGCAGCTGCGGGTATATTGGAGGAGGCGGCTCCGGAACCTGCACGCCCGCGAAAGCGACCGGTGGTGAACCAGGCCGAAAAGAAATGGAGAGAAGAGCGACAAGGCGCAATATCCGCTGCTAAACAGCATATCTCTCAGGTACTGGAAAAGGGAGCACAGGCTCACCAGAGTAATTGGGAGGACGAGTCGGACCGGTTGGCACGGCAGTTTGAGCAGATTGCGCTAGAGCTTGATGGAGAATTGGAGGGAACACCAGTCACGACGCAGCATTCCCAGCCCATGGTGACACGCTCTGCTATGCCCAAGCCTCCGCTTAAATACCAACCACGCACCCCTAACAAGCATCGGGCGGCGCCTCCTGTTCCAAAGCCAGCAGAGGAGAAGCCTGTTAAGCTTCCGGCGGGAGATGAAGCCATCGACAATGACGAGGACTATGTTTACGACATGTATATTCGCCGCCCTCTGCCGGACAGGGATGGGTTGACAAACCCGCTTGTCGATCTAGAAGACCAAGAAGCCTGGCTACGCTACCACGGAATTGACAGCAGCCGTCAAGACATTGGAGTTATCGTCATCACGCCGGAAGATGAGATACTGTGGGAGGACTTTGCAGAGTCAGACGACGATGAAGATCGCTGGGACAGTGAGGATGGAGACTCCAATGGTATAGCTCCATTCTTACATCACACTCCCCGGGAATGCATCGGGCTAACCGCGCTACCATAACAGCTGAGAATAACCCCGCAAATGACTATCCAGACGAGGACCTATCATGGGACGATGAGGAAGATGACGCCGCGGCGATCTACAGAAAGTACAGACATGACCGATCCGACGACGAAGAGTACGACTGGGATATGTCCGACGACGAAGCGGGCGCTGGCAGGATAGGAAATCTATACGGGGTACGGTCGCACGTGGAGTCTGACGAAGACAGCTGGTAAAGAGCAATCTTACGGCTTGCAAGAAGCATCCGAGCTTCATGTGCAAAGTTTGTTGTGACTGCATATCCAGTTTCCTACAGTAGCGACGTGCAGCACAAGACAATGCCACAAATGTCATGTCAACCCCGGACTAAAGTTTTACTCCGTCCAAAACTCCGGAACGTCGTCGATACGCATAACGGTCTTGCTAGCAATGCAGCCTTCGTCATTGCCGATCTTCTATCATTCCCAGACAAGTGCGAGAGCCTAAGCCTAGGAGAGATCGTTGGAGCGACAGATGACGACGAGAACGATGATCCTGCCAACAACAATGCGGGGTCGACATGCTTCAGACCGGTTGATCACTGCTGCCACAGCCAGGTGACGTGCTGAAGAACCTCAAATAGTTCAATGCATTATCCAATGCCATGCGGGCCATTGCGAGACAGCGCCGGTTAAACTTTCGCATGCTTGCCACGCACAAGCACGCCTTCATTATGGCGTGGCATAGCATAGATAGCATAGATAGACACGGTCTCAACTAAGAAACGAATCACGAATTTCCACCGTTTCGAGGGTCTCCACCACGATCCCGAGGGTCTCGAACACAGCCTGACAAACCTGTCGTCAGACAGACAACTCCCGTCCCCACGCGAGAATCCCGCAGTAGCAGGCTCTAGTTGCAGAAGGAATGCATCGCACAGATACGGACGGGACGGCTGACGTTCCTTTTCCTCTTCTTTTCTTCTTTTGAGTTGTGCATTTTACATTTATTTTCCGAATCCAGCTTGTCATGCTGATTGTCCTTGGCCATTGATGTGTGTCATCCACACCACCAGAGATATAGCCCTGTTGGTGGTGTATCCGTGGGGGTGGTCGTATGCCCGAGGTCACAAGTGTATCCTCTCGCCAATCCAATCCAATCTAATAGGTTGACTTCGAGCACTTCGTATCTTTTCCTTTCCCATCCAAGCCGCCGGTTAACCAATCCTGTCGGGAACCGAATCCTTCGGTCGATCTGGAATTCTAACTTTCTGCAGCTGTGAGTGGGCTGAGGAATCGAGTCGTGGGATGAAGATCCGAAATGCAGTAAGGAGCAGCTGAACCCTTTTCCGTCTCCTCTCTATTTTTTATTTTTTTTTTCCTTTTTTGTATTTCCTCGTATATTTCCTTTTTACGGCGTTCCGTGGGTTGGATTCGCTTGTTTATGCTTGCTGATGGACATGATGCAAGAGACATAAATTATCCTCGTCACATCAGCATCTGACTGATATATAAACGTTGTGTCGGGGACTTTAAAGCTGTAGAGACGCCATGCCAAACCCCCACATAGAGTAGTAAGCACAAATGACAGCCAAGGCATTCAAGTTATTATCAAGTCTCGACAACAGTATGAACAACAGCCTCGTCCCTCAATCGCTCAGTATGACCACCATCGTTCACTCGTCCGCCGCGGCTTGGCCTAGTCGGGTATCATCCCGCGCAATCCGCAGCTCGCACGTACCGACTACTCCTCAAGTAGTGTTATCCTTAACTAGAGTAGTAGTAGTAGACTAGAATCAATAAGTCGGCCGTCAACGAGAGCCGATCGGTCGGAGCATGGAGATGGAGACATTATTTAGTAGTACTACCGTCACAGTAGGAGTTGACGCCGGTCGCCGTTTGGGGTCTGCGGGACCAGGGCGATCATTTAGTATGTGGCCTATGATATCTTATGGTTAATTTGAATGGTGTTGGTCTTGCGAGGGTCTTGGTGCTGAGTCGGCGACTTGGTTTGGACTGCTCATGTTAGTTCACAGTACTTATCTCGCTTGTACATTGATCACTTGCTACAATAGGACTATTGGTAGTATATGGTGGGAAACAGAGGAGCAAGAAAGAGTACAGAGTACTACTCGTATAATAGTCACGTAAAATACAATACAGTACATTGGCATAGTATTACCACCGGCACCATCAGAGATTCAAAGTCCGTACTCATCTGAACCATCAGCCAGCCTCCCATCGCCCCGGGTCGAGTCCAGGATTCCTAGTCTCGAAAGAATGTCCAGTTGAGTGATAGGCCCCCATATATGTAATCTATGAAGTAATCTGTGGTAGCGTCCGCAGCTACTCCGTCCGGAGTTAGACTACCGAGGCAGGCAAACGCAGGAAAGCTAAGAATGGTAAGTAACGTAGCCCCCTCCAAAAGCAATATCCGACACATTCTGATACAGACTACACTGCGTGCTTTGCTTTGCTTTGCTTTCCCGCCCCCCCATTATTTAGTTTCCTACCGGGTTCAGAGTCCAGAGTCATATATCCAAGCTCGCTTGCTATTTGCGAGGGTGCCGGGACAGCAGGATGAAACTAAAATACAACTCCCCTCCCCGCGGCAACCCCTCGCTATTTATGTCTCTTCTAGGCAGGGGTGCTGAGGGTTGAGTATGCCACGTGATAGTGATGTGCTTTGCGGCTGCTGGCCCCTCGAGGGAGGTGGTAGGCAGGCTTTCGGTTGGTTTTTTACTGTAGCTTTGCGTGGAGATCTTCTAGAAGCGGGCTCGATTCTTGGGGGAGCTATTTCGGTATCTAAGCGCCCCTGTTCGTAGGATCTCAGGGTGTGTGGGATAAGCGCCGAATTCTAGATATTAAATATAGTCGAGTCTACGTTCAGGTGCACTGGGTTGACGAAGAGAAATTACGAGGTAGACAGCATATCTAACAGAATGTACCCATGTATTTATGTATATGTAGAATAGGTAGCTGTAGAAACCACCATGATTTAATGAGTTCAACACCAAATGGAATCGATCGACTATCAGATCAGATCAGATCAAGTCATATGCATGCTAGAAATACAGAGAGCCCCCCAATGAGTAGCACAGCATGTCATACGGTCATGGTGAAAAAGAGAAAAGTAAGTTGTAGAAATTGTGTGCAAAAATGTATAGTTAAAAGAGAAGAAGACAGAGGGTGAAAGGTCGAATGGGATGGGAATGAGAAGGATATCGAGGCTCACTTAGCCGGGTATCGGTGGTGTGATTGACGGTTCGAGAGGAGGACAAGGAGGTGTTGAAGGAGGTCGGTCGGTAGAGAGTAGGTAGGATGAAAGGATCAGAGGAGACAGAGGTTGAGAAGGGCGAGGTGTAGAAGCGGTAGAGGATTCTGAGATGGTCGGCCGTAACGGGTGGAAACGTTTGCTTAAAAGGAGAGGCTGATCGAGATGGGTAGGGGTTTCGAGTCAAGTGACTACCTCGATAACCTCCTCCGCATCACCTCCTCCCGGTCCTCCCTCATCCACGGATACCAAACGCCCATCCACTCCACGACCCCAAACTGCGGCGCATTCGACCCATAGTCCGCCCGAGAACTCGTCGTCGTCTCCTGCCGCAGAAACTCGCCATCGCGCATGCGCCTCTGCTCACGCAGCGTTGGACACTTCTTCTCCTTGATGAAGCGGTAGAATTTACACTGGATCCCCTGGAACCCGCGGCGCTGGCGGTTGGGGAACTGGCAGTTAAACGACTCGCGGACCTCCTTCCACTCCTGGCACAGGTCGACGCGGTGGTACCAGATAAAGTACATCTCCTCTTCCTCGTACTTGGGCCGTGGCGGACGCCGCCGGTCGCCGCTGGTGCTGTTGCTGCTGCTGTGGGCACCGGCGTTTGTGCTGGAGGTGCTGGAGACGGAGGAGTAGCGTTCCCGGTCTCGGGCGTAGGCTTCTGGTGAGGAGTCTGTTGAGCGTGGGCGGTGGTAGGGCATGAATGAGTGGTGCTGCTGGGAGTGGTGCGAGTGTTGGTAGTGGTCCTGGTGGGCTGGGGTGTTGTGTTGGCTGCCGTGGCCGTATGGGTGGTAGTGATGGTGGTGGTGGTGATGGACCTGTTGACGGGTTTGGTGGTGTCGATTAGTATCCTCGGGGAAGTTGCGAAAGTACTGCTGGTGTGGGCTTGGAGGGTATAGAGGCGAGTACTGGGGTGTGAGGGGCGCATGTGCCGCTGCATAGTGTTGCAGTTTCTGTGTTGGGTTGTCGGCCTCTGCTGGGGGGTTGAGCAGGGAGTCGATGGCCATGCGCCTTGGGTGGGAAGGAGATTCCATGGTGACTGTTCTTTGATTCTCAAAGAGCAGTTGAGTTACAGTCGAGTTGAGATGCGAGACAGGCAGAGCCGCCCAGAAAGTAGGTGAGGGAGACGGCGCGTTTAAGAAGCAGCTATTTCTGGGTGATTGCGGACTCAACCATCCCCAACAGCACAACGCGGGCTCCGGTTGGATTGTGAAGAAAGGGAATATGCCCCGTTAGCAGTGTTGGGCGGTCGCTGAACCCATGCAGCGTACCGAATCCCTGGATCTCGCGGGCCTGTCAGAGAGAGCGAACGCCGGCGCCCCTGTCCTCATGTAGCGAATGTCGTGAAGCCGGATGCGCAGACGCTGCGGCAATGGACTGAGATGGAAGGAGGGCGCTTGTGAAGATTCAAGGTTGCAGCGGCGAGATTATTATTATTACAGAGTCAAGTACGGTCCACAGAGTCCATGCAAGGATGTTTAAAGGTCTCGAGTCGACTCGACAGCCTCGTTAGTGTACCTGGTCTGTTGCCACAGGCTGGCTGCTCGTCATTGCCCACCACACTCGAATAGATTAATACAAATAATTTATTCTTGAATTTCAATTTTGAATTAATCGGGGTGAGAATACCGTTAGATCGGGTAATTTATTAGTCGATAAATGCAATTTCTTTCCCCAGCCTGAGGCTACCCACTCTTGTCGCCCTCTTGTCAGCACTGGCACGCTGGAACATAGGCTCAGATCGGAGTCAAGGAATTCCGGAGCCGCAGTTCAAACAAAGAACCGGTTGACTCCTCTCGACGGTCGTTGAATTTGATTCTACCCGTCGCAGCCTGGCAGGGAATGACAAATACTCGAAGTTTGGAAACTGTGGGACAGCTCCCCTCGCTATCCATGGAATGTACAGAATGTATGTACCTGAAAGAGACATTTCGCATGAATGCGCGCATCAAATGAGCAAGCGAGCAAGCGAAATTGTGCAAATCAAACTCTCTGGCTGTAGAGTCAGGATTGCAGATTATTGCATTCTTGCCTGACTGACCTGACCCTTGACGCCTCGCGGGGGCCACTTTTCGAACAACCGAGGAGCCTGGAGGCCAGTCAGCCAGGCATCTTCATCTCATCGGGGAACGGGTGGTGGTGGAGCTGTGGACGGCTGCTTAGCGGCACAGCTTGCTAAACCTGCTAAATTAAAATCACGACTCAAACAGAGCTGGACTGGAGTCGAGAGTCGAGACCCAGGCCTCTGATCGAGCCTCGTCAGAACTCGCAGCTCGCAAATTCGAGTTCTTTTCATGATGAATCAGATCCATCACAAACGTGAAGAAAACCATATACAATTCAACCGGCATTTCGGCCATATCAACTCCATCGAATCCCCGAAAAAAACGTGTTGAACCAAAAAGAAGAATTCAGGAGACCGTCGGGAGGTTGGAAAAAAACCAACAAAAAGCATCTCAAACCAGGCTCGGCGATTGGCCGCGGAAAGTCACTCCAACAGCGGTGGCTTTTGCTAGGTTACCGAGCTGTCGGGACGACCCGGCCAATCAGTGCACGGATACCCTTTGACAGAGACACGATGTGTGTGGGGCGATTTCAAATACTGCCAGTGATGCAGGAGTATTTTGTAGGGACGTTGACATTGACAATTCACCTAGGGATGATGAGGGGCGTGACTTGGATACCAAGGAGAGACTCAGAGAGAGCATGAAGAGTTGAGGGTGAGACACAAGGGCAGCTCCCCGGCCCTCCCCTCAGTCCAGATGCGAATCTGATTCTGACTCTGCAGTTTCTGCAGTTCTGCAGACATGCGGCCTGCGGATGCGTGCCAACTCATCCTCAATCCCTCATCGATCTCTGACATGACCCTGTCCAGTGCAGGAAGCTAGCGTTTACCTGTTTCAGTCAGTCGTCCAGTCACTCCATGTTATCGCGGCGTTTATCTACAGAGCGTGGACAACACCCAGGCAATATTGCCAAAGTGTTGTCCGCGCTCTGTAGATAAACAACATTCCAGTTGGGGCTTGCTCATCGCTCTTGCTCGAGAACCAAATATCTGGCTGACTGAATGAATCGTCAAAAGCCTTATTTCTACCCGGCTGCTAACGCACCTAGGCAAGTGTCAGCTACTGCCATTGTCCAGAGGAGCTGTCGCTGCGCTTGGCAGCTGTAAATCATTTCGTCACAGGCGAGCGAGCGAATCAGCCCACCCCAAAATATATTACAGAGAGCATCGAAGTTATTTATGTGATGTGCTTTTATTCTTCATCTTGCCAAGGCCGAAGCCTGTTTTGCCGCATTCAAAAAGCACATCGCGACTTTGATCGCTCTGGTTGCATGACTGGGTGTCAAGCTCAAGAGATATTCATCCCAAGATTCAACTGACCCAACAACCAAATGTGGCATCCGGCACGTGCATATAGAGTCACGCTAATGACGGAGGGGAGGATGAAGCAGACGAAGATCTCAGATGTGTCGTTTGTCCGTAGCCTTCCGGGGCTGCATCGTCGCACCTGCAAGGACAGTAGTGGGCTGTCTTCTGCGCCTGGGTGGGTAAGCAATGGCACAGGGTCAGGTCAAGAAAAAAGAAACATGACCAAGTGACATGGAACATACGAGTACGCAGTACGGAGTAGCTAAGTCTGCAATCGCAACTCGCAACTTGCAACTTTCAGCACGTCGCAGGGCAAGGCAGGCGAGAATCGATACGTACATCATTCTTCTCTACAAGGCATTTGTCACCGATTATCTCCGAGCGAGAACAAAGAAAGAAGGAACTCTGTCGGATCTCCTCGTTCTCTCGACTCCAGCAGGAGCGAAGTGAAATGAGGGCTTTCCAAGGTGCAGTAGTGGACCGCACCCAAGATTTCTCACCTCATCGCCGCATCATTCTGAAGATCGTTACTCTTTGAATCGCCATCTCAAAGACATGACAAAGGCGCGTTTTGCAGCTTCTCAGCCTTCAGGTACTTTGTGGAGCCTCGAATTGCGGCACAGTCAAGGTGCGCCCGCAAGCTTTGGATCGCAGCCCACACTCAGCTGGAGCAGGATTCTGGGTCGGCTATTTCGCTGCTTCGATTGGAGTTCCTTCTGTGGGAGTCCTTCCCCGCGATCATGGATTCATCATCGCTCACTCGTGACTCTTATATCTAGCTCGGAGGTCGCCGTCACCGTGCTACACGTTGTCGAGGGGCAGCAAGGCATCAAATTCCGAGGAAGGTAAGAAGCGCGAGGCGCGAGGCGCAAGGCTCTCAGGTAAACGCCCATTCGAACTGTCATGTTGGCTCATCCGTCATTTCCCCGAGGAGATAACACCCTGTCCTCTCAGAGCAGCGCTTGGACACAGAAACGGATGATCATCCGCTGCGGCACGGAGTTGCGTCGCAGAAGTCTGAAGGATCTTCTTCAAGGCTTCCTTTTTTCTCCAGTGGCTCACTCCTCGCAACCGGATTTGACTAGCTGACCTCCCGAACCAAACTTCGAGCCTCTTTTCCAAGAAGACTGTTGCCTCTGCTGGACTAGCCTGCACATCGACAGCGCCTACCCGCAGTGGATTACAGTCACGTGAGAACTATTGACAGTGGTCCCTTGGTTGCGCTGAATCTTCATTCGTTGGGACCTGACAAAGAGGACTCCGTATCTTCGTCGGTACTAACTAGGAGTAGTAGGTAGGGACCGACGAGAATCGCTAGTTGTTGGTTGGCACGAGCGTCAACCGACAAAGTTACAAACGGCTTTCAGTCCGCGTTTGTAGCCTAGCCCCATCCCAGCCAGCCCTGCCTTGCATACCTGGGCTGGGTGGCTGTGCGAGGAGGGCGTCACTGGGCGCCAATCTGACTCAGTAGTAGCTCAGTCTGAGGCTCATGTATGACAGCAATTGCATCTTTGCGCAGGTCAAATTCAAGAGACTCGAAACAAGCCCGAACAAAATGCTCAAATAAATCGAGACCTGGCCATAGGTAGATATCTTGCAGACGGAAACGGAGTCCGACTCCGACCCACAGTTGCTCCTGCGGAGGGCGGACAAGAAGAGTCCGTTCGTAAGTACTTTTGCCTCGGCGCCGGTGGAGCTTCCGTCTGATCTTCGCTTGGTCTGAAAGGACGGAAATGTGCCTCAAACGCTCATGACAATAAATTAATAACGGCGTAGTAATCTTCTCACTTGCTGTAGTGTCCAATCAGCCGCCGCTGCCAGATTACGGAGTAGGTCAATCCTCCCGAGGACTCCATGTCTCCATGAGGTCCTAGCTTCTTCTTCCAGAACGACTCAATTGGATCTGCATTATTCTGCAGCGTGGGGAGCTCCAGCCACGGACAAGTTCCCAACTTGCCAAGTCTTCCGTGGTCAACAAGAGACTAGGTGAAAAGTAGTTAACATATACGCGACAGATATTGCGGGCCAATGACTGAGATTAATCGTCGCAATCACTTCCTAACTGGGGGCGGACGGAGATCCCACCAGGATTGTTCGCCAGAGGGTTATCGGTGCTCCTTATCAAGTCAAACGCCTCTGCAGCTGCAGCGCTGCGCTGCCGTGCCTGGGCTTGCCCCTTGAAGGGAGGCTAAGACATCTCCTGAGCTTTGAGACCTGTCATCCTGTCAGATTGGAGACGATAAAACTCACATTCTCAAAGCACCACCTCCTGCATGCTTTGTACCTCAGAATCAGCAAGGAGCTGTCCCAGCGGCTTTCTTTTTGCGTCAGCGGAGTTGGAGCTGGCTTACAGGGTGTAAGACTTGGCTTTTTGGCCCGTCTTGGCTGTCTGTCGGTGAACTGGTTCTGCTGATGAACAAGAAGCATATGAACATATTTGCTTCTTCGCTTTCAAGCATCCCTTGCATCGTGCTTTGTTTCTGCAGGATGGCCGATGAACCGGGGTGACGAGTACGATTCTTCAGCTTGTCCCGAGCCAGTTCATCCTGCAGGTAGTGATGCAGTCATCTTCTGCTTATCTCAATTGATATTCTGTCAGCGCAGCATCATCCCCGAGCTCCAGCCCTAATTCCGATATCTGTGCATCTCTATATGGCGCCA